ACTCGACTCCAAAGTTGACTTGACGCCCTCGTGTTGTGCGGTGGAAAGCAGAAGCTCGATGTCAACTAAAATTATTTGCACTCTTTATTTCAGGAAAAATAAATTATTGTAATACAATAATTTTTTAAACAAATCAGTGCTACACGCACTTTAAACGTATTTTGCAAACAGATTATTGTAAGTAGGGGAAATTATAAGATTACCTTTTTTGTAGAAAATAAAATTCTCTATAATTATTATTCGTGACTTTTTTTTTATTATACCTACCGTTTTCAAGTTATTACAGGAAAACTCTTTTTTGAACTCTTTTAAAATTTTTTCCTTCAACTTAGAGAGCTCATTTTTTAGCCAATTATTGTCTTGGTGCTTAAGTAATTTTTCGCGGTGATTTCAGCTATCCTTTCTAAAATAATCAATTTAAAGCTTTATTCATTGGACTATTTTAAGATATTTACGTTTAAATTTTCAGCCTTATATGGTCTTATACATAGGCACAATTTTGGATCATAAGTATGAAGCACTGTTTGATAAAAAAGGAATTATTTTGGAATCTTTTGTTAAAAGAAATTTGGAGCGCAAGGAAAATCATAGTCAATGCTGAAAAAGAATTGGATAACTTATGAAGGATAAATAAATAAGCTGTATAAAAAGATGTAACGACGCTTTTATCGCCATTATTATTTTGATATAGAGTACCACCGGATAGAGTTATATAACAATGCTTGGAATCTGGATTTTTGTAAGTATTTTCATGTCTCACACTAGCACTAGATGTTCGGCAAACTGCTAGACAAAATTGAAATCGATCAAGATTTCGAAGACGTAATTTTATAATGTCTTCAAGTTTTCGAATTTTCTGAATGTCAGATCTCCCTGGTAGACCCAAATGATCCTTTTTAAATAGTCTCTGAAAATTTTAAATAGTAAATTATCATATCTTAGACAAATTCCAATAAAAAAAAATTAATAAATGATATAAAACTTACTTTTGTTGGATGAAGACAGCATGAAACACAATACTCATAAATTGCACAACAACCTTGAGGATTACATGTTTCACAGCTATATCTTTCTAGTTTGAGAATATTTTCATCATGTGTAGAAACATTTTCACGTTGATTTTTACAACAGCCTGTAGATAAGACATCTTGACGTGTACAAACAAATCCTAGTTCATCTACAATCAATGCCTTACCCTGTAAATTAATACAATTAAAAAACTTTAACAATTTAAATTTTGATTAATTTAAAATTTATTCGCAAATTATTAAAATCAGAATTCGAAACTATATAAAAGATTCACAATTGAATTATTTAGTGCATTTCTGTGAAACACATTATCTTAATAAACAATGATTAAAGTATATTTATAGCTAAGTTGGTCACAATGAGTAAATTGAAAGGTAATTGATGAGTAATAATTTTTACCTGTACAGAATTACGACAATTTTTAATATTAATATTTATATCGTTAGAGCTTGTAAATGTTTGGATGTTAGTTGAATCACTTCTTTCATCAGGAACTACAAGAGCTGTGTATTGAAAAGTTTTTCCATCGTCTTCAATATCATCAAGTGCTATATCTTCATTGTCAACTAGCATGTTGTCGTCTATCTCATCTTCAAATGAAGGCTTAAAAGTATTCATTCGCTGTAAAAAGAAGAGCATAATCAATAAACACATGTAAGATTAATTATTTTAATAATCAAAAAATTGTAATGACATTTTATTTGCACAAATTTATCAAAACAAACATCATTCAAAAAAATCTAATTTTCATAAAGCGCAAGAAATTATCTTTAACAATTTCACATAGGAATAATTACATAAAAAAGAATTATTTTTTATGTATTTTGTCTAAATAATTATCTTAAATAATTTGAATATAACTTACATGTTGAGTTAATAATGATATTGCACAGTACGTCAATGAAAGTCCGAAAATCAAACCGAGGACTAATCTACGACGTAAAAGACGACCAAAAGTTCCCCAGCTCAAAAACATGATTTAAATTAGATAAAACGTTAATAATTAAACTTTAGTTTTCTCATATTTATCCATTTGTCATTTCGAGAGAACAAAATGTACCACAAATCGTGTGCTTTCATTTTATCTTCGTTTTTGGTCCATGAGTACTTTTAATTACTTATTCTATCTATGAATTATTTAAACGTAATTGCAAAATACACTTTGCAAAATAACTAATGCAATAAAAAACATTTATAAATGAATTCTGAAAACATTTAAAATCTATTTGTATACTATAGTTTTCTTCTACATTGCGATTCTGATAACATTTATAGAGATCGCCATTTTTAATTTTTTTTAACTATTCCACTGACTATTTTGAAAATCAGATATGACTTGCTATTTGGAATTTTGAATTATACCTTTTGACTTTCTGCGGTGATTGTGGCAAATAAATATTTGTTCTCCTTCAAGTCGGTAATATTGACACCGTTCGAATAATGGTAATTTAAAAGTCAGAATGGCAGTCTAGAATTGTTACAAAATAATACAATTTTTAATTTACAGAAAATACGATTTTTTGCATTAATTTTTTCGGTTATAATATTTAATATCATAAATTTCTAACAAAATAATTTCCATGTAGATCTACTCGATAAGAATTTATGTACAATTTTTCATTGGACCATTACATGATTAAATTGTAATACTGTAAACAAATCACTTTATTTATCATGATTCTAAATGAATTGAATCTGATCAAATACACTTTATAATAATTTTGGTTTTAAATATCGAAAATATGAATTGAATGACTAACTTTTTTTTTTGATAAAATCGTTTAGTTTGTCATCAACTTCAGATAATATTGGTAAGAGAAATATTCATTGTTTACTTTAGTTTATTTTAGTAATTCAAAAGAATAATTTTCAATAAAAGTTGATGAAAAAATGGCAATGAAACTTAGCGGTTGGATTGCAAGTATACTTTTATTTATCTTTTTACTAGGAATGCTGGCAGTAGTTTGTTTTTATTTTCCAACATTGGCTGGTCAATTAAGATCTGAAAGGATGAATGATTGTACTGACTCAAGTTCTAAAGATAATTATGATTATTATCAAATGAAAAACCATCTTAAATCGAAAATTCCAAAAATCAATATCTCTGAATATTTACAAACCAAAAAACCTCCAAAAGTGAGCGTTCTCATTAATTCAACTGCCATCAAAACAGTATCGTTTTCTCGTTCAGATTATGAAGAAAATGATGCATTAAAATTAGACTCTTCATTTTCATATACAACTTCACCTTCAGCAGATGATAACAATCTAGAAAATAAAAAACTACCTTTAGTGGATATGTTTACGACTCCAAATTATGAAATTACTTTTCATGATGACTCTGGGAATGGATGGGTGCAAAAGCAATCAACTTTATTCAACCCGTAAATTTTTATCTGAAATTATTGTTTTTCTTTAGAACTGTTTGTTTATATATAAAACAAGATTGTTACATTAAAATGATTTAGTAAATAAAAGTTTTATGTTTAGTAGTTAGTTAAATTCATTTTTAATTGCTTTCAATTCCGATTAAAAGCTGACTTAAATTTCTTAAGAATGAACAATCTATTTTACTACATTTTTTTTATCTTTAAATTTAACTATTGAAACAATGAAACAAATTTTATTATTATTTAAAGTAATTATAACTTAGAAAATAATATTTACCTGGATAATTTATTATAAATAAAATAATAATTAAAATTCATCTTTGCAAAATATATCAAAAATTAAATAAATATTTTTACAAGTGTTATCAGCAACTAATCCAATAAAAGAATCATAACATAATTTGATTGCACTTTATCGATTATTTTTATTTGCAATACATTAAATAGCAGAAGAAAATCTTTCATTAACAGGATGATAAGATTATCAATGAAATCTTTTTAAACCTCCACTTATAAATATGATGAAAATTATAACATATTTGAAATAAAAATTAATAAATGACTTGATAATTTTACAAAACGTGTTAATCACTTTAATTTTGTTATCAGTGTATAAATTAAAAAAAAAACATCAAAGGCTTTACATTTTATTTTCATTGAAATCAATAAGACGTGAGCTATTTATTTAATATGAATCACTTTTCTGTTATCAAATGATTCAATGAATTTATAAATCGTTTTACTCTAATACTTTGTATTTTTATATCAGTCATGTTAAGACATTTCATATAGAACGAACAATATTAATACCATGAGATAATATTTTTGTACTACTTTATTGTTGCAGTTACAAATACTGATTAAAAATATTATCATTTAAAAAATGGCATCATTTAATATTTATAAAATATATCCAATTGTGATAAACATTGTTTTGTGTTGTTTTTATTCAGGTGAGAAATTATTATTTTTATATAACAACTTATTTTGAAAAAATGTAATATTATTGATTGATTCAATTTGATTTTTTTTTGAACAACTAATAAACAATATAAAATAATCAAAACAATAGGCGCTGAAGGTGGTCGAATAAAAAGATTAGTTGGTGGCGAAGATACTAATCTTCAGGAGACATACTATCAAGCTTCTTTGCAATTCAATGGAATGCATATTTGTGGAGGAACTATCATAACTTCTAAGCACATTTTAACTGCAGCTCATTGTGTTGCTGAATTATTCGAACCACCTTTCGATGAACTAGAAGTCGCAATTGGTACATTGTCTTTAAAAAAAGGAGATCGTTATGGAGTCTTTAACATCTCTTGGCATCCAGATTTTGAAAGTGGAGAACATGAAGTGTATAATGATGTTGCTGTATTAACGGTATTGGCATTTATTTTATTATTATAAGTGAATATATTTTATTAAAACAATTCAAATCAATCATATTTTCCTTTTTAAATAGCTAAAGAATGAAATCAATGTGACTTCAGAACAGAAGCCAGTTCGTTTACCAAATTTTCCAGCACCTGATAATGCTGTTGCTGTAATCAGTGGATGGGGCTGGACTTCATCTAATAATCCCTATTCAGCTCCAGTTTTAAAAAAAGCTACAGTTATTACGATGAATAATAAAGAGTGTCAGCAATTTTACAAAGTTAAGATTGAAAATAGCCAAATATGTGCTCGAGCTGAGAGTAATGATGTTGGAATTTGTAAAGTGAGCATTAGATGATTCAACTTATAAACTCATTTTACGTGCCATTTAATTTAAGCAGCTCAAATTTAACTTGTTATTAAGATGACTTTTATTTTTGACTTTTAATTTAATTAATCTTTCCAGGGTGATAGTGGAGGTCCATTAGTTGTAGAAGATACGATTATTGGCATTTCGTCATGGACTTTAAGTATTCCATCTTCAAACATTTTCTGTAATACTGGAGCTCCGGATGTTTATACAGATGTGTATTATTTTATGAAATTCATTAAGTCGATAATTCATGGTCATTGATAAAGTAATTTTCATAATTTCTTGAAATTATTCACTGATATATGCTGTTACTGATGAATAGTAAATATTTATTATCAATTTAAATATTCTGTTATGTATGAAAAATACTTGAATGATGTAATGAATGTAAAAAATTTTTTATAAAACGTTTAGTGATGCAATTATTAATGCATATATACATTTCTTCAATTCTCAAGGAGTCTGATATTATTGGTCACTGTTGTAACTCATAAATTTTTATATTTATAAAAAAAATATATATGATATATTTCATTTACACAGGTTTCTGTTTATTTCACTAATTTTATTAAAAGTATTATAAACGTTATCTTATTATCCAACAGCTATGAAATAGTAATTGATTATTTACTCTCTTTCTACTGCAGTTCTAGATTAAATAATTAAATATTTTCTATTCATTCAACATGTTTGGAGGTTGAAAAAGTCCAAGCATTCCATAAACCTAAAATTTAATTATTAATTTGTTATTAACATAAAATTTGGTAAAGAATAACAATATTTTTCACCTTTGTCGCTCGATCTTTAAAACATTGAACCATTTGATATGCATTTGTACATGAGTCATCACTTAGGGAGGATTGCCCTGTTAAAACATTCTTTTTGTTTTATATTCAAATAAAGTGAGTTGTTAACTAATGAAATATTTTCGTCTTTTATGATTGCAGTACTTTCAATTTATTAGTATCTACTTTTTCTTCTAGTAATTTATCAAATTTTTTCTTCTTTTCAAATAAAATTTCTCGCATTTATCTTACCTGATTCAAAACAAGTTGAAATGTGTGTTTTTGCTGCATCTCTGAGCTCTTCACGAATACTTTGTATTGCTATTTCTGGGTTGAACACTCCTTTATCATTCATCTGATTAAAATAATTCACGATTTCATAGTCGAATAATAGATTATTATTTTTAATATTACAGTCAAACTTACAACTTTAATATCTTTTAAAAAGCAATAAAGATAACATCCGAAATCTTTGGGGTTTTGGATTCCTTGCTTCAGAATCTCTAAAATTAATACCAAATATGCATATGAATAAAGTTGAATTATTAACAACAAATTATAAAATAGTAAGGAAAAAATATGATATTACCGTCTGTTAATTTCAATTCATCTTTGCATTTTTCTCGAACTGCTGCATGGGGATCTAGCTCATCTTCCTAGTACATAGAATAAATGCAATTTATGATTTAATTGTAGAAATAAACTTATTAGAAATTAATGTAATTAAAAAACATTCTAATTAATATGATTATATTAATTTTTTTATATTTAAAGTTCAATTTTAAGTACGAACTTCGGCTAAAGTAGAAACAATAACAGATATACAAACGATGACAGAGAATATTTTCATGATGATATTTAAGTTCATACTTGTCATCAATTCTTTAGTATGATTCTTTTATTAGATCTCTGTGACATTATCCTTGTTACAATAAGACAATAAGATATCATGTCAATTTCCACAACGAAATCTAACACGCAATCATTTGCTCTATAACATCACGAGATCAAATTTTATTCAATTATTACTAATATAAATTTTTTATTACTTAGATTAGTTTATATTTTTTGTTGTTGCCATTAAATTTTGTAGAATTTATTTTTAGAAAAATATTCCTTCATTTGTTCTTTTAATTTTTCAAATTAACTGTTGTGACAGATGTTTTTACTATTAATCTTGAATCAATCATAGGTATTTTTGATAAAATCATTTCATTTTAATTATCTTACAAATAAGATATTAATTAACAAATTTATTTATAATTCGTTGCCTTTATATTTTTCAATCCACATGTAAAATATTTTTATACATTTTATTGATTTTAGTCTTTTATTTATCGATTAGAAAATTCTTTGTTCGACAGAGTCATAAGTATCCAATCAAGTTGTATTGTTAAATTGAATACGAGTCTTTGATTCCAAATTCTAAGAACTCACTACTGTATAAAAGCATGTACCTCTTTGCCCTGCAAAATAAATTCATATTTGATAATTATATTTTTGTTGTTTATTACGTATACCAATATTAATATAAAGCCAAATAAATAATGAAAAGTCAGTAGATATAATTTTTCGTTGTTCCTTTATTGCTTGTTTTTACTTACGTTATTTACATTTATTTTCTTTCTCGGTCATATCCAAGAATGTACCAGATGGATGAATTATTTTATCGACTGCGCATAGCCAATCAGAAACGATTGCTGCATTGCGCAGTAGTAGTGACGTAACGAACTTCAAAGAACACTAAACATATGGTCAGTTGATACATACCTGAGTAGTTACTCACTTCTGTATTTATTTTTTTTTGTCTCCGAGGGTTCAACACAAAAGTTTAATACAAATGTCTTGAGTTAAAACTAATAAAATTATGTTCAAAATTATGATAATATGAAAAAGAAGATGTTAAAGTGACTGGAAATAATCGAGAAAAATATTCAAGAAATACAGTAGCTCGTAAAATACGGTTAGATGTGAATTCTGGAAAATTTGAACACTAGTTACTGGTAATAGTGGCGCTGTAGAATGTGCACAGTGTTGTGAGTGGTCGTGAGAATAATCAAAATCAATGCATTAGTGCAGTATTTCAAGGGTTACTTTGCGGATATTGGCTCCGAATTTATTATATCCGGTAATTAAAAATGTCAAATGGAGTTCAAGTGATAAATAATAACCATCAATCTCAAATACAAAAGGGTGAATTAATTTTCTTACAGCTATTATTCAATTGTATAATTTTTGGTATCTTTGTTAAAAATTCAAAATTTTTTGATCAGTAGCCTGTACTGCTGCTGCATCGGAGAGGCGGCAGGTAAAAATCAAGGTAAATCTTTCTCTTAATTCACATTAATAATTAGTTGAATTTAAAAAATTATTTATAATTCTGTCATGTAAAAGGATATTTAATAAATAATCTTTTATTTTTAGATGGAAACAAAAAATATTGGACCTACCTGTAAAAGACCATCTGATTCGATTAGTGAAGGTCAGTGATTGATCTAGTATATTACATTACAAATTACAAATAGATCTTAAAAAACAAGAGGTCGAAATGCTTTAATTATGATCTTTCATAGAAATAGTTAAATGAAAAGCTTTTCTGGAAATTGAGAGGTGAAATTTTCGGCCTTTTTTAAATTTACTTCTGTAGAAGTATTACTGTATATAATTTCATGCTAAAATTATACATTAAGCATGGTTGAAGTAGGTATTAATCAATTTTTTTTATATAATCTCGAAATAATGTAATAGTTTTACAAAATCATCTTTGTCAATGTGTATTTACTTATTTAATATCACAAAATGTCATTTAGTGTATATACCAATGATCTATCATTGATTTATCATAAATTTAATGCTCTTTGATCATAAAAAAAGTTTTAATCCTAAGGATAAGAATATTTTATTCCGTTCTCTGTATAGCCGCAGTATTTTTAGTGGAATATTCACAGAGCAAACTCCAGTTGGAAAATAGATAAATTTTTTTGGTGTATGGTTTTGTGCCAAGTTTTAGTAAAGAATACTGTTTAAAATACTAATGCCCTCTTTATGATTTTCATTTATTGATCAAATTAAATATTTAAAGTAATCAAATATTCCTCATATCGATTCAAAGAACATATTCTTCACAATTTCAAACAATATCACATAAAATGTGTAAGTATTAAGTATTTGAAATAACAGAACAAATATTAATATTCGTATGAATAATATGTAAGTTTTTTAAACTAAAAAAAAACATAATAAAATGAATAAAATTGGTATTCTTCATTATCATAGTAATATTGTTTTAAATCGAAGATAATATAAAAAGTAAGAAAGAAAACTCAATGCAATAACTCGAAAATTCTTCAAAACAAAAACTAGAACGTTCAAACTATTTGTTAAAAAAATAATCTCGAAACCTATAATGTCTCAAATTCATAATTTTAATTGTATTATATATGTTTTTATTACATAATTTTTCTCTCAAATATGTATTGAATTGTATATTTTGTACTGAAAATAATTATGTAACATAACTCTGATTTTTCAGTTATCTATTCAATACTTTCTAACAAAAAAATTTCCTAAAAATTGATCTGCTATTTCTAAATTGAAATATTCAAACATGTGCAAAGTTTTGTTTTTCAAATAAAAATGAAACAAAGCTTCATTCTCAAATATGTAAATTATAAAAAAATATATCCGCTGACATACTTCTATAAAAAGGCTTAAAAATAAAAAAATAAAGAATATTTAATCAGAATCGACATGAACACAATACAAATTCATATTGTCTGAGTTATATAAACGTAAATAATCGATCACGATATTTATCATAGAATGTTCGAGAAAAATATATCATAAATATTTATTCCAATTTAACTGAGTTTAATAGTAAGCAAAGTTTTGGAGCCTAGATACTTTCATCATTTAACTGAAAATAATTCGATTTCACAAAGTGTTTGATTATTAAAAATAATCGATTAACTAAATTCAATTAAATGTTTATTAATTTATTGTTTTATTGCCATTTTTATGACAGCTGCACCAGTTCCAAAGAAACGTCATAAAAATCCACAACCGAAAAATGCCGTTTGTGCACTAAATGAGCTTAAAACGGGTGCGGTTTATAAAGTAGTATCTCAAACAGGACCAACACATGCTCCAATTTTCACAATAGCAGTACAAATAGATGGACAAACTTACGAAGGAAAAGGAAGAACGAAAAAAATGGCCAAACATGCTGCAGCCGAATTAGCCTTGCGAAATATAGTACAATTTCGTAATACACCAGAAGTACATCAAGCAATTGGTTGTCCACCGGTACCCTCGGTAGAACCTGACTTTACGAGTGACGTTACTGAGAAGGATAATCATTTAGTTAATGCTTTTAAAACATTAACACAAGAACCGAAAAATCCGGCAAAATTTATTGACAAAGGTCCAGTGGCTTTAATTAATGAACTATATCCAGGTGTTGTTTATACATGTGTTTCTGACAGTGGTGAAAGCTACGCTAAATTTACTATTGCAGTGACAATTGACGGAGAAACATTTGAAGGAACTGGACCAAGTAAAAAATTAGCAAAAGCAGCTGCTAGTAAAGCAGCACTTGCTAAACTACGTAATGTTCATAGTTCAACTTTTTGTATTCCATTACCTGTTCGAATACTTCCCAATTTTTCCAATTTTTCACAGACTCATGAACAAATGAGTCTGCCTCAAATGCTTGCTGATAAAATTGGTAAAATGGTTAATCAAAAGTTTAGTGAATTAATGCAGAGTAAGCCTCAACATGCGAGACGTAAAGTCTTAGCTGGCATTGTTCAAACGAGAGGTCAAGATGCTGAATTAATATGTGTTACGACAGGTACAGCTTTTAATTATTTTTCTTATTCATACGTAACAATAGCTGAATTTACATCCAAACATAAAAACAAAATATATATTGTTAAGTGGATTTTTTTCATTGTTTTAGGTACGAAATGTGTGTCAGGAGAACACTTAAGTGTGACAGGAGGTGCTTTGAATGACTGTCATGCTGAAGTGGTAGCTCGCCGATGTCTTTGTGAATATTTATATCAACAACTGACACTCTATACCGAAAACCGTGGTGAAGAATCGATTTTAGAAGCAGCTAAGAAGGGATTTAGATTAAAACCTGGTATTCAATTTCACTTGTATATTAATACAGCGCCTTGTGGTGATGCAAGAATATTCTCGCCTCATGAAGAAAATGAATCTGTCGATAAACATCCGAATAGACGTGCAAGAGGACAATTGAGAACTAAAATTGAATCAGGGGAAGGTACAATTCCCGTCAAAAGTAGCGAAGGCATACAAACTTGGGATGGTGTTCTCATGGTAATTAATTTTTTTTTCTTTTCATGAGTAGCTTTTTGAGAATAAAAACAATAATATACTTGTTTTGAGATTTATTGATTTTTAGAACAAAACTCTTGTATAAAAAAATATCTTAATAATAAATATTTTTCAAATCTTTTTTAAATTCTAACTGCTTGAAAAAAAGAGTTGAGAATATTTAAACGTTAATGGGATGAAATAATTTCTATAGTAGTTAAGAAACAATTAAAAGTTAAGTACGAGAAAAAAACATTTAATGGGAATGAAATGTGTACAAGTATAATTTTCTTTATAATTTTTGTAGGGTCAAAGACTGCTGACGATGTCGTGTTCGGATAAAATAGCTCGATGGAACGTACTAGGTGTGCAAGGTGCACTACTCAGCCACTTCATCGAGCCTATTTACTTCCACAGCATCGTTCTGGGTAGTCTACTCAATCCAAGTCACATGTATCGTGCAGTATGTGGCAGAATAGAAAATACTATCCAAGGATTACCACCACCATATCGATTGAATAAACCACTCATGAGCTTAATAACGTCTTCCGAAGTTAGACAACCTGGAAAAGCACCAAACTATAGCGTCAATTGGACAATAGGTTTGTATTTATAATTTAGAAATAATAAGATAGAAAAATTTATATTTTTGTTAATTTCTATTTCAATAAAATAAAATGGTATTAATCATTTAGAAATTGAGAGTAACACTTTTATATAATAAAATTTCATACTTTCATTTATAAATTCCAGGAAAGTTATGTTCTTGACTGTTTTTATAGGGCAAGCTGAGGCAGAAGTGATAAATTGTACAACGGGAAAAGATGAATTAGGAAAACCTTCACGAATATCAAAGCAAGGTCTTTTTCGTATGTTCTTTAATCTTTTAGGGAAGCTTAGTACAATTGATGATGTGGATCGTGACACGTGTCGTCAATATCTGGATGCAAAGTCATCTGTTCAAGATTATTCGGTAATTAATTATTTTAAATACGTTATTGATTTATTGATTTTGTATTTAACAAATTTTTTTCTATTAAGTAAAATTTTTTTTCTGCCGAGTTTGGGTCTTCTAATCGATTGTTTCAGCACGCAAAGCGCCAACTTAAAGAAGCTTTCGTCCGTGCGCAACTTGGTAATTGGGTGAAGAAACCTATCGAACAAGATATGTTTGAAGTTGACATCTGACTAATTGACTGCAATAATCGTTCAGTATTTGAAAAAGGTGATTTTGAAAATATTCATAATAATATTAATATTGACATTAACTACGATGAACGGCCTCAAAAATATGATTGTTTAGCTCATAGTGCAGACTAGATTGCACGCTCGGCGTGTCACGATACGGTAGAGTTTGGCATCAGTAAAGCATAATCGTAGGAACTCACACGAAACAATTTTATCACAGTAATCATTAATTTGTAATTTATTTTTAATGATTCATGTAGCAATCTTTTTCTCTTCAACCATTGAAGAATATTTTTATATTTGATATTTTAAGTTTTTTATGAAAAAAAAAAATCCGTTGATTACCACTAAATGCATCATTACTGATATTTTTTTAGTTATTTATATATATTTGATAGTAATACAGAAGACTTACTATTTATGTATAATTGTGAAAAGTATCTATTCATTTAACTCAGGCATTATTACAAGTTTTATTACTTGTTTTATTCATCAAATCATTTTTGTGGCTTTAATTAGTTAAGTAGATTGCAATGATAAAATTACATAATGGCCTTATAGCTTATTTCTATAGCACTGGACAAGTCATTATTTACAATAAAACATAAGTATATTATAAACAGTAGATAAATAGAAATGTTTATAGTATAAACATAATTAACATATCATTTAATCTGTTATAAAATTTGCATCTTGCTTTTACTTGGAAGAAAAACTAGAATGTAGATGTAATGAAACTAATCCATCGAAAATTGAGTTTCAATATTTCTTGTTCATTTTAAATAAATTAAAACTATCTTTTAATAGTACTTATATAGATTTATCAAAGATCATTGTTAAAAGTATTGAATAACTTTTTTAATCTATTATCCATCTATTGATGAATAATGTTTAAAAGATTACCATTGATTCAATATATCGTTTTTGAGAATAGTCATACAAGAATTTTTACAGTTTATTAATTACATAATTAGATAATAAAATAATTAATAATAATTACAATAAATAATACTCATTAGTTTAATCAAATCATTAGCCACATTTTTTTGTCTCGTAATTTGATCTTTTACAAATTGGCGTAAGAATCTCCCAAAGGCTGTGACCTGAGAAATGAAAACATTCTCGTAAATGAAATGATAATTCTTTGTGACTTATTAAAAAAAATAAAAAATTAATAATTAAAAAAAGAATGTTCATAACATTAAGTCTTTCGATAGTTTTAATCTTAAATTCATAACTTTCAATGTTATAAGTATGTAAATGTAATTTAAGCATACAGTATATTCAATTAAATCGAGTATCAAAAAAGTTTCAAGTTTAAATTTAAAATTGACAAAAGAATTCGAAAATATAAATGCATGATAATCAGTGGCTAATTATTATGACAATGGTAGTTTTTACTGAATTGTACATATTATTTAAATTAATTAATGAGAAGAGAGTCCTAAGATCTTTGCCTCACTGTGTCAGAAATTAATGATGTAATGATTTTTTTTTTTTTTTAATTAATTTTTTCCGATTAATATTTAAACCATAAAAATGCTATTCTGCCGTTAGTGGCACTCCGTTCGATGCCTATCCAGTTTCGTACAAGTGAGTTATGTATATAAAACCTACAAACACCAGTAATTTAAACAAAACTGTAATTTATCTCTAAGTTATTTATAAACTAAGATAAGTTACTTTACAAAAAAGGAAAACAAAAAATTTTTATGTAATATTTCAGTATAAAGGGTTATATCATGTAACAAAGTAACAAAGAAAAGAGTAAAACTTTGAGTTGATACTTTTTTTTTTTTTTTATATTGATATTAATAATTTATTTTGAGTGTTTTATAAAAAACTTTTACATGATTATTTATATTTAGTTGATGATACATGACAAATTTTTTATGTTATATAGTCTTGTTACTCTCGACTTTAGGAAAGTTTTCGAGTGCATAAAATGTAAAAATAATTTATTATTATATTTAGTATTTGTGCCAATTATAAACCAAATATACGCAAAAAGTAAAGAAAAAATAAATAATTTTTGCTCAGTTGAAATAAATACATATTTAAGTTAGGCTTGTTAGTTAGTTGATTATTCTAATTGTAGTCATTATAATGAATAATGATAATACTTTGACTCAGCTAGAACGAAAAATATTAAAATGAAAAGTAGTAATAGCGAGCATTTCTTGCCTCTTAACTCACTTCCATATACTATTTAAATATTAAATAATTCAATAAGTATTAAATTTTTACAGCTTGTAAAATTTAAGATTAATAATTATAACTGTCAACGATAATTTGCGCACATTAAATGTCATAATATTTACCTTCATTACAAATAATAGTTATATTTAACAAGTATTAAACTATTCAAAAATTGTCGTAATAAGATGATTATGAAAAATAGATAGAAGGAATATAACGAAACAAAAAAATAATGATAAAACGATTTTTTGAATGCACTGCTCAATATTCCAGTAGTTCAGTTGATATCAATAATTATAATGATGATAGTTTGTTCATAAAAATAAATAATAATTATTATTTAATAAATAATAATTATTTACGACGATAAAACGATAAATGTTCAGAAAACGAACTTTCAAAACAAATTGGGCATATGTAAAACAGTGAGAAGACCAAGTGTTGATCACTATCCAGTAATAAAAATAAATTAATTAAAGTTTGTAAAAAAAAAGAGCTCGTTTATCAATAATTAAAAAACTGTAATTTAAATATTTTTAAACATTTTTCACTATCATTTGTGAGTGCACTAAATACCTTTACAGCCTTTACAGAGCTGTATTCAAATTTAAATATCATAATCAGAGTAAAAGTTTTAGCACTAAGGTTCGCACACTAAAAAAAAATTGCTTTTAAAATAAAATGATTTTATTTAAATGATTCTACTACTATTCCAAAACAAAATGATCTGAGTCGAGTATTTTTTTTTCTTGAAAAAAAGAAAAATCTTTGTCTCTCATTATATCCTAAAAAATTTTAATTTGAAACAATTTTTTCATGCTTTAAAATTCATAATGAAAAAAGTTTAAAAATCTAACGATTACTAAATTTTAATTATTTGTAGATGAATATTTTTTCACAAACTTTCAATTTAAATTATTTAATTCGATAGTAACCACAACCGGTCCACGAAGAGTCTTTAGGAAAAGGCCTTTTTCTTACCACTAGTCACTATAAACATAGAGATTACTTTCTTGATGATTAAATAACTGTAATAATGAAACAGTTTCAATTGATTTCTCATTAGACTATTTTAAATTTAGCAATAAAACGATTTCATAGGAAAAACAATAAAATTGATGATAGAGAATAGTGGAAAAAATAATAGTAGTAATAATAAAAACAACGTAAGTTACATCTAATGTTGTAAGTACAATCATATGTTATAGCTTTTACTTATTAAATTTTTAATTAAAATCGATGAATAATTCAAATTAATATACAGGGAATGAGTGAGATAAAAACAGATTTTAAAATGCATTTAGGCAAGATGCAGCTAATACTATTAGTATTTAAGCTTGGATAGTGCCTCTAGTGATTAATAATTCGATGACAAAATTTCCCAGTATAACAACTTTATAAGTATTAATAAAGTGTTTATTTATTAGTAAAATTTATGTGGTACGGAATAAAATTTTTTATTTCCTTAAGGAGTCCTAATCGTTGAATGGCAACTATTTTAATTTTTCATAGAAAAAAATGGGATTTAGATTTTTACAATTTTATTAGTATCGAAGGAGAAACTATTCAAAAAATAACATAAAAGTTGAGTTTAGTTATCAAATTAAAATCATTAAAATTTGATCAGTTGCATTCTGATTAATTTGTTATATGACTGATAACAATATTAATTTTCTTTATTTGCCTTCTTTCAATTTGAATATAGATATAAATTCTGCTAAATAAATACATAAATACATACATATGTATGTATATTGTCTTATAAGATAACTTATAATTAATTGATATGTATTCATTGTTTGCTAAGTTTCTATTTTGTTAGCGTTAAAACTATGTGATACATTGTTGTATTTTTGAACAAAAAAATTTTCTAAAAATTATTTGTTTTTATTTAATACATCGAAATAAAAATTTAAAATATTCTTGATGATTATAATTATAAATAAAATTCGATGATAAGCATTTTTATGAATACAAAAGAATTATACACTTTGATTAATCAATTCTGGTTAAAAGTTATTTAAACAATAGAACATTTTATTTTCAACTTTAATATTTTTTTTTTTTATCTTAAAGCAAACAATATTTGAAGAAATCTTCAATTAGTTAATAATTATAATAACATTTTATATGTATACATCACGTATTGAATAAAATAGTTAATTATTATTAATTTATTTTTTTCTTATTGTATAATTATTAGTTTTATTTATTCCCTTTTAACGCATAAGATTATTAAAACATTTAATAATTTTGTGCCTTGTAAAATGCTAAGGCATTTCTTATACAATAATATTTGAAATCACAACAAAACAATTTTTCCACTCTAAAAACGCATTTTTTCAGTCCAATATAATATTAATAATAATAATAATTAATTATTAAGAAATAATTAACGATAAATTTATATAATTTCTAAAATCTAACCATACAATATCTATTATTTTATATATAAATATACATATCATTAATAAATGATAAAGAACATCTAGGCGTGTTATAATTAATTTTACAATATTTTATTTGCAGTTGTTGATACTACGGTTATATTTTGGTATTTACAACCGCTGTAGTTTTAATTATTCTTTTTATTTGTCACATTTTACCCACTATGAACTCATTAATTTAAAAAATCATAAAAAATAAATAAATAATTATACCATTTAATTTTTTCAGATATTGTAATTCATCAACTCATGTCAAAGATCATTATAAACTTATTTATGCTTTTGTCATTTTTACTGAATTACAATATAATTTTCCATTGATTTTTTAATATATCATATTGTTGTACATAAGTCGGATGGCTTTGCATTCGTTAGATTCGTTACAACATGGACTTTAAAAATTGATTTTTCATAAAAATGTTTGTTATTTTCTTCCAATTGAAATAAGGAATGATTAAATTATTCCTTGTATAATTATATAATATAGACATTATAGTCACATTAACTAGATTTTTTGAACTCAACTCATATTTATGAAAAAGTCTTGAATATAATCTACAAGATTAATATAAAATGATATACGAATAATGGAGTAGTGAGATTTATCTCTAGATCATTCTCTCATTCATTAAAATCCGTTTACGTTTTGTACGACGTGTCAATGCTAATTCGATTTTTCACATAGAAAATTCTAATTACCAATCATAATCGTGTTGATGAAACGGATTAGTGCATGGTTGTTGGGCATGTATGTGTGTTAGCATTGCTGGAGGCTTCATTAAATCGGGCTCCCTTTCCATCACTTCATTGTAAAGCTGTAAACAAAATTATTTATACAAACCATATAATGTTATACATATTTTATCATAATAATTCATTATTATGTTATTGATCAGTAATAATAAGAAAAAAAGGTAGAGGACGAGAATCTGGCTCGTTAGAAAGCCAACATGTTTATGTAATGTTGAATTACATATATTTGCTTATTAATCAAACAGGCAACTGTTATATACTGCTTCTGAAGATCTTTATTTATACCTTAAAGCTTCTACGAATGAACTCGTCCTCTCCTTTACCGATCCTACCGTAATTGTAATTGTTTCCACCGCCGGTACCAGTTCCATTGCCACTTAAGAAAGGATTCGTCGGGTTTACACTACCTATAAATCCAAGTATCAACATAAATAACTGGTTTTGTATAGTTAATGATGAATGTACGAATTAAAAAAGTTAATATGAAAATAAAATAAAGGAAATAAACTTTATTACCACCAGGAATATCAAGATTTCCTCCGGTAGTTTGATAGGTAGCACCATATCCTGGATCTTGACTGAGCTCATGAAGCCTAGTAGAACTCAGAGCTCTAGGAATTGCATTACTTGGTACCCCATGCGGTGCTAAATGAGTTGCTTCAGCAACTTGATGTGGATCTTGTGTCTGGGGTAGATCTTTGACAAATCCTGTATCTTTGCTATAGAAATTGATGAAGATAAACGCCACAAGAACAACAGCACATATGAGACCATAAGCTCTGAATGTAGCTTTACTTCCTGTTAGTATTAATAAGAAAGAATTTAAGTTATTAATAAATTAATTGTTAGTCAGTAAAAAATTTGACAGTTTTTACGTTAAATTCATTTCACTCATTATTATAAAATTAATCAACACCAAAATATTTACCATAACTAGCCACAAACATTCCACCAATTACTGCACCACATCCACGTCCAAGACCATGATGCAAACCTTGTAAGACACCTTGAGCGCTTGACCTCAATTGTTGGGGTGTATTATGAGCAACATAGCTACAACATGCAGCCCATACAGCTGCATGAGTAATGCCTTGAATAAATTCAAAAGGCAAAACCCACCAAGGGTTTCTCAACCAAGAGATGTAAAGAAATCTTAAAATATTACCACCTAGTCCGAGACATAATACCTAAAATATTTTATAAACATTTAAATAAAATTTTTAAAGTTAAGTTGAGATGAATTATTAATAATACAGACTTGTAGGATATAATTTTAAAATTAAAATTCATTTATCGATTTTCTTTTTTCAATTTTTTATGGTCAATTAGTAATAAAAATTTATCCACTTAAACTGAAAAAAGTTTATGAATATAAAGTGAATTCTTAGAAAATTTGACGTAGTTAATCAAAAATAATGATGTATTCGTGACTAGCTATTAAATATAAATAAACTCTAAAAATAAAAACTAAATCAATATATCTATAACAGTCGGTATTATTAATTTAATAAAAATAATTCAATTTGAACCTTGACGTGACCAATTTGACGGATTAGCTTGAAGCTAAAAAAATATGCAAAAATTTCAGAAATGTGATTGATTACAGAAGCAATACCAAAGAGTATAGGTGTGCCATCGTAATCTTGAAGATGCCAAAAGAGAAAAGTGAAGATTAATCCAATTCCAAAACCCATAAACCACGCAACAAAGAGAAATGATGCGCATTTCAAATCTTTGAAATGTTTCAAGACCGTTACCCACTCAGGTATTTCCCTTGTTGTCTGAGCAAACATCTTAGTCTGTAAAAATAAGATCAGATAAGATTTTAAGTTAATCAATCGATCAATCAAATAACTGTTTAATTATCTAATCTTTTGAGTCTTTTACTTTGCCCTCTGGTGGTTGAGGCTTTGGAAGTGGCTGTGCTGAAGAGTCCTGTAAACCAGGAAGATTTAATTGCTGAGATAATTGACTTTGCAATTGTTCTTCACGTGTTGGTTCAGCAGGAGGCTTTTCTGTTTCCTAAAGTAAAAGAATAAACATCATCAGATAAATAATTCTTTTTACATAGAATAATTGATGAAATAGTAAATTTTTTCTTACAGGTTCAGTAGCGATAAATTCATATTTAAAATTGATTTGAGTTGCAGTGATTAATGCTGCGCCCATAAGAACACTAAATATTGCGAAGCAAATAGTATAATTTTTTTCTTTTGGTCCTGGGCCACAAGGATGTTCAGGAAATGATGTACTATGGTCTAAAGCAATACCAACAAAAAACATGGCTAAACCCCAACCCAAACTTCCAAACATTCTTTGATGCCCGTATCTAACAAAAAAAATGTTATGAAGTCATTAAAATTATTTTTAATCAAGTTTACATTTTATTCTTTACATTTAATAGAAAATAAGTAATTACCGGTCAGCATCTTCTCCAAGAAGAGTAATTACGGCAGAATCAGCAAGAGTAATTGCAGGTGCTGAGAAAAATTCTCCTACAATAACTAATAACAAAAGCAGGAAGAAAGTTTTCTGGATATCCTGTAATTAAAAAGAATAGAATTTATAAAAAAATTATTTACAGTAATGTCGTGTATAAAAAGTTCAAAATATTAGAAAAACTGAAAGAAAGTGTGTATATTATGTAATAAAAGATAAAAATCTTACGGAAAGTCGATAAACAATTGAACTAAATTGAGGTTTGACCCAATCTTTATTTTTTACTTCATCGTAATTAATTGCAAATGTAACAGGTATTGGACTCTTATGTTCTGCTGGTGATGGATGAGCGTATGGACTACTTCTTCGTGTTCTTATCAGTGGTACATCAATTTCTTCTTCATCAGAATCATCTTCAAACTCATCATCATCATCCTCATCATCTTCTTCCCGATCATTGTCTTCGTTTTCTCTTCGTTCTCCAATTTTTCTTTCTTCATCGTCTGTACGATAAAATGATCTTACGAATATGTTGTCACCGAAATTTAACTGATTGTCAAATTTACCCAAATTTTTAATGAATGATTTATCACTATCATCATTGTTATCATCATCATCGTCATCATTGAAATTTGCATCACGTTTTGCCATTACTTTGGTTCGTATAGGTTTGGAACGTGTTTTTGTTCTTGTGTGTGCTTTCTTAGGAGGTCTTGTTTCATCGAGGGGTTCATTCTAAAAAATTATTTTATAATTAGTAATAAATACATGGTAATTAATATTCTAATAAAATTTATCAACAACTCATAGTATTCATTATTATTGTTGTAATTATAATTTAGTTGATGGATAAATAATAAAACAATTTGTCAATAATGAAAAAATAAATGAATATTTTTACCAACCTTGAGAAACCTTTTGTACTCTAAAACATCAGCAGGTCTATTTTGCTTAGCAATAGTTCGGAAGTCAATGTCTTGAGTATTTGAACTATCCTCAGTACTATCTGTCAAAACATATTGTTTATATTTTAAATCAACAGCTTCTCCAGAATTGGTATCAGCCTGTCTTCGAACTCTGTTACTCTGCAGTCGTTGTTTCATAGAATCATTATCAACATTATTGTTTATAAGACCATAAGAATAGCCTTTATGTATTACATCATTTTCACTACGAACATATTGTTCAAATACGACATTAGCAGCACTTTCTAAATCTTCACTTCCTTGATCAGGAAGATAGTAATTAGTTATAGGTATAGATCGTCTACTTCGCATATTTTCATCAGCTATTTCCAACCTCCAAGTTCCATTTTTTTTGAAAATACATGATGTAGCTGGTGGTTGAACAAAACCCAGAGGTAATGTAAATACTATCCAACATGAAAGAGATGCCAGAAGAATCAGCTTTCCTTTTTGCCATCTGTAAAATTTCCATGGTTCTCTGGTTGTACCCAAAGAACATGATCCACTACTACTACTTGTCTACATTACTACATTTTTCACATGCATAATAGTAAGAAGAAATCTTATTTTTCCCTATGATATTTCGCGAATTATTACTATTATTAATGCATAAAAGCGTAGCTTGTCTTGCTAGCAATATTTATTATTTAAAATTGGATTATATATCTACTAGGTATTATAAAATACAAAAAAGCTCTAATTAACGCGCATTAACAGCTAGTAAATTAGCTTAAAGCAAGAATACAATGGGCATAATTTAAAATTAAATAGAGTGCAAAAGTGGAACAATATATATTAAATACTTGAAAAGTAAATGAAATCAATAGATGTCCCATATTATTTTTAAAACAAGCTTAATCGATTTCTTCTCAGTGTCTAAATTGTGTCACTCACCTGTCGGCCAAAGAGCCCCAAAACGGAGCACTCAAAAACTCAATAAAAGGCCGTAGACCGATCAAAAGACCACACTGTCCTGCATTCATTCCCATTTGTTTAAAGTAGACTCCCATAAGAGGAAATAATGATCCAAATGCTGAATAAAAGAAGAAATAAAATGTTTTAACAGTCAATAGTTCCTGATCAACTGCTCCAAAAAGGTACTCCAAAAAATCGCTTTTGCCCCGTATTTTATGAGTTGCTTCTTTTGGTTGGCCATATAGTGTAGGATCAACTTCTCCTGAGGCTTCAGGATCTACCATGGGCCTAGCACCAGGCACTTGTGGTAGTGTTCGAGTACTACCTCCTTCTACTGTTGGTTCTCCATTATAATTATAATCTTCATGTCCGTAATTCTGCATTTTAAAAAATTTAATTTCTCACTTATCACTGTATTATTATTTTATCCAAACTTGAAATTGTTTTTCATATAGAATTAAACTAATAGATATTTAGATTACTATTATTTGCTTTTTTTCTATTTTACTAATATAATATTTTTTCAAAAGGTCTTTAAAAGTCTTCCGAAATGGAAGACTTTACTTCTTTCAACGCCTGACAAACTAAACGGCCTGGTTCCTTTCGACAATCTCTTTAGCCAGTATCAAATCAATGACCATACGGGTTATCTTCTCTTTTCTTGTATAAAATCGATAGACATACAGCTTGCGCCGACTCAAATCAACCACTTTAATCCCGCTTTCATTTCCCAGCAACCCCTATTTTCAACTTTACTGCCCCCTACATCAATACATTCATTGGACAATCATACATAATAGCACGGAAGAGGGAAATGATGTGTCAGAATCATCATTTCCGTGATTTTAATAACTCAAGGAAACGGATTTCCAATCGTGGTAGCTCATTTTAAAAGACAAATATTTAGATATTGCAATATCAATTATAAATGTTTTATTCTTCCTCAATTATTTTTTCGCTAATTAAAAATCATAACATGATATGAGATGAAAGAAAATTCTTTGTCATGATAAAAGTTATCATTTTCGCAGCCATATGAGAATTTAATTTTTTTTTTCTTTGTTTGACGTCATTCACTCTTTAAATCTAAACTTTTATTAACCTCAATTAAAATTTTTTTTTTCAGATAAGCTAAACATGTAAAATGCCAGAACTATCAATAAACAGTAGTAAAATATTATTTTATCATCTGTTTTTTATCAACAGCTACTTGTGTCAGTGACAGAAGAGTGAAAATGTATAAAACACTAGTCAAAAAAATAAAATATAATAAATAAATTTATTGTCATGTGATTACAATCAACTACGAAATGTTCAAATGAGAAGCAGTTTAGTTTTATGATCTTAATATTAAAGTATGTATCTTGAGTTTTTTGACATGACGCAGGATCTAGTTAGGTTTATAATTCAAAATAGTTTTTGGTAACACATCAATGGATGATTGTGCCGGAAATGCAGATGCAGATGTTGATGCTGATGCAGGTTTTGGTGGGCCTTTGAATAAACATGTTTTTGCTGTTTTTAGTAAACGACCAGTGTTGGTTGTTCTCCAGTAAACAGTTCTTGCTGCTTGTTTGCGAGCTACATAGCTTACTGCTCCTCCAATCAACATCTGTCACAGAATTGATTATTATTAAAAATTAATTTACATTATTACAAACAATCCATATCATTGCTAAATATATCAATTAAAAGTAACTTCAAAGAACTATTAATTATTTCATATAAAAATTATTTTAACTTACTGTGTGTTTTTTTTTAATTATGCTGTGATTTGACTAGAATTTATTGAATATAACTCGATCTCTCGAGATTATATCGTTGTGATGTTGATGTGATTGTATAAAGTTTCAAGAAAGCCCGCGATTTGTCATTCGTAGTTGATTTGATCTGAAAGAAGTTCAAGAATGAACTGAACGTTCTGAAAACGATTCCTCAAATTTATATGAGCAGTACTACGTATTTTAGCTGATAAGAAAGTCCACGTTCAACAATTATGCCTACGCTATTATGTGACTCATCAATCACTCTACTTAACTATTGTGTTTAATCAATACTCACTCGATCATTTGACGTGGTGATCAGAGTTTTCATATTATAAGATAATAAAAGCACGTATTCATTAAGTGTACTTATGTGATAAACAATTTTTTCCGTATTATTTATATATTTACTTACTCCTTCTATTCTGGGACTTCTTTCACAATAATCATTGATCAATATTTTATATTTATGATTGTAAAGTACGCAAAGAAATATTTTACACGTGAATATCACAAGAAAGTACTCAAGTGAATGATCTTGTATAATAATTATATAAATTACTGATAATTATTGATTCTAATCATTTAGATTAATTATCATAACAATACAATTAAATGATAAAAATTTTCGTAGAATTAATTTTTTAAGTAGTTGTATATTTTTTAATTTACAAGATATATTGGCTAATAATAAATCAAGTTAAGGTCAAGTTATCTTCTTGGCAGAATATAAGTTTGATTTTTATTGTTTTATTGTCAAAAAATTTTTCACGAAGAAGAAAATACAGTAGTATTTTACATAGTATTCAAATTACATTATTTTATTACAGTTGGACTATCAAGTACTTTCGATTTGTTTAATGTCAATAGTAAGTTAAATATAGAATGGGAAGAAATTAAAATAATTATTTAAATTGTATAATCATTTTCTGCATTTTTATAATCATCTATAAGACTGCTAATATTTTCCTTAGCATTTACAAACTCACTTTCTTCCAAACCTTCATTTAAATAATGATGCACAAATGACTTTCTTTGAAACATCAAATCGAATTTTTCTAAAAGTCGAACCCAAGCTTCATGAATGATTGTATTATTAGACAACATAGTTATAGATTTATCTGCTTTTCCTAAATCACTATCTGGAACTGCTATTGAAGGTTGATAACTGATTCCTATCTGAAAAGAATAATCATAAATTAGATAAATTAAAAACAAAAAATTAATATTATATTACTTTAAAAGCTGTTAAATTCCACTTGACAAATTTAATAGTTTTATTATTTTTCAAGGAGCTGATAGTACTGTTGACATCACTTGGTGAAACATTTCCACGATAAAGCATACAACAACTTATGTATGATCCTTTTCTTGGATCACATTTTACCATCTATCGTTGATCAAAAAAACCCATGATTCAGAATAAAATTTTTTCAAAATTAATCATTTTAATCACAATAGTACTGTACTTGATTAGTTGATCTGAAGCACTCATTTGTGATACTAGAAACTGTAATTAACTGATTCATTAATTTTTGAGGAGTTAATATAGGAGAATGTGTGATGAGTGGAAAATGTAATCGAGGATAAGGAACCAAATTTGTTCGCAATTCATCTAATCCTACATTAAATGATCCTTCAAAACGTAAGGATGTAGTTAATCCCGAAACAATTTGAGCTTTTAATCGATTCAGATTTGTATAAGTTGGACGATTAATATCTAAATTTCTGAAAACAATATTTTTTTCAATGCATGGTAATTTTACCCATGAGTAAATATAAGAAATAATTATAATTATTTATTGTATTTCTATTCATGTTATTTTATAATACCTTGTACAAATATCATAAAGTGCTTCATTATCAATAATAAAACAACAATCTTCATATTTTATAGTCCTATGAATAGTAAGCACACTATTATAAGGTTCAACCACTGCTGTTGAAATATTTGGTGCTGGGTAAATAGTGAAATTAAATTTTGACACTTTACCGAAATCAGTTTCTAATCTTTCCAACATTGATGTTGTAAATCCACTACCTGTTCCTCCACCAGAAGACCTAAATATATTAATTCAGCAAAAATATGATCAAAATATATATTTATTTTTATCTTTCAATATATATTTTCTATTATTAACCGAAAAATTAAAAATCCAAGTAAATTTGAACAAGATTCACTAACTCCTCGGATACCATTCAAAACAAGTTCAATAATTTCTTCACTAGTTCGATAATATCCTCGAGCAAAATTATTTGCAGCATCTTCTTTACCAGTGATTAAAACAGTAGGATCATACAAACATTTATAAGGGCCAATACGTATTTCATCGATCACTGTTGGCTCAGAATCGATCATCAATGTACGTGGAGTAAATTTTCCTGACTCCAAAACAAAATTTAATAAATAATAAGAAAAATGTTTATCTTATGAAGAAAGTATTAACCTACTTGGGTTGGTGTGAAGAAAGAATGATAGGAATTATCATCGGTATAATAATTATCACTCATATAACCGTCTGACATAATTCCATGTTCAAGGCAGAATAATTCCCAACATGCATTTCCTATTTGTACACCACATTGGCCTATGAATATTGTGATTATTTGACCTGTCTCATTCATTTTTATTTTTTAAATTATTTTTTGATATCTTTATTATTCGTTAATTTCCAAAATAAGAACATTTTTTAACTTAAAATTTAGTATATTATTAATTTTGTTCATTTTTATTAATTTATTGCGTAATTTGTTACATTTTGATTATAATTAATAAATTCCTATGTCAATTGTTTAAAAATTAAATACATTTATATAATGTGTTCACAAATTTATACGAAAACAATCACACAAAAAACGTCTCATTATGAGTATAACATCAAATATAGTCATGATAAAAAATAAAAGTTCAAGTGTAAACAGGAATCAAAAAGTCTCAGTGAATATTATAATCTATTAAGAGTAATTGACAATAAAAGTTTATATTAAGAAAATTCAAGAGTAATACAAAACAAATAATGAAAATAAACATTCATAATTTGATTTATCAAATTCAAAAACTCACTTCCACAGCTGAATAAAGATGACTTCTCAACGAGCGAATAAAATCACTAATCAAACAAGTTGTTGAGCTGTTCGTTCTTTGCTATATTCACTTCCTCCAAAAGGACTTTTCATGAGATATTCAAACGTCCTTTTAAATCTTTAGAAGGTTTTCTTCAATTTTTAAATATCATTATTGTGCATGAATACTCTCGTTCAAGTTCGAAATAAAGAAAACTTTTTCGCTGTGAAGCAGTATCAGAAGATTGAAGAAAGAAACTTTGTATCTTCGGAGGTAAATATTTTTTTTATTGGATGGACTTGTGATTTCAGTTTTACTTAACTTTCAATTACTTCCAAAGACATAATGTCGTATTATAATGATTCTATATTTTTGTTGAAAAAAAATCTGAAAATCTCCATAAATTCTTCTATAAAATTAGCACAGGTGATAATTGTATGAATTGTAAAAATCTCCAACAGTTTATCAACTTCCGAGGTAAAAGAAGTAGTAAAACATTGTCTGTAGACTTTTTAAATTGATAAGACTTGTGTAAGGTATCAAAAAGTATGCTTGTATATCCAAGGCATTATCAGCAAAAAATGTTAAATAGAACTTTCTCTCAAGAAGCAACAAGATAAATCAGAACTTCCAGTTTGTAATCCAATGAAGAAAATAAAAATAAGGCTCTATTTGATGAATTGTGAACTTCTGCTACCATTGATAACTTCTACTGCTGATAGTAATTTCAGTTTTGCTTATTGCGTATACCAAATGAGCACGGAGGTACAGAGCAATTCCTTGCATTTGTACCAAACTTGCAATGGTAGTAACATATATTTTTGTATGTAGGGAATTGAACACAATTTTTGAAAGTTGATCTGGGTCTGAATCTGGGTTTGGAATGATATACGTCTGTCCTTAACTCCTTGATTTCTTGAAGAACTTTGCAAAGAGTTTTCTCCATGTTTTCTACCTTCTCATGTAGAACCGATACATCGTCAATAGCATTAGTTGAAGAAACTGATTGCTCTGAAGTAGATGTAGTAAACCAGAATATTAGGCTGTCAGCTTTTTCTGCCAGCTGGTCGAGTGTCAGATCATTGAACATCTCAAGGAATGGTGGTAACTCAGGAGGTAGCTCCTCCATCCACAATACTTGGATAGCTAAATTCGTCATATTGTTCGATGCCAGATTTTTCATCTCACGTAATAACTCAGAAGGTTTCTTGGTACCTAGATGTGTATCTTTGAATAATCGTCGCAGATTTTCTGCCTCTGATTTACCAAAACGGTTAAGAATAATATTCTTGATGAATGCATACTTATTCTGAGCTGGAGTTTCTCGAATTGCATCTAAAATACATTTTAATGAATCTGAATCAAGAGCTTTGATCACTGAGTTGAATTTGACATCATCATCAATCGTCTTAGAGATGGAGAATTCTGAATCTACTAATATAAACCATATATCAACGATATTTTTATTAAACTTTGGTAGATCAAGTTTCCAATCAATGTGATAGTGATTCTGAAGAATCGTATTCACTTCATCACATTTTTGCGGGCATTCAAAAGGTTGTTGTTCTACGTTCTCTTGCGTAAACTCAAAATCTTGATTGTGTGGTATCAACTCTAATATATTCAACGATGGATCTGTCATGATGATTTCTTTGTTCGTAGTGTAAGGATGGCGGACACATGAACAAAAATATTTATTCTATTGAGCTTGCTGATCACGTTATGGTGAGCAATTTGGAATCATCAGATAAAAGTGAATATAGAATTAATACTATTAAATAACTAACCATATGAATTTATATATAAATAAAAATATGAAAACCATACAGAACAAGTAGTAAAAATAAGCGTTTGAAACGTTTTTTGCTCAATTTGAAAATTGAATAAAGATGGCTTCTCATCAAGCGAATAAAATCTCGTTACAAAGCGCCATATTCATCAGAAGCGGTGGTGATGCAAACAACTGTTACGTTTTCGTTAGATTTATGGATCCATCTTGAATATTTTTGCACGTGTGTGCACGTTCTATTCTTTAATTAAATTCATAGACATTTTTCAAAAAATTCTAACCTGTAATTGTCATTTCGAATTCTTCATACTCAGACCACAGTATCTTAAAAATTAAACAAACAGGTGTAATTATTGTATATATTTACAGTTGATATATAATTTAACGAATACGAAAATTGAGTACAAATATCAATGAATATTATTTATAGTTAACATCCAAATTTGGATGAAAATGATTTATTTAATAACAAAATAATAAAATGTGATGATAAGTTATGGTCAAATGAATTAAGTAATGAAGTACCCAAGAAGTTTGCCTTGGATTTCAATATTAATAAAGAGACAATATAGCTCTAAATCATTCAAGAATCATTATGACAGTTTAAAAATTACTCCAAAAGCTACTCAAAACGAAGTTAAGTCTGCATATTTTCAACTTTCAAAACTTTATCATCCTGACAAGAACGACAGTGATGATGCAAAAGAAAAATTCCGTAATATATCAGAAGCTTATGAAGTATTAGGAAATCATGAGAAAAGGAAACAATATGACAGACATCTACATATAACAACTCCTACATCAAAAACAGTATCAGACTATCCTATTTTTCGTGATCTTTCTCGCAATATGAGTTCTGAGGAATTAAAAAAAGAAGCTGAACGTGTAAAAACAGAATTTTCACGTCATGGTGGTGGGTTTGCTACATATGATATGGAAACTTGGACGAAAGAACACTACGGTAGAATATTTCAAGAGACGATGGAAAAAAAATATCGACAAGAAGCTCGTAAGAAAGCGAAAGAAAAAGCTATAAAAGATGCTAAGGATTTACAAAACGCTGAATTTCTACATTTTATAGTTATGGTGATCCTTATAATCGGTTTTGCAATTCTTCACTTTTATTTCATGCGCCCAAGTGAAATTCCTCATGTAAAAAATTTTGATAAAACCAAAAATGAAAAATAATGTGTACAGTAGAAATTGATGGAATTCAAAGTATTTACTGGCTGGATCAGTAATATTTTACCTCATAGAAACTAAATAGTGAAATTGATATATAAATTTTACAAAAATAAATGAAATTTAAACTATATCAATATTATTTATGTAAATAGTACGGAAATGTAATAAATAAAGATTGATTTAGGATTAAAATATCATTTAGTTTATCTGAATAATATTCGAACTATTCAAAATAAATGTACAAATGATAATTGAATTAATCAATTATTAAATAAAGTCGAGCTACAGTTAAATAAATGGTCGATAATTAGGGGAAATTGGCATTGGCATTGAGACTGAACCTGTGGGGTAAGGAACTGAAGGTATTATTCCAGGAAAATTGGTATTTGTTGGATAACCAGGTCCTCCACTAGACGTTTTTAATGGTGCTTTCCTTCTCAATTCTCTCATTTTATCAACTTTAACTTTACGAAGATGCATTAGTTTCCGTCGTGTTAAAAACTGTTCCAAGAATTCGTCCACTTCGTAGTCACCAGATAAAAATTTCTCAGCTAATTTCTGAACATGTAACATTAAACATTATTTTAAAAAACAATATTCAAGAATAGTATTACAATGATTAACTTATTTGTTTTTTATTTTAATCACCTCAGATTCTTCTTCACATTCTGCAGCTGCTGCTTGTAAAAGTTCCATTGCTGTGTCAATCGACATTGAACCTGATTTTTCTTCTACAAAAACAAAAAATAAGTAAAATTTATTAATGCTTTCGAAAAATTAATTTATGTCGGTTTTTTAAATAAATTATAAATTCTTACTTATAATACTCAATTTCTCTTGAACACTGCTACACATTGCAGTACCCCTCTCTCCAAGTTCATGCAATGTCTTTTTACCTTCATCCAACTCTGGTTGTTTTGATAAATTATATTCAGCGAGTGAACGATTACTTGCCATCAACATTTCTTTCTCTGTTTCCAGTTCTTTAAACTAGAAATATAAAAATAAATATGTTTTTTTTTAATCATTCATTACTTGTTACGATTACTTGTCAATTTTTGATTTATTACTATTACTATTACAATGAGATTACATTACTCAATATGGCTAATTAATGAGCATTTACAAAAAAATACTCACCTGTTGAACATGTTTTACAATATCTTCAAACTTTCCTTCATCATTCAGCAGTTCTTTAAGTTCATCATTACTTAAATTATGCAGTTTTGATAATGCAGCGGGAATATCAGGTTCTTGAGTTGGGTTATACATTCTTCAGCTGTTAACATGTATTAATAATATAAATAATTTAATCCTTTAATTTATGATGATTATTATTAATGAGTCATTGATAATTAATTTTGTCAAAATGTATTGTAGTTTTTTCTTACAGATATAATTTCAATCAAAATCAGATATTAGATCAACAATTAAATTGCATATATTTTAGAGTATTGATGAAAATGTTTAATATACTAACGATTTAGTATAAAAAAATGTTAATCAAAAAAAAATTTTTTTCGTTCAACGGCAAAATAGATTTACACTGATTTAAATAAAAATGTATCACCAACAATACGCAGCCATATTGAATATTTGTAAATCGAAACTATCGAGAGATATATCTCGATAATTGAGCTCGAAAAATGGCAGGTTGATAAATCGTTTTATATAAATTTCTATTTTATTTACAGTCGATTTCTAAGAAATTTCATGTCAAAAATAACGATTATTTTTTGTACTTGAATTGTATATTTGAATTAAAATTATTTATTCAAATACTAGAACCATAAAAAATAGACACTAACAAACTCACAAAAAATATAAATTTCAGTTGAGTACTTAAGTTAATGAATTTGTAAATAATTAAGATTTTAAATCAACATTTAGTGTATGAGGAATAAAAAAATCAATAAGTTTCTGATTTTATTCAATATAACATGAATATTTTTTTGGATAATTACGTGGTTCAATAGGCATTCAAAAAAATTATTGAGTACTATTTATTATATATTTATTACTTGAAAAATATGTGGGAAAAGATAAAAAAAATAATACAGAAATAAAAATATTACAATAAATGATTAAAAAGCTACTTGGAAAGTTATAGATGATAGTGCACATGTGCAGTATGTGACGCATGCGCAGAAGTTATTCAACTCGCGACGGCGCGTGAGTTAAGCACAATCCAAAGTAAAATTTTAGTGAGTCGTGAACGGTATTTGCTCCAATACGAGAGAAAGAGAAAGAGAGTTAAATCAGTATAGGAGCGGTAATTACTGCTTAAAAATCGAGAAAACAAATATAATATATACGTGATGCGTGACGATATCAGGAGTAGAAAAAACCATACTTTATAGGAACACTTAAAGGTGGAGTACAAATAAAAATATAAATAAAAAAATTTCAAGTAGTTTAACGAGTTTCTTGGCTATGTATCGTCAGCTTTACTCATACTTACGACTTGTAGTTTCGTCGATAGTCGATACCCGTGGCTTTGGAGAGTAACACAGTGGCCCGGTCGCGTGTCCCCGTTGAGGAATCCTCTCTTTGTACATCGGAGGGACCTCAGCGGGTTATTTATTAGCTTTGAATAATAATTTTCCATAAATAATACATATTCTTCAGCGTCAAGTGTGTGGTGCTGTAGAGGTGTAAGGGATGAAGGCCGGGGGGATAATTCAGGTGACGATCTAAGATCAGAAATGTTGAAATTTGGAAGCAAAAACGACGTTACAGTGGTGCATCGCGCCACTATTCGATTGCTCGACGACGCCGAAATTATCCACTGTGACTTTCAGGTAATAAATTATGTATAAAAGCTATAGAATCATTCCTTTCATTTAACAAGAATAGATATAATACCTTTGAAAGACTACAAGATAGAAGACTTTCACCAATTTGTATTATTCATTTATTGTTCCAATAAGAGATCAAGTATTTTTTTACAATTTTTTAACTATTTTGATTTTTCACTACACAGAACAATTGCAATATTCAACAGAGGATGAACAAGACAAGAGAGAACAATGAAAAGTTTTAGTTTAACGTTAAAGTTTGGTGAAATTGCAGCTTATTGTCAAACATCCGAATATTCAAGCACAGCAATCACTCCAACATCAAACTCTACACTCTTTTGTCTCTAGTGTTTGAAGAATCGATTTGACGGCATTGAGTTTTTACGAAGGAATTTATGACACTAAAATGAGTTTCGAGATAAACAAAAAAATATAAGTTTCAGACAAAAGAGATGTCAATAGTTGAGAAGTAGTGAACATGAATAATTCTTTTAGTTATTATTCTTCACACTTTCAGACAATCTGGAAAAATGTGGGACAAGGTTTTTATTTTTGGCACAATACTTGTCCTCACTTGTAATGCCAAGGGGATGAACCATTCACCCTTCTTGTTAAATATATCTTCTTTTTCTTTTTTATATCTTGCTTCACTCTCTTAACATCCTTCAACATCGGTGTTTTTCAAGTGCATTCTCTTCAATCACGATGACCTCTTGATTTAAATCAAATTTCTCTGTTATAAGTGCCTTCTTTAAATGCTCTTTTGTATTTTTGTATAATTATTCAGTTAATTGTCTCAATATACTTTTTTGACAATGAATGTTCAGTTGACGAAACAATTTGTCTAGTCTTGATGTAATTCCCATCGACAATTAGTGTGGAACTTTCGTATAATTTTTTCCAAAAAATTATATTTTGTATACATCATTATTATTTATAGTTAAAAATTTGAATATTACTATTCATATTTTATTGAAAAATTAAATTACAGGTAGAATATCATGTAAAATTACATTCAAACTATCTTCATAAAACATTTTGGCCATTGCTATTATTATTATTACAACATTTAATTATCTTAGAGACGTTTCTTATAATTCAAGTGAAAAAAAAATTTTTAAGCAAAGTTTAAAAAGTTACTTAATGGGATAATTTGTCTTCTAAATCCAGCAGAAAACGTTCATTTTTAATACTACCAAAATCGCATCATTTTAATTTTTGCCAGTTTGTTATGCTAACAAGTTGACCTTTATTTGACTCTTTCAATTATTTTATCTCGATAAAAATTTTTTTTTAATTCTGTGAATCTCATTCTGTTCTTGAGCATATCATGTTGCTTTCTCACACACACACATTCTATACAATTTTTAGTGATTGGTATTTTTTTCCAATTCATCAAAGTCATATAAAATGAATGAAAATACTTTACTCAGAATTTTTTAATTTACCACCACAATTAGCTTTTTATATACTTGTACGAATTTAAATTTGCATTTAGTTATATTTTCTTGTTTCTCATTTTTTGAGTTCAATACTTGAATAAAAAAATTTAAGTATTTTCGTATTTTTCTGTCACAAACAAGTTGTTCTAAAATTATCTAAAGTTGAAACTTTTACGATCCATTTGATAGATAAAAAAAAACTGTATTGGATCTATGTTATTTGATATCAAATAGGGCATTGCCAGGTATACCAATTTTGTAAAATTAACTCAACTTTGCTAACTCTTCATTAACACAAGCTTTTAGTTATCTGCTTTATCATCAATGATGAAATCTGGTAAATCAATCTTATTATAAACTTCTTGACATCCAATTAAATTAAAATCTTGAATCTGCAATTTGATAGCTATCCAATAATAAACACTCTTTAAAATAAGATATTGCTTTTTTGGATTTTTAAAAACCTACAGAATTGAGGAATAAAACTTTGTTAAATTTATTGAAAAAAAATTCTATCATTAAACTATAAATACAATGATTGTTGACATAAATTCTCTTCATCAGCACAAATATATGACAGTCTTAGATAATTCTAGCTATCATATATTACAAAATTAAATCGACAAACATAAGCTAGGTTTAGTTTTCAAAACTTAATTATCTGAACTATATAATACATCAAGAAAAAAAATTCTATAAAATGTATCATTTACTTCATTAGATTGATTTAATGCTAGATAAAAAATCACTAAAATCAATTATTGAAATACTCTGAAATAATTACATTCATATAATATTTTTATTGAAATTTTTTATTTTATTCAAATGAGTGTCCACTCTATACAAAATCAATGATATATCTAATTGATTTAGGTAATTTTTAACTCAATACACATTATTGTTTTCTAAAACTTTTCCCTACATATACGTAGTCCACCCTTTTTTATTCATATTTATGAGGTCAACTGGATAAAAATATATTTTAATTCAATTTAACTAATTACTATTGTTCATAGACTCTTTTTTTGACCCTAAATTTTATTCATAATAAAAAATAGTTGATATTATGATTATAATACATGAATACTTACTTATATTTTTACACCAACATTTATATAGCTTTTTTATGAACAATTGATGTGTCAGTAGCATGGGGATAATATGTTAACACGTTTTTAGTTCATTTTCTAGCAGAGGTACAAATATGTGATGATAATCTGTGCATACACAGTTGAAATTATTTAAACTTTATCATTTAATTTATGATTTTATTATTCAAATTGGACATAAATACACTAATTTTTAATTTATAAATTAGTAAAAAAACAATTTTATAACTTCTGTTTCATAAAATATGTATTTAATTTAATTTTAAAATGAAATAAAAGTATCAATAATACAATTTATCTAGAGATATGTCATGAGATTAAAGGTACATTCAAAAAAATTAATAAATATAATATATATTTATAATTTAAATACCCAGGAAAAATGATAAGATCTAAAGAAATTTGGATCAGAACAGTTCTAACTATTTTTCTCTTGATCCAATTGGATTTATGTAGATCGAATATTTTTCTATTTAATCATATTAAATTGAATGTTGTATTCCTCGATGTTAAACTGGATCCAATTAGATCTAATAAATTTAGATCTATTTTGATTCGAATAAATCCAATCATGTCTCCTCTTCCAATAACAAGCCACGACTAATAATTTATAGCTTGTCTTGTTGGCAAAAACAATTAGTACCATGTATCGCTAACTTTGTTCATTAATTCAATAGTAATAATGAGAAAATCATACAATTACGTCAGTAATAACAAGAAGGTCAAATTGTAATATTCTAATTCCACAGTGTGTAGACAATAGTGGATAAAAAATTCAAAAAGAGAGAATGCAGTTAAGTGAAGATGTATATTTCTCTATCTCTACATGAGAGAGATCAAGATCTATAGCTGTGAAAGAAATGTATGTATCTAGTCATGACTTGATGTATACACTGTTTCACATGACTGCATATACATCCATATTTATGGTATGAATATAAACTACATATAAGTAACTTAACTCTGCAAAAGGGCCATCCTTTTCTACTATACCATGTGTAATACTACCTCTAGGTTACCTTGGCCTATCTTCTTTGCTATTAACGTTGATGCGTGGTCGCTAGCCAACTACAATAAACACATACACATCCATTATCCATATCACTCGCCTTTTCACATACTTCGATATAGCATTCATTTATGTTATATTGACGAATGAAAGCGTTAAATGGAATCGAAATTTACGTTGAACAACTTTCTTTTCATGCATCCAATATTTCCGTTTAATTTTTTTTTTCCATACAATATGTTTTTCCCCTCTGTTCCGTTATTTCGGTGACAAAAGAAAAAATTTTCATTCATACCTTTTTCATAATATAAAAATAAATAAAATGTGTTAATAAAATCGCTTGAAAACCTCTTTTTGCTCTTTACCTGTAGAGAATTTTATTGAAGAAACATAAGTTATAATAAGCTATTCTTGTTTTTATAAATAATTGTGTTAATGTATTTCTGATATCTCCGATTGATAGATGAAATAATCGTCAGCTTTATACATAATCTTGAACTCTGTACATACTAGTATTACATCACTAATTGTTTTTTTTACGTTCCATAGATATTATGTCAATATTATTCATGAATACATAAATTTAAATGAATGTCGTAAGGTTTTTTTTTTTAACTAAAAATAATAAGAGATGAAAAAATTTTTTAAGTTTTAAAAATTAAAGTTTCTCTTTTGTTGCATTTTGTGTTTACAGATATTATTTTATTAGAAATAAAAATATTGAAGATACACGCTAGTAATATTTATAAGTAATAAAATTGAAATGAATTATATTTAAAAATTTAAGAAGGATTTATTATAGTTACTTTTGATATGAATAATAAATCAAATCAAACATGGCTATTTCAGTTGTAAGTTAATAGAAGGAGGTAAAAATATTAAAATTTCAAGAAAAATATTATCCATTATTAATGGAATGGAATATCAGTTAATTAAGTTAATAAAAATGATAGAATTTTCCTTTATACTAGTTATTGAAATTTTGTAATTTTAGCCCCAACACAAAGGAAAGTACATTTTGGAATATGTATGTAAGCAGCTTAACATCATTGAGACAGATTACTTTGGATTACGTTATGTGGATCACTGTAGACAACGAGTGAGTAACATAATATTTAATTTAAACAATTAATATTTCCAATTAATTTGAAAATAATTTCAGCATTGGTTGGATTTGGCTAAAACGGTGATAAAACAAGTGAAAGGTGAGTTATAAAATTTATTGTTCATATTATTGATCTTACTATAACTATGCTATTAGTCTCTTTGATTCTTTAACCAGCAATAGCATAGTAGACACAAGGTCTTCATCATTTATGAAAACTAGTAGACCGATATATAGAAGTCTAGACTTTAGTTTTATGTGCAGATATTCGGAGTTATCTATTTTCCATGAATTCGTAGACGTGTTCCTACAGCAAGTCGATGTTGCATTAAATTTTTAGAGATTGTTTTGAAAAAAATACAGAGCAACTTCTAGCTCTTGGGGAAAGACGTTTCTACCTTGTCCCAGTTGTTCTTAAATCTTTAAAAAGTTTGAAATCCAATGTAAAATGTCTAAAATATTTTCTAACTCGGTATCATCGTTAGGTAAATAAAAAAAAATGATGGTATTTCATATTCAAAATTACATTGAACAAATTTATATATGATAAGTAGTAGAAATTGAAATTCGAATAGAAAACATCAGAATTATATTATATGATAAAGAAATGTGTATTGAGTAACTTGAAATAGTTTCATAAATTTGATATATGTAACTTTAGTGGTGAGAATGCAAAAAAAAATATAAATTTAGGTATATTGATACTGAATAAAACAATTTGATAAATTCGTTGGATTGAGTTTTTAAAGGAGAACATTTATCTTAAAATAGCTTTTCCTCTCTATACTGTACAGTTCTTATCTTATTTGTTGAATAGAATAATATAAAAGTTGTACAAACCATTCATCATAACTGATAACAATTTCTATTGATCAATTACAGATATGGAGTCAATACTATTCAGCTTTCGTGTCAAATTCTACCCCCCGGATCCCCTGAGGCTGAAGGAAGAGATTACCAAATATCAAATTTATCAACAACTAAAGAGGGATCTACTCCACGGGCGTCTATATTGCAGTCCTGGGGAAGCCGCGCTGCTGGCAGCGTGCATCCTGCACAGTAAGGAATAGTCTCCTATATCAAGGAGGAACAATTATCATAAAGACTTGGACCAGATCTACTATAATGCATCCATTTGTCTTGGACAATCAGACGAACTTGGCGAGTACGATCCGGACATCCACGTGGGCAATTACATGTCGGAGCACAAGATTTTGCTGAAGCAGACCGAGGCTATCGAGGAGAAAGCAATGGAGATACATCAAACTCAACTAAAAGGCTTTACTGCAGAACAAGCAGAGACACATTTTCTTAGGCTGGCATCGCAACTCGATACTTATGCAGTTGATCCCCATCCTGTCAAGGTGAACAGCATGATAATAAGCCAACTAATCCTTAATAAATGCATCACTGCACTACATAACATCATTTAGAACCATAACTAAACTCATTTTTAATTTTATTTGGAGTTATTTGAAATAAAAAGAAATATATTACGAATGGTTTACTTTTGCCGATTTCATTTAACTAATTGGCACAGAGATTTTTGAACTATTCATAAAAAACCAACAATTTCAAATATTTATTTGATTCAAATATTACTCCATTTATCTTCTTCTTTTTCATATAAAAAATTCATTTTTCGTACAAGTTGAGTTATAAATCGTTAAATTTGTAATTAACTATTTAATAGTCTAGAACTTTTAATTCTACTTATTAATGAGTTCTGAGCACTGAAAAATTTATAATTTTCAAAAATGATTTAAATTTCAAATTAAATTTTAAATTTATTAGTTTCAAAAAATTTCATAAAAATAATTAGAAATTTTTCTTTCAGGATCATAAAGGGACACAATTGTATCTTGGCATCAATCATCATGGTATTCTAACTTTCCAAGGGTCTCGTCAAACAAATCACTTCCGTTGGTCCGAAGTTCAAAAAATAAATTATGAAGGCAAAATGTTTATAGTTCATCTGACAATCAATGAGGTAAAACAAATACAAACTAACGAAACTGGAGTATAAAAATTATTCTAGCTAATATTATTACTTATTTCGATGTCACACGATTCTTAAACACTGCTTCTAAGCTGCATTTTTCTATTTTTTGCAGGAAAATATTGGTAAATCTTAATAAATGATAAAACTAAATAAATTTTAAGTTAACCTTGATCTAGAATTTAAAAAAAATATGAATTTTTTACTCACTGTTGACAGCAACGTGTTTACCTCAATGCATTAGCGTATAATAATAATTTAAATATATAATTTGATGTGGTTTGCATTAAGAATCGGGTGAAAACAGAACAAAGTATCACATTACCCATTTTTCAATGTCGCTGATAAGATTATAGAACAACCCTTTTAATAATCCTATTACTTACCTCCCTCTTTTTCATTTTTCTGTTTGTATTTGGTCACACTCTCAGGACTTGAGGACTAAGGTGAGTGTGTGTATGTGTTGATTGCAAAGCCAGTTAAGTAGCCTCGATGTTTTACGAAGCACGTCGAGACACTTTCTTAAACATACCGGAACATAAGAGTGTGCTGGAACTGACAAGAACGTTTTTATTTTACTTGTTAAAAATTTTTTATCATTGCGTTAATATTTTTTCATTTCTTTAATCCTCTACTCGTCCACTTCCGTCACTTGCTCGTGTGGGTAATTGTCTTATAAGTTTTTACCCACATATCAATAAAATTTGTCATACACAATTCATGTATACATGTGTATATAATAATTAAAATTACTGATTAGTCAGCTTTTATTATCTTCTGCTTCAAATAACTATTTTAGCTATTTAGATAGTTCTATAATCGATATGATAATTGTATTATGTATTCAATAATGGTTGCTAGTCATACATAACAATACATAGTAACAACACAGTAGACGTAGTAGTTGATATCGAAACGGTGTCTGCGGCATTTTCAGAAAAAACACACCGTCGGCTTCAAGTGTCCGACTGGATCTAACTGTCGTCATGTATGGAGATGTGCTATTGAACAGATGCTATTCTTCACGTAAGTAAATCCTGAGTTATACATTAGCTTTAATACTAGATGTAGGAGAAAGTAATATACAACTTTTTATATAGTAGAAAATATTCAACGAAATATTCCTTCTTTATTTGTTAAATTATTTGTATTTTACCACTGAATAGTAATTAATTATTCTGTATGCTTGTCATTTATTAAATACAGTTTAAGGAAAAAAATTACATCAAAGATTAGATTGTCAACAATTATTTACTGATAAATATGATTTATTGAAATGAGTTACAATATATATATAAGATTAAAATAAGATTAAAATCGATGTCAGTTACATTAACAAAAAAATAAGGGTGACTCTTATAGAGTGACATAATATTTTATTTTTTATTGTTTACATAATTCATAGTTAGAGGGAATTTGATGTTAGTTATAACCCAATATATAATTTAGAATATTATTTATGAGATCTTCAGATACAATTTTCAATAAATAAGTAATTGGCTCTAAAAATAAAAAAAAACTATCTCAATAAAATACTCCAAAACTCTTAGATATTTATTAAACAAATAAAATTCGTTGAATATCATTATAAAATACTTTTATTTTATTTTTGAATATAATATTTTTTTTATTATTTTTTCGTTATGCCTGTTAGTAAATTTAACCTATTCATATAATTGCATTACAATTTTTCTTCGTAACTGCTACGTAATCGCCATAGCATAATCTACTTTAAACTAGTACACTTTGAAAGTTTTTCCTCAAACTCTTTTCCTTCTTTCACACAAAATTTCTTTACTTCATTTATACAAAATATTTATTCTCCAACAACGTAAAACGTTATGTCAAACGTCAAAGCAAATTGATACTTTGTACAGTATCATTTACTGTTTATTTCTATCAAAACATGCATGAAGACGAATCACGTGGAATTGAATAGCAGTAAAGTAAAATAATTTTCACGCAGGTTGCCCAGAGCTTCAGACGCGCCAGTTGTGAGCGGAGGATCTATATTCTCGTGGGGTACAAAGTTTAAATATACTGGAAGAACAGAGAGAGAAGTGTTGGAGGAAACTGCTGCGGTAGCTGCAGGTTCCGAAGAAGCATCATCGCTTAAAGGAAAAGGAGACGGATCAGCTCAACGTTGTCAAACAGCCGGATTACGAAGAAAAGCTAGTAGTGTTCCAGCAACACCAAGTACACCAAGTCAAGATCTTATTGAAATCAGTAAGTCTAATTGAATATATCTAGCATGACTTTACAATTAATACGCTTATTATTGTTAACTACTTGTTAATTTTTTTGTATTATATGTTATGAGAAAAAAATCTTATCTAACTTTTAATACTTACTTTATACTTGTTTAAAAAATAAACAAATAAGTTGTTTAAAAATTGGGTATATGTATTTAAAATAGATGTAATAATAATTCTAAACAAGAAATTATTGATAAAAACAATTTTCTTAATGGATTGTTATATAATGAATACATTTTCTAGGATATTCAAGTCTGCCAAGAAGCTGTCACAGCGCGGGTTTAGACGGTGCTGGAATGGCAGACGCTGGAGGAACTGGCGGCGTTCCCCTTAGTTCCCCTTATTGCCCTGACAATACATTACCACTATTGGAGACTGTATCAGAGGACCAAGAAATTTATGCCAAGAGAAATAACGGTACCAATTGACGCTTCTTTTATGATAGAATAGTTGATCATTTTCTTTTTCTTCTTCACGCTTGTCTCCTTTTCCATAGCTTTCTGTACTTTTTTTTTTTTATTTTTATGTATCTAATTAAGCTTTCTTTAAAAAAACTACTTATCCACTTTCGTAAACAATTGTTTTTGTAAGCGGTAGATAAATTTTCTCAACTTAAATCGAGCTGTCCAAGCGGTCGATGCAATTTGCAAACTAGAAAATCTCGTTTCTAAAATGATAAGCAATATATAATTTTAACATTTATTGTTTCTTTTATTATATTTATATTAGACTAGTCAATGACACGTAGATAGTTTCATATGTATTCTGCTTCTTACACTGAATGACTTTTTATGCGTATAGTAATTTTTTTTTAACCTGCATATTTTAAAATAAGTACACAGTTTATTGATTACACAATAATTGTACAGGAAAAAAATGGATTTCGTTTCTTTTGGCTTTTTTAGAACCTCTTCATTTGTTTTTTATTTTTTTCTGTTCTTTAGCTGTAGACGAAAATGAATCGCATGCGAGTGCCACCCACACCACATCCACCACAAATCTACAACTGAAAAACGTGAAATCAAAAAGCTCAGGAAGACCCCAAAAATACAGTCAAAAAATAATCATAGGATCTGAGGAACTTGTTGGGAAAAATATCGATATGGTTGTTCGAGAAAAAATCAATTCCTTGGAGAAGAGTCCTAAAATAATCAAATCTACTGCAATAATAATTAAGTCATCACGTACACCTGTAAAATCATTACAAAAATTAACTCAACCTTTCAATGAATTACACAAATCACCTCAAGTAATAGTCAAATCAAGATGTAATGATCTCAAGTCTTTTGAAGATAAAAAACAATTACAGATTACAACGAAATCTTGTGAAAATCTTCAAGAAAAAAAAGAAAACTCACCGATATTATTAATGAAGAGGAGTTCATCTTCTATAGAAAATGAAAGCATGGAAATAAATTCAAAGCTAGCTAATGGTTCAGTAATAAGTTCAAGAACCAGAAATGGACCAATGGCATTTGCAATGGCAATTGCAGCTGCGGCTGTTGCAGCAACGAATTCTTCAGCTTGTGCAAACACTTGTAAAGACCTGCCATCAGTTAAAGCTGATAAAGGTGAGCTGTATAGAGTGATATTTAATCAAGGTGGGTTGTAAGTGTATACCAGCTTAGTATTGTTATTTTTTTCCTCAAAATATTTTGCATATTTTCCAGCATGTTCATGTTTGCTTTGATCTATAACTGCTTCTGTCCCTTCAGAATCAATGATAAAATATCACTGTAAATAGTGATACAAAATGACATGCATGATTGACGGCTATTCTAGTTGTTAATGTTTCCTGAACCCATCTATCGACTCACTATTTCATATTTTCCTCGGTGATATAATACATGATAATATTTGATCATATTTATTGACGAACGTATCGACCGCTAAGATATGCTCACAATAATGAATAAATGCAAAACAAAATTTTGTTATAGAATCATTGATTAGCATTATTTTAATTTATTTTTGTAGGTCAAATGGGTGACGGAGAAAACAACGACTATTTCTTCAGAGATTCCTTTGATCATTCATCATCAGAAAGTCAACTTGTAGATGGTTTAGGAAAGTCTCAAAGTAGATCAGTAACTCCAGTACCAAAAATGCAAAAATTACAAAATTCTAAACTTTGTTTACAACCAGTAGGATCAAGATCAATAGCAGGAAGATCGAAAACTTTACGTAGTGTGCGATTTATACGATTATTTATTTCTGCATTTGTTCTCACTGTTACAATGTTATTTATCGTTGTCATTATCATCTTTGAGACAGATTCTACTGTATTTGACAGTATTCGTAAATCACCAGAAATGATCGCTTTCAAGAGTCAATATTATGTATCTATCAAGGAATTCCTCAGGACCAAACTTGGCCTATTCTGATTATTAAATCGGCCAATTACTAAATCGTTTTTGATCTTATTTCTCAAATAAAACCTCTTGTTTGAATGATTAAATAAAAATGAAAAATTAAGTTCAAACTTAGAAAATTAAATCTAAAAACCAAAGTAAACTTGAAAGTGCCAAGTTAAAAGCCAAGGAAAGTAATAAAAACAAAACTACTGTAAAATTTCCATTCGACAAGCCAGAGTATAGTTTTTGCGTGAATTTCGTTTATCCATAAATTTTCAAAGATCTTTAATTCGTGTAAATTATAAGGTAAGGCCTATCATCACTGATGGATTTTCATGTAAAACAAATAGATATTGATACAAGAATACTTCCTACCACTGTGGAATCACGAAGAAAAAATAATAAAAATAAGTAAAAAAAAAAGATAGTAAAATATCAAATGTAATTTCTCAAGAGAGTTAAATATTTTATCATAAAGACGATAATTGAAAAATTATCTGTACATCTTTAAATCTTAAATTCAATTCAATAATAGAATAATAGGAATATTTATCAAATTTATAAATGATAATAAGCAATTCATCTCTCAGTGCAATTATAATTTATATTAAATAATTTAATTATAGTGTATTGTTGAATAACAATAAGTAAAAGATCGTATATTATTTATCAAGGGAGTAAAATGAGAAAATTCAACATTTGAAAAAAATTGCTTCCGAGCCAAAAGCAAAGGAAAAAATCGTGCAGGCTGAAATATTTTACTTTTGCCTTCTATGTTACAAATACCATTTTTGATTTTTTTCAAATATAGAGATGAAAACAACGACACTCTCTTATAAAGAAGAATGACATTCATTTCATATTCATTTGCATACAATAGAATTCCGTAGTTCTATATAAGATATGTGTCACTTCATCAACCTTTTGACGAATAATAAAATTTATCTTTACATGAAGATATAATGAAAAATACGTTTCAAAAAAGAAGTTATAAGAATAGTTAATCCAATGGACTTTCTGATAGAAAATTGTGCTAAAAGTGTCTTCAACCTGAATTTTATATTAAATTAATATCACTTCATTGACATCTCATTTTGATATTTTTTACTTTATTCCAATAATTGTGAACCATTAATATTATAATTGAATTTCCTAAAAGTGCCTACGCAGTTTTAGAATTCCTCACACACTTATCTGTGTGGTTTTTGCTAACTTAAAATTATTTCTTTTTTCAATCTACTTCAATACTTTCACGTATTTAAGATATAAGAGAATTCACATTAATTATTTATTTTGCCATTTATTTGTTCTTCAAAATTCAAGCCTAAATCATTCGAGAAAACTTTACATCATCAAAAAACAAAATATTATTTTCTGAATTTTCATTTCTTATATACGTGAAAGATTTAATGATAGAAAAATATGTAGAAAAAATGCAAACTAAAAAATGAATTTTTTTGCTGGTAAAAAAATGTTTTTGTTCATTCTGTAGGTAAAGTTTATATGATAACATTACTTAACAATGTACTGAAAAAAAAAAATCCTTACAAAAAATATAGGGTTAACGAAAAAATGCTTCTGTCCGTCTTAAAATATTAGTCTTACATAGATTAACGGATGTCAATTGCAATATAATCCATCGTAACATAATGTAATAAAATTAGAAAAGAAAACAATTCTGACATTAAGATTTGGATAAAGATCAATAATTTTAATAGACGATATAGTGAAATGCTTTGTCAGTAAATTATATTGAATGCAATACAACTATAGTTGTATTTTCTGTAGAAAATGATGAACATTAAACACAGAAATAATTGTAATTTTATTTCAAGAGTTTAAAAACCTTTGTAAATGTTGTGTTAGTTATAAATAATTCAATCGACAAAGCTTATCATTCGATAAGTTTTGTGGTCATGATAACTGAATGTATATTTAGATGAAAACAACATTAAATTATACAACCGTTTTTGTTTTAATGAAAAAAAAGATGATTGATAGAACATATAATAAATTTGTGTTAAATATTTTAGGGAATGAAAAGCTTATTGTAGAAAAGAAGAAGTTTTATAAAAGATAGATTTGAAATGTTTTTAGTATAATATAGTTTGATAATTCTTTTAGCTTACATATCACGATGATAATTGTTATATAATGTTTATCTTTGTCTGATTTATACTGTGTTTATGTTTATCAAAGAGATCAATAATTTAAAAACGTGAAATGTTGCTGGGCGTTAAAATACTCTTTTAAATTCTAAAAGTGATTTCAATGGCAATTATTAACTGATTTTCAATAGTAATCAGGTCACTGATTCTTTCAGTAACTCGATTGACGTTGAGAATCAGTCAGTAATTACTAAAATCATTTTTAGAGTTTTATGAGTTATAACTCACTGAAGATGGAAAGATTTATTGCTTCAATTTTGATAATTGTAACATGACTATTTATTATTAATTTAACCCTAGAATGATACACAATCATCTGTTATTCTACAATAAGTAAAAAGAAAATCTGCTATTCCATAACAATGCAATTGACTATGTTTAAAGTGTGTAACCGAAATAATCAGGATGTAAATTTTATTCTCAATAATATTGCAACGACTTTAAATTAAATACTTTAGTTTCAAATGAAGAACAAAATCACCGGTGTGATTTTAAAACTAAAAATTGTATATTAAAAAATTAATAACTGATAAAGTTGATATTTATTATCAAAAAATGTAATAAGTTTTTAGGTTTCATAATTATTTCATGTTCTATTCATTTAACTGATTATTGAAAATTACTTAGTGAATCATAAGTTCTACTGATTGTTATATGAAGCGCTCCAATTATTGACAGTTAAATATTTAACTAGCCTGAATTAATTGTATGTTATATCCCACTCTGAATTTAATCAAATTTATAGCTTCAATCAATTTGGTTTTAATTAAATAAGCAATTTCGATATTTCCGTGGTCATCATCATTATATTGAAGATTGAATCTATTTAATATGAAAGGAAAATGTTTGGTACATGTAACTAGGGTTAAATTATCATTTTTGCAACGCTAGAAAATTTATCAATCGATTTTGATATTAAGGCTGATAAAAATAATATATAAATAAACAAAATAAGTTCTATGTATCATGAAAGTTCCACAATTTTAAATCAAAATCTTTGTATTGCTCTTGAATTTTGTACGCTTATTCTAATGGATCTAGTCGTGTTTATTATTAGAATAAAATTAATTACTTATTTTTAATGATAAGTAAATAAATGTCAAGTATTTATTACTTATTGGTAATACATAATACTTGACATTTCTTACATTAATAATAATACTTGACTAATCAATTGAAATTGTTTATTAATGGATTTGTGGAAAAATTTTTTAAAAATGTGAAACGAATAAAATAGGTTTAATAAAATTCGTTAAAAAAATTTTGCGAAATGATAGTTTTAAGACGACAATCTCTTAAGAATGTATTTACTTGAAAATGTCATCTGAAATGAAATACGATTCATTGAAATCAACGTACCTTATGAAAATCATCATCAATCTTTGCACAAGCGAAATAAAAACTTGCACTTTTCCAAAGAAAAAATGATAGTGGCGTGTTTCATTAATTCTATGATTAGAGAAGTTCATAATAATAATAATAATAATAATAATAATAATAATAATAATAATAATAATAACAATAACAATAATCCTCGACTGCGATTCTTATTGCGTGAAATTGTACATATTAATAATGAAAATATATATTGCCTACAGAATTGATTTATACAAAAAAAAATTGAAAAATAAAAATGGTGAAGATAAAAGTTGAAAAAAAATTAAAAATATTACATGTTCAATGCTGCCCGAAAATCTACAAAATTTAATCTGTTATTTATATAATTCTATCAAATATATCATCAATCTAAAAATATTTATTTCATTATCAATTTAGTATAAGATAAATTCACAACTGATAGAAAAATGTTAGTTTCAACCAGGCAAAACTTGTATTAATGCGATTATTGCAATTGGATAATACGATAGTCGTGGTTATTTAATTATAAAAATATCCTTAATGAATCCTCTCTAGCTTCTGTACGTGAAAAATGGAACACTTGAAATACATTTCTATGATATCCATATTTACAAAGAATCTTAATCCAACTAAATATCAGGTAGTATAAAAGAGAATCTTGATAAAAAATCCTTTAAACTGATAAAAATGAAGAATACTTTGATGATTTTTTATAAATATTATATTTACACAATGATAACACACAAAATTAAAAATTATTTTGGCATCGTGAAAAAAGGTAAAAAATATTTGATCTCATTTCATAACAATTTAAAATTATGTTAAATATGAACCACTTTTATGCCTATGAAGATTCATATCATTCACCATCATTATCTAGCTCCAAGTCCTTACGCAAAATTACTACTGATATGAAAGATCATTAGAAACTTCCGCACCACCTGCATTTAAAGGTCATCGACGCTGCTTAGCCTTATTTTCTGTTTATAAATCTGCTTTTTTATGTTATTTTTTAAATAAAATTTTTTTCCTGTTGACTTCTTTCCTGTGAAAATGAACCAAAAAACTATCGATTGATGAAGTATTGATACTTGTTCCAAACACCTGTACTGGAGCATTGATTGACCTCGAGCTTTTCAACATTATATAGTATGAATAAAGTTTACTATCAACTTGTCTACCTTGTACATACTCTATTATCCAGCATCGTTGTCGCGCAAGTCAATGGGTAGATAAAAGCAAGCGTGATGAGAGAGAGGGGCATGAAACAGTAACGGGTTCGAGAAAGAGCCAGAGAGAGAGAAAGAAAGAGTCATTAAATTGTAAGAAAGAGAAGTGTGTCGGTTCGTCCCTGGTTGTGGTGAATACTAGACTCAGTCAACTCATAACTAAGGTACTCATGGTTGTGTTGTTCATCGTCTGCCTGACTCATTACATGCATCCAAGTGCGATTACTCATTTTGAAGTCAACAATCAAAAAAGTATCATTTTTTCAATTGTTTTTTTGTAAAAACTTTCGTGAAAAGTTTTCAAATTTCATGAAAAATGTGAACTTACTTAATTTGAAAAGTAAAGTGTGCTGTACATACAATCTTGGTCGTGTTTACCGGTGATTTTTTGTGAGAAAGTGTGAATTGACAAAAAATTGCAAAGTTTATTCATCACAATCATGGTAAGGAAAAATGAGTAAAGTTATTTGTTTTCTAAAAAAATAATTAACATTATTAAAATAATCTTTATGAATATTCGTATATAATTATATTTTTTAATTATTTCTCCTCTGTTTGTTTTATGTTTAATATCGTCGAAAACATACTTGTCCACTCAACTGTCAAAAGTATCCAATTGTTGCATTTTTTTAAACAGAATGTACATGAGTAATAAGTTCACTTTATAACAAAATTTTAATCATTAATAAATCATATTTCTATTTATATTTTTAAAAAAGTTATTCAGTAACTTATTCATCAAATGATAAATCAATTTGAATATTCTTTAATGGATTACATCTCAATTACATCATTATTAATAACGAGAAATCAAAAATCTTATCGACATGGCAACCTAAATCACATTGTGAATCAAAGATTAGATAATAACAAAATATTAATTTATTTTTATATTAAAATGCACCTACTACTGAAGCTTTGCTACTGTACAATTATTTCTTAAATATAAAATATCTTGAGACAATTGCGTGCTATGAATCACTTTTATACAATGACCAAGAACATAAATATTCACAGATGACCAATACAAGACGAAACCTTTCAAGGCGTAAACATTCGTTTATTCTATGTATTCACATGAGTTACAATTATAGAATTATAAAGCATTAATGTAAGCTAAGAAAGGTATAGTTAAGATAATAGTATAGTAATTCAATAAATAGGTAGTTGTCATTATTTTGTGACCGCATTAATCAGTCAACCACGTGTCAAACAATAAAATCTCTCACGTGGCTCTTATTCTCATTAAAAATTTTCGTTCAATTTTAACTTGGATAAGAAATTCGCATGAAAACATTGGCTGATGATTCATGAAAGTTGATAATCTTTGACTAGTTAATAATTCCTATTATCTTATAAAAATTGATAAACTTCTGCTTCTCGACTCTGAAATGTATCTCCTATGAAAAACTATGTTAACAACTTTCTCAACTTCATTTTTTGATCTACATTTTATCAATAAACTCATTTAATGACAACATAAATCATAGAACGAATGTGCAAGAAATTTTCTAATCAAAATATTCGTCAGATATTAAGCAAAAAAAAACTAGCCATGAATTATTGTTTATCCATGAAATCATCAATGATACATTCTTTAACGTAACAAAGAAAACACTAAAATATATAATACCGTTAACCTATATGCGTGCTTGGACCGATAAGTTACTTTATAAAAACGGAAACGACATTTTTTTTTTGTCATTTTCACAACTGATACGCTTTATGATGTAATTATATTTTGTACGTAATTTAGACAGATGACTGTACAGTTCTTTGATCTTGGTTGCACATTTACAAAAGAACAACACTGAACGTCAAACGGTTGTGAGTTTCATGACCGGAAATACATTAGTCAATGCCCAGCACTCCTGTGACCGTTTAATGAACGAGAATAATAATGAGATTCCAACGGGAATGATAAAATAAAAACTCACCTCATTCGTGAAAAGATTTTTTATTTGTAGAAAGTAAAAAAATTTAATTTAATATAATCAAGTAAAATATTCATGTTATATGTTTTACTTATGACAAATATCATTTTCATTCATTAGAATGAAGTATTTCTTTAATTTGGTAAGAATAATTTCTCTTAGTGTATTTATCATACTTGAAAGTTTCTAATTGTGATGTTTCCTAACTTTTACAAAATCTTTGTCATTAGTATTAAAAAATTGTGACAATTATGTAAATGAAACCTAATTTTTAATTATATCTTGCTTAAGAATATAAATTAAAATAATTTAATTAATTGTTTTCTAATTAATCATTTGTTTCGTAGATTTTTAAAATTATTTTAAAAATATTCTAAGATGAAGAATTTCATTCATAGGTTCATCATTGGCAAAGTCAACATGTCCAAATCATATCAGGAGTGGACGATATGGTCCTTCTTCCTAAAATTACTGAAGATGCCATTATGGAGAATTTACGGAAACGATATATGGATGACTACATATATGTATCCTTTTGTTACAGCATCATTTTCTTTTCTTCGTATAAAAATTATTTATTAATATAAGCATGTTGCATGCTAATCTAACATTCAGAAGGATTGAGTGTGAGAAACTCTCATCCTATAAATCCTGTAATCAGAATAATGACCTCGCTGAGGGAAAAAAAGTCAAAAGAAGCTATTTCACTATTATATAAGATTGCTATCTATTATATAAGCTTTATACTTTTTTTTATCTATTGAATATTATTTTCTTTAATAATAAATTCATAGACATGCATCGGTCCTGTCTTGGTATCCATCAATCCTTTTAAGCAAATGCCTTACTTTGGAGAGAGGGAAGTTCAAATTTATCAAGGCGCAGTAAGTATTAAAATACCGTATAATAATTGTTAATTTTTATTTATTTTTTAATGCTAAATATTAAAACGCTTAAAACTCAAAATATTACTCATGTTTGTAGTCAATTAATCAGTAGCTTATCAATTGAAGAATCACATTATAGCATCTATCAGATATCAGTAATGTTATATCATGGAATAAAAAAAATACTTCATATTCCGAGAAAAATTTTCAATTTTTTATCTTCATATCTATCAAAAATAAAAAAATTTCAAATAAAATCAATAACTATCTTATTAAAATTAGCTTATAAAATTAAATTAAATTTTGACTCACATTCTTTCTAATAAAAATTTATTACATTTAGGCCCCTTATGAAAATCCACCCCACATTTATGGATTAGCTGATGAAATGTACCGGAACATGTTGATAGATGTCGAGAGTCAATGTGTCATCATAAGGTTTGTTAACCTACTTAAATTGCTGTAACTCTTAAATGTTGAAAATGAAACAAAAATGATCATCTCTCAGATTTTCTTGATGAATTTATTCTTATTTAATCTGAATATTTTTAATATTACACATTGGATTCATGTAACTGATTCATCTTTAAAGCGGCGAGTCAGGCGCCGGTAAGACGATTGCTGCCAAGTATATAATGGCTTATATATCAAGAGTTAGTGGAGGTGGAGAACGTGTACAAAGAGTGAAGGACATTATCTTAGAATCCAATCCACTCCTAGAAGCCTTTGGAAATGCCAAAACTCTTAGAAATAACAACAGCAGTCGATTTGTAAGAAAATACATGCATAATTTTATGTAAATTAATGTGCCTTTAATTAATGATGAATGTAGAGAAATGTTGTTAACAAAAAATTTATGTTAAGATGTTAATTTTTCTAAAGAAAAAGTTGACGATAAGAAAGTTAAGTACTAAGCCATAAAAAAAAATTTAATAGAATAAATATTAAAATAATAAAAGTAAATTTTCATTAGTCAGAGGTACATTAGGTTTAGAAAATATTTGAAAGATATTTCATACTATGAGTAAACATTTTTTGCATATCAAAGGGAAAATACGTAGAAATGCAATTTGGAGATGGAGGTCAACCAATTGGTGGTAAAATATCAAACTTTTTACTTGAAAAATCTCGAGTAGTAAGACACAATAGTGGTGAAAGAAACTTCCATATTTTTTACCAACTGACAGCTGGAGCAAATGAACAGATGAAATGTAAGTTAAGACTTGTATAGAGATGAAAACTTTTGAAGGAATAAGCAAGAAATTCTTCAAGTTTTAATGTATTTCTTACTGCTCTATTCTACTTTTTCTATTTGTTTTTACTTCTATTATAAAGAAACTTGAAAACATATTTTATTTGTTACAGCGGAATTTGGTTTAAGACATGAACTTAATAACTGTGATTATTTGATGAGTTGGGATGGAAACCGTTTAAAAATTGGCGATCGAGGAAGTGGTAATGATGCCAAGGATTTCCAAGAAACGCTTAAAGGTAGATATTTAAAAAAACAATATGTATTCAAAATAAATAATAATTTTAATTGATAAATATTTATTTATATAATAAAATGCTGATGTAAATTATTGGCAACGTGATCAACATAAGAATACAATTGAATGATTCTAATTAACATCAATATTTTAGCTTTGAGCGTCATGGACATCAAAGAGGCTGATGTATTTGATATATTAAAACTCGTAGCAGGCATTCTTCACATAGGAAATATAAAATTTCAAGAGAACGGAAATTATTCTCAGATTATTGACAACAAAGGTGAATATGTTTTGTATTGAGTTCGTTCCATTTTACTATTTAATATAATTCCAGTTTCTATGAAATAAACATAATGATTATCATCGTTCAATTGATGTAATAATCTATACAATTGCTGTATGTCTAGCTCTCCAATTGCCGGCATATCTTCTTGGAATTCCGGCGGAAAGGCTTTCACATAAATTGACATCACGTGGATTTGAATCTAAATGGGGAAGTCAGTCAGAGAGTGTTGATGTTACTTTGAATGTCGCTCAATCACTTTATACTCGTGATGCTTTAGCCAAGGATATTTATGCAAGACTCTTTGATTATTTAGTAAAAAGAGTTAATTCAGCGATGGAAAATTCATATGATTCTCTAGAAATAGCTATTCTCGATATTTATGGATTCGAAATATTTGAGAATAATGGCTTTGAACAGTTTTGCATAAATTTTGTGAATGAAAAATTGCAACAGATATTTATTGAATTGACATTGAAAGCAGAACAGGTAAATTAACAAGTTATAAATAGCTTTGTTAGTTGATTTCAAGGTTCAGAATAGGATGTTGATAAATAATTGACAACGTGATAATTATTTTTTGGAATAGATAACCAAAAATAAATTAACTAAATAAAAATAAGTTAAAAAACAATTACTTATCGTCAATAAATTTTCAACATTTTTCGATTATCTTCTATAATTGGTCATTAATTTTTATTTTTTATTTACTAGGAAGAATATATTGCTGAGAATATTAGATGGACACCAATAGATTACTTTAATAACGCAGTAGTCGTAGACCTCCTTGAAGGCAGGCGACCTCCAGGAATTTTTCTAGTTCTTGATGACGTTTGTGCAACTCTTCATGGTGGTAGTAATGCTGCAGATTCTGACCTGCAAAAAAAACTTTCCGGCATTGCAAGTGGCCACGCTCATTTCCACAGTACATCCAATGGTTTCGCCATTCTACATTACGCTGGTCAAGTGGTTTATTCCACGGATGGATTTTGTGATAAAAACCGTGATGTTTTATTTCCAGACTTAATTGAACTCATGCGTAGTAGCACGAATCGCCTGGTACAGACGTTATATCCACAAGAAGAGATGACAAATAACACTAAGACGTTAAAGATGCGACCAACTACTGCAGGAAGTAAAATTCGCAGTCAAGCAAGTCGATTAGTATCTCAATTAACTAAATGTACTCCACATTATATTCGATGTATTAAACCTAATGAAACAAAAAAACCAAAAGACTGGGATTCTTTAAGAGTTAAACATCAAGTAGAATATCTTGGATTGAAAGAAAATATACGAGTAAGAAGAGCAGGTTTTGCATATAGAAGGCCATTTGCTAAATTCCTTCATAGATATGCTATTTTAACAAAAGAAACTTGGCCTTATTGGAATGGAGATGAAAAGCACGGTGTCCAATGGATCATGTCGAGCATTCACATAGAAGAAAGCCAGTATCAGCTAGGGAAAACCAAAGTTTTTATTAAAGCACCAGAAAGTCTATTTATGCTTGAAGAAGCTCGTGATCGTAAATATAATTTTTATGCTCGAATAATTCAAAAATCTTTCAAGAAGTACTTTGCTCGAAAGAGACAAGATGCTGAGAAACAGGCTGCGACGGATTTATTATTCGGTCATAAGCAACGACGAAGAGCAAGTCTAGAACGAAATTTTGTTGGAGATTACATTGGAATTGATGGTCGTCCTGGAATTTCTCGTCTATTGGGTCGAAGAGAAAAAGTGGTCTTCGCTGAGATAGTCAAGAAATATGATAGGCGTTTTAAGATGTGTAGGCGGGATTTGATTGTAACAGACCATTGTTTATATTTAATAGGTCGAACGGAAAAATCAAAGAAAGAGTCAAGTAAAAAAACTCAGAGAACGGTTGAAGAAGTAATAAAAAGAAAAATAACATTTGAACAAATCAGTCATGTATCTGTAAGTACATTACAAGATGATTTTGTGATTATTCATGCAAAAGAAGACTATGCAAGTTTATTACAAATAATGTTTAAAACAGAATTTTTATCAGTATTGAATAAAAAATATCTTCAACATTTGGGACATCCTCTGAATATTAAATTTAGTAATAGCCTAGAATTCAAAGTTAAGAAAGAAGGCTGGGGCGGAGGCGGTACACGTCAAGTTAAATTTTCTTTGACTGGATATGGTGATAAAGAGTTTCTGAGACCTCAAGGAAAAGTTTTGAATGTAATTATTGGTCCAGGAATGCCTTCAACATCAAGACCATCTCATTCTTCAAAATCTCGAGTAAATCTTGCAAATAATTACTATCAACCTATAGGTGGATATTATAACGTAAACAATAATACAGAAGTTTTAGAAAAGCATAATCTTCATAAAAGTGAACAAGGGGTTTTAGATAAAAAAGTTACTCCGGTTTTTCATCAAGAATCAGGAACTATATCGAAAGCTGCATCTTTATCAAGAAACACAGTTACTTCTCGACCTCAACTACCTCCGAATAGACCAAATGTCTGTCCAACTTATAAAATTCAAACAAACGCCAACAAAACAGTTCCGGCTCTTACAGCAACACTCGGTAAAATTTTAAATAATCCATCAGGAGGTCCAAGATCGGGCTTTATACGACCTCCACCTCCACCGTCTGACCCAGCACCTCCTAATCAACCAGTTGTACATGCAGGCTTCACTGCTATAAACAACCAAAGACTGACAGCTCAAGATAATAAAATAAATGATCGTCTCTCTGATGGACAGCGTATTAACCAGATAAATGATCCTAATCAAAGACTAGCAGAAACTTTGCGGATGCATTCAGACAATAAAAATAAGCAAAAATTGCCGCCCAGACCACCACCAGTATCTCAATACCCAAGAGTTAAAGCTTTATACGATTATGAACCCCAAGATCTTGATGAACTTGGGTTGAAAGAGGGGGCTGTTATTGAAGTAATAAAAGAACATGAAGGGGGATGGTGGTTTGGTCGTTGGAAAGGGAAAACTGGTCTTTTTCCGTCAAACTATGTTGAAAAAATCTAAGTCAGTCAACTAAAAATTATATACTTTAACATTAACTGGAATTTAATATAAAAATAACGACAATAATAGTCAATGTAAATATTGTAAAATATGTGAAATATTTTTCCGATGATAATTTTTTTATTTTTAAAAGCCTATTAAAAGGAAAAAATTGGATTTATAATTAATTATTAGCTGTATTAAAATAAAAAAATTTCCAAAATAATTAATACATTGTTTTAAACAAATATTTCACATATTAACTAAAGCACCAAGCAATATATGCAATAAACAGGACTAAAAAAAGATAAAGCTCTCCAAAGAGACGCATACGCGTCAAACCTGCAAGTATACATTTATAAAAATTTGATTAAGAATTTATATGTATATATATATTAAAGACTTCAACAACATTCATTAGTCTTTATAATATGATCACATCATATATTTGCACCGAATAATAGTATAACAAAAATTAACTTGAAAATATTCCATAGTATTAATCATTATAATGATAATAACAATAACCATAATAAAGTTTCATTCGTTACATTCCATTGACGAAAATATCCATTTTTAGTGTACAGTATTAAAAATCACATTCTGCATTAATATTCGCAGCAGTCTAAAATAAATTACTATTGCATAAACATGTTACCAATGTCAATGGATAGGCATTGTTTTTATTTTATTAACGAAGAAAAATTATAATAAATTTTATTTATTAATATTATTAAATTAATTATTAAGGCAAAATTTAATTTCACTAAAATGATAAAATTATGAAAATTATATTATCATAGGCGAGAGTGGCGTTATTTACAGAAATCATCCTTTTTAAAATTAATGGTTAATGAGTTCATTTTTAAAATTACATGAAGAATTGGACAGACATTTTACTTGCAAAGTATTTACATTATGGACGAAGTGTCGGCGGTAAGCATTCACAATAGCACTCATATTCATCAATGTGTCTACATAGATCATCCATAAATATTATTATTGTGATCATTAGGATATTTTTTTATTCATTATTAAAGCTTTTGTGGATCATAATAGAGACATTAGTTGATAAAATATGCAATCTAATAATTAAATCAATCACAAAGTGTAAGATAATTGAATTCAATTATTTCAGTCAATTTTATTATTTGATCTTATATTTTTTTTTAAGTTAAAAAATATTATTTAAACTGTATTGTCCATGAGAAAATTAAATAACAAATGAACAATACTTAAAAAAATTTAACAACGGTCACAATTCAACAAGTTCAAAAAATATTTTTTAACAATTTCGATATTTCAATCGTTTAATAATTAATATAGAATAGAATATAAAACACTTTTTTTTTAGATCAAACTTTGTTTATGTGTCGAAAAAATTTTAGCCTTAATTGTGAGCAATGAAATACATTTAGTTTATCTTTTGAATTTGTATGCTTAGAATGAAATCTATTGCATGTCTGACACTGATAATAATAGTCTATGGCACATATTTGAGTATATGAATCATTTAAATTTTATTTAATGGTTATGTTTATTATAATGCATAGACAATTATTTTTTTATTTTTTGAGTTTTAACTTCAAGAATCAAAATTGTCTAAACATTATGTTCGCAATGAATTTCTAGGATAAAATGATGAAATCAAATGTGATGATATTTTTTCAATATTGTACAGGACAAAATGAATATGATAATTTTTCTTGATTTTAAATCATTCAATCAGCAATCAAAGTCTTCTGAAAAGCGATTGAAAGTAAAAAAGGTTGCTTTTATTAAATATGTGTTTTTATCTTTTCACTATATTGATTAAATGATATTTCTAAATCTCACGTAATTTTTAAAATTTTTTTTATGACATACCGTCTCTGATGATCCTTCTTTTTCTTCTTTGGCAACTTTCTTCTTGGCAATATTTTTTTTTCTAATATTGCTTATTTCATTTTATTGAATTACACAATTCTTATTTCTTTGTCCTAAACCAGCACGGGATAAATCACGTTCTATTTCATCATCATCCTCAATTCTGGAACAACGGAATCCATTAATTAATCAAATAATCTTTGAGATAAAAAATAGGAGTAATAAAAGTTTAAAATAACTTACGCTCTTTCTTGAGAATCAAGATGATGCACTAATTCATCTCTTTTATTCACAATCGAAACTAATTCTTCTAAAAGGAGATTCTCTCGAACTTTTTGTTCAGCAGTTTTTTGCCAATCTTCTACAGCAAAAATACTCCTCAATTCTCGATTTAAAAGTTCAAATCTTCGTTCTAAATCATCTTCTTTTTCCCTACATGCATAAAATTTGAATTAATTAGACAACTGATGTGAATTGTTTTTTTTCAAAACTAACTTTTGCAATAATCATAAATAATAGTATATTCTTCTAACAAGTAAAATAATTATCATCTTACAAAATATTTAACTGCATCTGTCGTCGTAGCAGTGCATTTTTCTTATTAACAAGTGTAAACCAATGTGACATGAGTAAATTAGTATCTTCTTCATTGTCACTCTCCATCGCAGCTCGAAGTTGTTTTTCAAGTTTCGCTGCTTGAACATCTATTTGACTTTGTTCTCTTTCTAAAGCTTCTAATTCATTTTGGATATATGATGTCATGTCTTTACCAAACTGAAATATTTAATAAATTTTTTAATAAAAAAATTCGTTTCATTATAAAATAAGAAGTTGATATTTAAATTATTTCATATATTTATTATTAAAATTAGAATGATTTGAATTCATTACCCCACGCATTGTCTGCGGACTTTTCTCAGGACTACTTTTGTCTGGAGAAATCCTCTCAATTATTTTATTGTAAGAATATATAGGAGTAGTAGACTTTTTCTCCCCATCACTAATGTTCGATGAATTCGCTAATATATTACCATTGTGTTCGGACTAAGAAAATATAAAACATTTTTATAAGCCTCTTTTATTTACGTTTATTAACATCTGTATTGATATTTGGAAAATAATTCAATAATAAATACATAAAAATATTTACCTTTATGCTCAGTCGATCTCCGGGTGTTGAAGGTGTAATACTTCGCCTTGGACTATTATTCTGATCATCAATAGATCGTTTATCGCTGCTATTGTCATCTCCTAACTGACTTGGAGTTATAACAACACCCATTCTCGCTTCAGCGATAAGTCTTCGGGCTCGTTCTCGTAATTGCTGCTGTCTGTCATCATCTATTTGAGACTAAATACACCAATAAATTATTATTACCAATTAATAATAAGTTTTTATGTGATTATCAAGCTATTTTTAGCATAACTTACTTCTCCAGGACTGGAAACTGGAGATGACACTGCCGATGTTTTTGTTTGATTTCGTGCTTGTTCTAAAAGCTGTCTCGCACGCTCTCGTAACTCATCATGTCTTGAGACCAGTGGCTGTTTAATAAGAATATAATATAATTTATTAAAATATTCTTCAAGTATCATTGAATTTGTATTCAAATGAATATTAAGATAATTACGTGTTGAGACCGTGGTTCTCTATGAGTTGGTGACATTTCACCGCGACCTTCGGAGTTGGCTCGTATGGTTCTATCTATTATTTCCTACATAAAAAGTAACTAATTATTTATGATTCGTAAAAACCACATTAAATTATATGTGTGTGTATAACTAATTATAAAAATATTATTATTATAATTGTTTCTTACATCACGCGATGACGTAGGCGATTTAGTGATAGAAATTGATTGAGACCACTTATCATCTACTACTTGAATATTTTCTTCTTCATCATCTGAACCGAACGGGTCTGTTAATTGACGTCTTGTCATCAAAATTGGACGTTGTTGAACATGAAGTGGTCGTGGAGGAGATTTACTCTAAATAAATAATAAAAAAATGAATCTTCATACTTATATCAACATGAATAGTGTTTTAAAGAATCGGCTAATTTATTGACAAACCTTTTCTCTAGATGCGTATTTTTCTTTCGTTGGAGAAAGCACTTTACCAAGAATACTTTTAGAACCAGCTAGAATAATATCCTTTACATCTTTTACACTTGATGGTGATTTGTCTTTATTAACTGGATCGTTATCTTGAATTTCGGTATTTAAGTTAAGATGCAATTTATTTTTAAGTGATTCACCGCACGAATCTTCTCTTTTATAATCAAATGGATTTGATCGTCGATTGCATTCAGTTTTATTACTTTTCTGTTCATTCTGTTCTTTCTTCCTCATATTAATGATTTCTTGACCAAATAATTGAACACTAACTTCAGAATTATCATCAGTATTGAACCTACCGATCATGTATGATGATTCATCTGTTGTTTTACCAATCTGATGAACCTACATATGAATTGATTGTTATTTATCTGTAAGGTATGTGAATGTTTTTTTTTGTAATGATATAATATTTTACCTCCAGTTCATGACCAGTGAAATGAGCCCTTAATTGATATAAATATGTCATAACGGCTAATTTATCTGGCACCGTTAATATATCCATATCTGCTGGCTCGATAACTCGAGGAATTCCCAATGCTTCACCAGCATCAAAAGCTTTTTTACAGTTACCTTTGACATCATGAGGCAATAAGGAATCTATATCTCTAAAAATATATACATATTTTGTTAGTATCATATTCATAAAATGATAAATTAAATAAATGATTTATATTCTTACATGAGATCTGGTCTAAAATGATGAATGATTGCACAAAATGCCATTCCATTTCGCCATGAAGTTGTTAAATTCGTTACTTTAACACCTGGGTAATTATGTGTTACTTCTTTACACCATTCTAAAAGATCCTGACCTGGGGTAACTTCCCTCATTCTTGGTGCAGTCTCATTTATTTTTAAATCTAAAGGTTGAAGCTTTGACCTCATTGCTGTATTTTTACTAAAGAAAAATAATCAATTCAATAGTAATTTATTATTGTAATTACTCATTTACAAAACAGTGATTGAGTTAGAATAAAAACACAACTTACTCATTTTCGATTGCTATTTCATCTTTAATAGGTGATCTATCTTTCACATGATGATCAGTAACCATTGTTATGCTAGTATCACATGTGACGTTTATATCATCATTTACTGGTGTCGCATCGTCTTTTACCAAACTGGCGACTGTGATTATAATTATTTCATAAATATTAAGCATATTTTAACAGAATGAAATGGAAAAATAAATATTCAATTAATTTATTAGTTACCACTTATTGGAGTACTCGGCATTTCACTTTCAGTCAAACTACTCGTCATCAGGTCTAATTGAGTAGATATGTCTAAAATTTCATCTAGATTTTTTGATGATAAATCCTCAACATCTTCAGGAATATCTTCGTTATCAAAATCGTCTAGAGGCGCAATATCACTATTATTATTGACTGACATCAAACTAGCCATACTCTGCATATCTTCATCGCTAATAGTAAACAAAATAAAATTAATAATCGATAATTAATTATAACTTATAAACAATATGATAGAAAAACTATATTTTGAAGGTTAAAAATAAAATAGTAAGAGATAAAAATAATTATGAATAATCGATGAATGGTTTTGGAGTAAACAATGCCGTTATACTTACGTTGCTTTTCCTTCACGAAGAAATACACAAGACAAAGTACATTCAAGAGTAGCTCTCGCTATTTTTTTCGATGTGGGCTTGAGATCTAATTTAAGTTGTTGCTGACTAGATTCCAAAGTTGCATATTTCTTCATATTAATATTAGTGGCAGCAACATGTCGCCTTTTACCGGTTGACGAAACCTATTAATAATAAATTAATGATAAGTTCATTGTTTTGTTCCAATTCTTTTAAAGAGCACTAATAATTCTAAAGAATTTATTATCGTTATCACACATCGAAATTAAAAAAAAAACAACATTTAATATTATTTCAGTATTATGACACTAACCGTAAAAATTATAAATAAGTTTGTAGATAAAATACTTGTTATAAACTAGAATAAATTTTAATTGATCTTAATCACTAATCTTACATCTTCAATGACAAAAGTCCAATCTTTGTCCTCCAATTCATGAGTTCTAGGGTCTTTAAATAGTGTCACAGACACAGTATGATTGTCAGGAACTGGCCAGTTGATGATTCCTATCAAAGGATCACTCAAACAAGGTTCCCATTCTAAAGGTTCAGAACTTACTCTTCGACTTCTTCTTGTCCACACTACACTTAATTTAGTTGGTTTCCTGTAATGAATAAAATTGTCAATATAAGCAACTAAACATTTACTTAGTTGCATAAATAAATATTATCAGTCCTATATCCAAGATGACTTTTTATTCATTTAAGAAAAAGTCATTTTTTGCCAACTAATGAATGTTTTTTGTATTGATCATGAAAAACAGTAATGAATTAGTTCAATAGTTCATTCTTACCATTTGGATGTGGTTTCTAAAGTAAGTTCATGATATGAGACAGTAAATTGAAATTTAGCTGCTCTTTTGTTCACTCGCTGAAGTCTTTTCCAAACAGAACTCATTTTGATATTTTGATGAATTCTTGGCGTCAAATTGTTTGGTAAAAATTGATCACGTGCATTTAAACATCACTGGCTAAAAGTCAATATTTCGTCATTTCTTAAAGTGCCAAGGCCGAGGTTTTATATTTCTTTGTGGTTTTAATAAAACTGTCAGAAAACACAAGAACGTAGGGTTATAATCGATTGAGATACCAGTTTCCTGTTCTCGATCCCGTAATTATCCTTCAACCTTCATCCTTGATTTTTTTTTAGTCCTCTACCGGATCTTTTATTTTCAATGGCGACTACCTCAACTTCCACATTGCAATATTTTCTTTTTCATAGTATATAGTCACCACATTTTAAAATATAATAAATTCCACAAATAATTTTATTATCGTTATTCGACGTACTCGTACGCGTATCTATGTGCACTCACTGAACTATTAGTTTTACTATAAACCATATTCATACAAGACAAAATACATATATGACGAATTGGTATGTATCCGCGACCAATGAGACAGCTGATTAACATAAGACCTTAGACACCATCGATGAAATGATTATACAAGTTCAACCAGCGAGTGCTGTGTACTATAAGGCGTCACGATAATATAGTAACAAATACATGAAATAAAAGACTTTAGTAGTAAACCGGTGATGATGAGGAAGAGAGAGAGTTTATTGATCTCTGATGATGTAGATACATAAAGTGTAATATTTTGTATTGAAAAGAAACATACAAATACCAGCTAACAAGTTAGTTGTTGATGAATTTATCGACAGGTGGCGCAGTTAAAATTATGAAAAAACAAAAACCATTTTTAAAATACACATGAGTATTTAAAATACTTTTTAATTATAAAAATACATATAAATAATGTTAACTTTTAATAAAGAAATTTTTAAGAAACATATTTGTGTAATACTTAACGCTCTCCGCGTTTTGTTTTTTGAGGTCTCTGAGACACATTCCTACTTTCAGGCTGAGACATTTGTGATATATCATTATTTTCAGACTGAGATCTTTGCGATATATCATTACTTTCAAGCAGAGATCTTTGCGATACATCATTACTTTCAAGTTGGGAAGAAGAATATGATAAAAGATCATCTCGATCGATATTAAGTGGCTTTTGACACCTTAGACACTTCATTGTAGGAGTAAATTTCAACATATTTGCAAGGCAATGATAGTGAATTCTACTATCGCATTGTTCACATGTATGACCCTGAAAATTTTTAAAATGAAGATAAGAATTAACTTGCTTTTAATAAAGTGAAGTTATCTATTAAAGTTATTATCATTAACTAGTAACTAAAAGTGTACATTACTTACATAAAATATCACGTAATTGCATATAGAACAAGTAGTTAAACCTGCTTCGTAATTAGCTTTGAAAAAAGGCATTAACTCAGCTATACTTCTTGGACCAATATAAACTTGTCCATCCTAAAGAATTATTGTCAATGAATAAATAAGAACATTATATTCTTTGTGTATGTAACGTAGTATATTATTAGTGAATATGAGAGAAAATACTAACTTTCATAGTAAACCATAAACCTTTGATAGCTTGTTTTAAAAATCTTTCTGCTTCAGATCGTACCATTCTACCTTTCATAACACCAACTAAATTAATGCAATTATTGCTTGGAACACAATGGGCAGGATGCAGCATAATATCTTCACAGATAAGTTTAAACAATTCTATTTGAGGTTTTGTAAAACTACTTAGCATCAAATCATTTCTGAAAATGAAATAAAATTTATTACAATATCTTTGCCATATTGACTGCCAACGGCTTAAAAACTAAACAAACTATCATACTCGTCATCATCATTAGCCTGTGGATTCTGAGACGATTGGCTAGGCGCAAGATTTCTTTTTCTGTTAGGTTGATCGTCTTCATTTTCATCATCACTTTCATTAAGAACTGTACTACTTAAAGTCCAATATTTCTGGCCTGTCAATTCACATATTGATGATTTAACAGTTAGATCAACTTCATTTAAAGCTGCGTTTATTTTACTGATATATGCCATAAAGTTGGAATTGCGGTCATTTCCTGAAAAAAAAAATAAGAATCGAATATATAAAAATGATAGTTAAAGAAATCAAAATTAATTGTATGGTATTTACCACAGATTTTTTCAATAAACTTCTGCAAATCTTGTTCAGAAAGAATTCCATGATGTGAAATAACTTGAAGTACTTTTTTCAAGGGTTGTGATAAAGTAGTTCTATTTTCCATTTTGTATGCAAAATTTCTCACTTTTGTTAGTTTGTTGACAAAGAATCCGTTCAGTTGACAAACAAAACAGAAGACAAGTACAAAATTTTGAAATGATTAAAGATATAAGAGTTTGCAAGTTTATTAATGACTAAACGTACATTTAAACAAATATTGAACAAAAAGATTAAAGATTAGAAAGATATGCGTCTTTTATTCTCATAAAAAATTATTTTCTGATACCGGTAAACACATGGCGGTTAAAAACAATAACAGTCGACAATGCACACTTCACTTATTGTCCACTAGTGGCGCTAGCTTACGTTGTCAAATATAACCAAAATGACGTTACGGTACTGGAATGCATCTCGTGATAGGTCAATTTTGTAAAAATAAAACGAGGGAAAATGAATTCACTAATCTGAAGGCGTGGTTCAGTATCGTAACATGATTTCAATTACTTTATTTCGAGATAGTCTTGCAAAAGCAGCTAGTATTTGTAAAATTACTGATTTTTATATTTTACCTGATACTTGGTAAATATTAATATTTTTTTCGTACATATTTACCAATGTAAGATTGATACAACATTTACATTTATTTCTGTATCTGTAGTAATTAATTTGAAAAAGAGTACGTATATATCCTGTATATAAATAATTGGATGTTTCATAGAAAAATTACATTTAGATTATATTATTAGTATGTACTACATAGTTGAATACAATTTAAACAAAAAACCGCAATAAAATATATCAAAAGTTTGTGACTGATTAGCTTCAGATATGCTTTATCTTTTTGGTTAGAGAATAGCAATGATAACATGTAATGATTATTTTTATGTAATTTCAAGGTTCCATTATAATAGTAAATCCTTTCACTTTCATAAGAAATAGCCTAGATTCCACGTCAGTTTTTTCCTTGATTTAGACATGATTAGACTTCTGTAATCTGTACATAGTTGTTGCTTTTTTAAAGTGAAAACAGTATACGTATTATCTACTTATACAATAAATTTACATGTAGTGTGTAAAAATTTTTACAATTAATCTAAAAATATTTTATAAAAATTCATTGTTGTTTAAAAACATATAATGGGTGGAAAAAATTGTAAAAGTTATTCAACTAAATCAAAAAATTTTCAAGATCAATCATCTCCACCGTCTTCAAAGTCGTCAAAAAGTAACATGTGTGATAATGAATTCATTGAAGATGTTGTCTGTAATGAAACAGACATCAATGAAAACGAGATGAAATTACTTCCTTTGGGAGAGGAAGGACAAAAAATATTATTAATTAAACAGAAAGGACAATTACATGCAATTGGAACCAAATGTTCTCATTATGGAGCATTGTTGCATACTGGAGCATTGGGTGATGGAAGAGTGCGATGTCCTTGGCATGGAGCTTGTTTCAACATTAAAACTGGTGATATTGAAGATTTTCCAGGACTTGATTCCCTTCCATGTTATAAAGTATCAATTGAAAATGGATCTATTAAAGTTCGAGCTAAGAAAACGGAGCTTGAAACAAATAAACGTATTAGAGGACTCACTTTCTCTTTAAAAGGTAATGATTTATTTTGTTAATTACCATGTTATCTTATAACTGTTGATTAAAACATAGATTTGTTTATTGTCTTGCATTATTCACCACCTCATTTGTATCTCATTCATATTTTATACAGTAATAGATGTGCTAATGATTATAATATGAGCATAGTTTAATGATTGATATTAAATTTATTTAGAAACGGATCCAACAGTCGTTATAGTGGGGGGAGGACCCGCTGCAGCAACGTGTGCTGATACATTACGTCAAGAAGGTTTTGCTGGTCGTATAATAGTAATTGCAGCAGAATCAGTTCTTCCTTATGATAGAGTTAAAGTATCAAAAGCAATGGATTTCGATGTTGAAAAATCAGCACTTCGAAGTCAAGATTATTGGAATCAACGAATGGTTGAAATAAAATTAAATGCTACAGCGCAGAGTTTAGATACTTCTAAGAAAATAGTAGTACTAACTAATAATGAAGAAATCAAATATACATATTTATTCGCAGCCACTGGGAGTAAAGCAACGTTTCCAAATGGTCCAGATCTTAGTTTAAATAATATTTTCTTCCTAAGAGACCATAAAGATGCCGCAAATATTCATAAAACTCTTGCTCCAGAAAAAAATGTTGTTATTATTGGTCAAGGTTTTATATCTATGGAATCAGCTGCTTACTGTGTTGGAAAGTGTAACTCTATTACTGTTGTTGGAAAAGGAAAAATACCCTTGTCAACAGTTTTTGGTGATGTGATTGGAGAACGATTGAAAAAAGAACACGAATCAAAAAACGTTGTATTTATTAATGGAACTACAGTTAAAAAATTCATCAATGCAGAGAATTCTAATGATGTAAAAGAAGTTGAATTAGAAAACGGAGTAATTTTACCAGCAGACATAGTTATTTGTGGAACTGGATCTACTCCTAATTCTGACTGGTTGAAAACTTCTAACATTAATATCAATAATGATCACAGTGTTTCAGTTGATAAATTTTTAAAAACAAATGTTGATGGGGTGTTCGCTGGTGGCGATCTTGCTTGCGCTCCTGTTTTTATTAACAATGATGAACCAGCTGTTATTGGGCACTATGGACTCGCACATTATCATGGAAAAATTGCTGCTTTAAATATATGTGGCAAAGAAACTCCGTTGAGAGCTGTTCCATATTTTTGGACTTCATTATTTGGAAAAAGTATACGATATGCAGGTATGACTGTGTATTTATTGTATCAAATATTTTTAAAAAAGTATAAACTTTTAATTGAATATATTATGTATAATTTAGGATTTGGGCGTCCAACAAGTATAAAGATTCATGGATCAGTTGAGGATTACAAATTCTTTGCTTATTACTTTAAAAATGGAAAAGTAATTGCTATGAGTAGTGCAGGCACTGATCCCATAGTATCTGACTTTGCTGAGTTTCTTTATGAAGGAAAAACTTTAACCGAAAAAGAAGTACAAGAAAATCCAACCGGTTGGATGCGAAATAAACCTAAAGAAGCTCTTAAAACTATTTTCCCTGAGAAATTTTCGTCAGGAACTCAGGTGTAAGAAGTTTAATCAAGTATTCGTTTTTTTTTTTAATGTATTTAATGTGTTAAATATTTTTTGAGAATTATTATGTGAAATTATATGAGCAATTAGGAACACGAGGGACCACAAAGTATTATCTATTTCTTTTATAAAATGAAATCTTCTATATATAAACATATTTTATAATGCTATTTTAGGTTTCGCACACAATTTGGAATTGAACACAAAAAGAATTATCATACACTTGCCTACAAACGACCTATTAATAATGAAATGAGGATAATTAATATATTAACCAATGCAATACTCAAATATTCTAAATATTTCCCTCGATAATTGTAATTTTGTATTATTTTCTTTTCTCATCTATTTTATGAAATGTTGAATTAATTTTATGAAGAATAATAAAATAATAATTGCAATAATGTTTATTAGAGTTACGTATTGTATAGTTTATTTTTAAAATTATATATATCGCTATTTTAATTTTACAATAAAAACCAAAATAATTATTCCCACCCTTCAGTGGTTAATAAATGACACAATTGATCATTCCATGTAAAATGCCTGTTGAATCGAGCATTTCTTTTTTTATTATATACTTCTGCTGAGCGTATAGGTGTTTTGAATGATTTAGCATGACCATGTGATTGTTCTGGTGTCAAAAAAGGATGTCGAAGAATCAACATATTTCGTTCAGTTCTTTCAAAGTCATAACGAAGTTTAAATAAAGCTCCTATTGTTGGTTCCGGAACTATTCGATTCTTTCTGTAATGGTTCAATTTTTAACAGCAAATAAGTATATTTTCAATATATTTTATTGAACAAAAAATTTAAAAAATATTATCAATAGTGAAAATATAGAGGTTAAAGAAATGTATTTACCCTCTAAAAAGATGACCAGGTGGTGGTTTCTTTTTCCAATGCATTAAAAGTGCACTTAAACGCATTGTGATTAATTATTGAATAACTTTACGGTAAATTAATTATTATTTTTACTGGTATATCATTAATTAAAATTGAGAAGCCGAATCACAAATATTATCTTTTCCTTCAGGTGAAAAGAACTTCTTTACCCACAGTGTTGTGTTGAGAGAGTTATTCGATTATTCTATAGATAGAGTTACAGTGTTCATTTAATAATTTGTAAAGTTTTTTTTTCGAAAATCAAGACATGTAATTTCAAATATCGTGTTTTATCCAGATTTAGAAATTTTATTTTGCTTCTGTCAATTAAATAAAAAAAAAGAATAACATTGTTTACTCTCAACATTTGGATGAGGCTAATGAAATCAATTTTTTACTCCAATTAATGGCATATTTTTTTTCAAACATTTTTACAAATCATTGTAAAATATACTTATGATTCTATTTGGACATAAATCGTTCTATGTATAGCCACAAATCCTTTACAAAGTTTTATCATTTACAGATCCAGTTTTCTTGAAAAATAAATACACAAACTAAATAGTTATACTGAATGTTATTTACCTATTGAAGTGCCAAAGTTTAAAAATATTTATTTTAAAATTATAAGATCTTCTAAATTCACATTGGTGTGATAAATAATATTTACAAAACTAAAACAAACAGATTAATATACAAATTTCACTTATCTTATTTCTACTATTGGCCATTCCAGTATATTCATACTACTAAGAACTTGCATTAATATTTTATATTTGTATTTCGCGCGAATAATGGCCTATGTAGAATGACGCCATTGATATATATTTTCCAAAATTTTTGCTACAATTTGTGACGCATAATTTGTTAGTGTAGTTAATGAGCCTAATAAACTTTTTTTATTATCTATTTTACGGGAAATTTTGAAGTTAGAAATATAATAACATATCATTGAGTTAGCTGAAAGTTTCGTCATCATTTATAATCTATCTAAATAACCATTAACAGTCATAGAATATTTTTTCTTTAATCACCTTCATTAGTGATAATGAGAAATTACTTTAGGAAAGTTCCAATATGTTTTATTTATCACCAACTATTATTTTATGATATTTTAAACTTAATAGCTGTTAGATCTGCTAACTTTGTTATTCAATTATCGAAATTACAATTGTCAGAATACACGATTATTTAACTATCTAAAGACTTCAAATTTATTCTTTCATTTTGAATGATGATACTTCAAGCTCTAATCGTTTATACTTGATGTTAATTTTTAAACAATACATCTTAGTCATCAGTTTATAACTATAGAATCTAACAATTGTTATTTTTTGTTTTTGTTTACATTCATTACAAGTTCATTCTATCTCAAAGCCGTAAAAGCTGACATTTTTGGAGCAGAAAGAACGGACAAAAATGAAAAATTGTACAAGATTCAGTCATGTACCTAAAATCTTTCTTATTTATTCTTATAGGTTGAAATTTACAGGTAGAAATGTACAGGTAGAAACTTGGAGCATAATGTTGCAACAAAAATCTTCCTAATTGTTAGTAAAAAAAATCAGTTTTTCTATTCATAGTAAGCTTGCTGTGCACTAGGAATGAGCAAGCATGATGCGATAAGTGCTACGCTTATGAACATGGGTAGAAAAAATTTTTAAGGGCATGTTAAAGCCATTTGTATTCATCTCGGGGCTGTATTACGAAGTTTATCCTATTGTCATCAAGGATTCATGGGTTTTGAAGAGAAAATTGACAGTCCCAACCTCCAGGACCTAAGTTTTAAAAATTCAGCCATTCCAAGAAGTGAAAACTGACCATTTTTCAGGTCTAAAAAAGATGGTAGATAAATAAAGATTAACATTACGTAGGTAGAATGATTAGATAGATAGATTTGATGCGTTTTAATGTTATTTTTAATTATAATTACATCAGAAATATCTTAGTTTTTAAATGAAATTATCTTTTTTTTATTGAAGCATTATTTAATTTAAATAAGAAAACCATTTTTCCTGTTCTTAGATTTCTCCTACTACCTTTTTTTGAAGCTTGAAAATTCACCATTCATGAGTTCAATAAGATGTATTAAAATCGATGGCCCGCATTAGTTTTCACTTCGTGCCCGCATCCAAAAAAAGAAAAAAAATATAACAAAATGTTATCTCTGTCTGATATCTTTGAATTCAATTCTTACAAGTGGTTTTTACATGAGTACCTTGAAATACGTGTAATGTAGCACGTGAGTTAATTTTGGAGAAACGGAGTAAAAAATATTAATATATGGATGCATATGGAATTGGATTTTAAAATAATATGAAAGGTAATTATTTATTGATGAGTCTACAAGTTTCTTGAAATTTCATGGTAAATTCAGCTATTCATTGAAGTCATATATTTTTTTTTAAGATGGAGTAAACATCATGTAGTTGAAAGACTTGATCCATCCGGCCGGCATTAGTAGTGTTACTGCGCATCTTTCTGCGCGTTTCAAATGAAGTATACCCATCCACCCTCCATAAACTTAGAGATGCGTGCGCATTACTTTAGAATGTTTCGATGTGATAAGTAAAGTAGTAACAGGTGGTTCACGGTGGTTGGTGGAATCTGTTGAAACTTAAGTACGACTGGGGAACCACGTGCATGCAGATGTTATTGCATTCGCGCTTCAAGTCTCGTGTGCGTTACACGGAATTTGTGCTGTGACTGTTGAAATTGTAACCTAGATTCCTTCTATATACAATTTAGTGTGATCTATAGTATATAAAAATTCTGAACTTGGTGCAATTTGAATGGAAATTGGAGTTTTATTTTAAAAAAATTTAATAATTACTGTGCGCGTGCGCATTTTTCTATTTGCATCTTCGAGAGTTGCGGGTGTTGGCTGTTATCGATTAAATTGTTTATCTTTTGAAAGTTGTTATTGTTTTATATGTGATATTATGTTAATTTGATGGTTCATTATACTGATTCTTAAACAACTTAAATCTTTTTTAACAGAAGTTGACTTTTCGTGAATATCCAGGTAAAAAGTTTCAATATGGTACTAAAAATTTTCAAAAAAATGTTAATATATCAACTTAAACAATTTTGTAAAATATTTATTTCAAAATTACAAGTATTTCAAATGAAGAAAAAATTTTGATAAGCTTCATAGAATTGATCTAAGTTAATAATTCAATTGAATTGATTTGATTAGTATATCTAATCTATATACCATCATCCATGTGGTCCAAATCATTTGTTATCTGTATACACAACAACAAAATCTACACACGTGCGTTTGTCTATAAAGAAGTATCTCATAATCATAACAGTACCACTACCCTGATCAATCTTCTTAAATTTTTTCCCATACTTGTCGTCCTAACTTTAGATAAAAATTGAAGCTCAGTCAAGTAAACACACAATATATCTTTCAGGAATGCATAGGTTCTGTTTTTAAAGCTGTTGGACAAGGGATAGAAAATTTTGAGGGAAGGACACGAAAAATGGAATTTTACGACGTGGGAACCAGTGATCTTCGAGAGTTATGGGAATCTTATCTAGGAGAGCCCGTAAGTAATTGATTAAATGGAAAAATTTTTTTTTCCTCTCCTTTTTTACTACCTGACTGAAACTAATTGACTTATTTCTGTTATTATATTCCCATAACTGAAGTCTGTAGATATGTTTACTTATGACTTATCAAATAAAATGACGAAATTCATGGATACCTTAATCACCTGTTTAAGCAATAAAGTGTCGTCTTTACACTTTTTCCATGTGCTCACTACCTAGATAACCTGACGATTAGAAATAAATCAATATATTTATTTTTGCTAAAAAACATTATTCTATTCGTATGAATGTTTTTAAAGTTTTTTTTTTTACTTCCGGGAAGCACAGATAATAGTAGCTGTAATTGGAGTCTTTATCGGACGCCAACGAGTTTTTTTAAATATAAAAGAAAAAAAAATGAATATTAAATTGAAGCCATGATCAATATTTATGTAGCATCTGAACTAACAGCAGCTGCGTAAGCATTAAAAAGTTGTGCAAAAATATTTCGAAAATTAAAAATGAATTTTAATCAAAAAATAATTTCATCGAGTAAAATAATAAAAATCTCTGCAAGTTAAGCATTTTCAAGTAAAATAAAAGAGAAAAAAATATTTCAATAGCTACATAGTATGTATTATCACTATTTTTATAGCCTCAAATATAAATTTTGTGACAACTAAATTTATTATGAATTTTTTTTATTTTCTTTGTTATATTGATTATCTATCTAATCTAATTAGAACAAACATGTAAAAGAAGACAATTATTGCTTGGATAAATCTATCCTTCTCTGTCAGTTGAATTACGTCTCGAGAAAAGAAGAGAATTCACGCTCTACCGCAACCGGAAGCGTCTGTACAAACTCGCGCGTGAACCGGAAATATTCCCAAAGAATTATGGAGGTGAATAAAATATTAAAAGTGCTAATAATATCATAATTAATCATTTGTTTATCACTGGACAATAATTGAAGTAATAGAAAAAAATAAAAATAGAATTTATTATGCAATACAAATGTTACCAGTTCACGTTTAAGCTCTTATCAGCATCGATATGAGTAAAAAAGAGTTGGCATCGCCTTGACTTCATTCTATCGTATTCGATAATTCCCCAGTTGTAGCAGGTATTTTATTTTATTTTTATTTCGAATTTTTCGTGGCTATTTAATCAATTCTTTTCTTGCCTCCCTAACAGAAACTGATAGACCCTTAGTCTTTTTTTTTCGATGCCTTTTTGTGTTCCGAATGAAATGGAATTGTAAAAAGAATATATCTAGCGGCAAATATAAGTCGACTCGTAGCTGTCGGATGACTGGTTAGGTTGTAGAAGAAAAGGGGAGGTAGAAGAGGGTATAGTCGTTCGAGCGACGGGACTCTCGAGGACGTTCACCTTTTTTCGTGACTTGGTCGAGTCACTGAAACCGGTAAGCAACCTTCCACCTTATTCTGACAAGTTCTCGAGTTGTATTTCGACTTTTCAGTTACCTGTTTGATCACCTACCCTTCTTATTACTGCCCCCATCTTAATTTGTCGTCTCAATAGTCGTATCCATACTCATACGCTCCATTTGTCAACATTCTTTATCAAATTCAAACAGTTTAAGGTATTTTCATATGCTTTTGTTATGTTGAAATAGATTATTTTGGTATATTGACATATTATTCTATCAAAGTAACTTATGATAGATAACTCAGAACATGAAAAGACTGCTTAAACATCAAAATAACTACTAAAGAAATTATAATAGTCAGCATTTAGTGGCGTAGTAGCATTACAAAGGAATTTAATTTCCTAATAACTGCAATATAATTACATTAAACAAAACATTTTATCGAGGATGTAAATGACTAGGCTGCAAAGATAATATAAGTGTTTAGATAGAAAGTGTCAACTTTCTCTTTTTAATATACACAATCAAGAGGATTCACTAATTTAAAAATAGCCAGTTTTTTAATAAAAAATTTCTCAATTTAATTATTTTCGGTAACAAAAATAATTATACACATTAGGATCTATTAATTTTACATTGCACTCCAGCAACTAAACGTGGAAGTATGTAAATATTTTTTCGTGCTAGCGGTTAGAATGTTGTTATGTTACCTTCAACTTGATGTCTTTCCCTTCTCCAGTCTGACTGGATTGCCTATTTTTGGATGAATTCTTCGACTGTGATGATTACGCATAATCGTAGACGAGTCTAGATTGATGATGGCGCAATTAGGTTAATGAACTTGAGAATGACGCAATTCTTATAATGAAAATTGTTATTCTAGGTGCTTGGACAGGATGTACTAATGGCCAGTAAGGATGAAGAATGGGGAAATATACTTGGTGTTAAGGACAAAATGACTTTAGATGTAGTTTTAAGAGATAGACTGATGACTGATGCAGCTCTTGGTGGACCAAAACCGATAAAAACTGAACATAGTTATAGTCTCCTAGCTTACAGTCCACCTGCAAGTCCTGCTACTTCTGAAGATCATTCAAATACACAACATTCTTGTTCTATGAAAGTAAACAACAAAACGTCGTCTACTGTTCCAGAGAATCATCGAGAATATACATTACCAACTAGAATCGATGGTAAATTATTTCTATGAACTATTTCTTCATTTCTTGATAAAAACACATGTTTGATCAATTGAAATATTTTAGATATGGAAGAAGAATGTTTTCCCGCTATTTCAATGAATAAAGCATCCAGTCACGGTCGTGTATCTTCATCAACATTATCAATGACTTCTTCAGATATAATAACATCCAAGACTTCAATAAAAATGGATGAAGACATAGTGGAAATAAAGCGCGAACCTACTTATTCTTTGAGTAGTCCGGTATATGAACAGACAAACAGTGTTGATAATAAAAGTACGATTAAAGTTATTTCACCAGATAGGCTTCATTTCACTTCCAATCACATGTCTCATACGAGTGATAGTGAAGCAGATGATGAAGAATATTATGAGGTATCGTAAACATTTTTCTCATTACATTATAAATCACGAATTCAATTGTTATAACGTAAGATTTTTCTTTATAGAATGCGGATCTTGAAGAGTTAGAAACACAGTTAGAAAATGAAATTCCTAGTTCAAGTCAAGGTCTTCCACCAACACCACCGAGCAGCGCAAGTTCTGATAGCGAAAGTACAGTTTCTGCTTCTTGTTCTCCTGTAAGAAGAAATTCACAAAATTCAGGACAAAATATTCATGAAGTCTGTGGGTCAAGATTATATACAGCTAGTGGACAAACACATTCCGCACGACAGCCTATTCATACATCATTAATTTCATGTCAACCAGTAAGTCCGTTATTTATATATTTTTAGATCTTTAACTTTAAAAATAAAATTTTTTATTATCGAAGTTACAAGAAAAAAATGCATTGGTTCTTATTTATAAATTTAAATTTTTATAGAAAGGCTCAACGGGGGTTTTAGTATTGACAGAAGAAGAAAAAAGAACTCTAATTGCCGAAGGATATCCAGTTCCGACCAAGTTACCTTTAACAAAGCAAGAAGAAAAGTCACTAAAGAAAGTAAGAAGAAAAATAAAAAATAAAATTTCAGCTCAAGAATCAAGAAGAAAGAAAAAAGAATATATGGATGGTCTTGAAAGAAGAGTTACAATGCTAACAAATGAAAATTTTTCTTACAAAAGCCGACTTTCCACGTTAGAAGACACTAACCGTGAATTATTAAAAGAATTAGAACGTCTGCAGGCTCTAGTAGAGCGTCAATCGTCTTAGATATTGAAAATTCAATTGATAATAGATAGCGAGCATAAAGTAGATCAACGAAGAGAATATAATTCACCAAAGGAACTCGAGTCTTCGTTATAATTACTTGACTGACATAAAATAATTTAATTGAAGAATTATTATCATTGTCTTCCTAGGGTAATTTTCGCCGTTTAACAAATTTTCATCAAATTATTGACATTTATCAATTTATATCGATGCCTAGTCCAAATGACACTGAAGATATTTTTAAAAATATGGTCAATATATTCTGATAAATTTCCAGCAATGGAATATCTACAAATGAATGATAATAAGTAATTTAAATCGTCCATAGAATAACAATATTTACAGATCTTCATATAATATTATTGTTGATACTGAAACTGTACAAATAGTAAATACCATTATGAAGGCATATGAAAGTATCAATGTTTTTATTGTATTACATGAGAATAAATTTTTTGATAAATTTTTATCAAAAGATATTGTGTCTTGTATCAAAAGTTTAATCGTAGTTAGACAAATACGTGCCTAATCTAAATTTGATAAAAATTTATTTTTCGTTGGAAATATTATTTATCAAGGATAAGAGAAGATAATGAATAATTATTAGTTTAGGTATATAGTTAATGATTTTCACAGGTCGAGTGTATAATATAGACGTTTGCCAAATTATATAAGCAAAGTAATTATTAAATTAAGTTGGGTTTGTGCATTAATTTAATAAAAATGTGCGATTGATGATTATTAAAATCCACCAATCTGTGGTGCTTATAATTATATACAAACTATTTAATTGTTTATCAATAACTATTCAAATGATGCCAAGAAGCTAATTATTATGCTCGCGTTATCACCACTAATTGTATATACAAATGCATGAGTTTACTCAGCTTGTTTCACTTTCAGTTAAATATTATACACGTGATATGGATAATATATTTTTAATGACAGGGTTGAGAATATTCATGTTGAATTCATTAATGAATACCTACAAATTTTATCTTTGTTACTTGAGTCCGAACTTTTAATTAAAGTTTCTTGCGGGCTTAGTTATAACGAGATTAAGAGACAATTTGTATATTTACTTTTATTATATGATTAAAAATTATTATAAATAAATAAAATATATATTAATTAAGATTTTTTACTGGTAGGTTTTTTTCAAATCCTTGATTGAATAAATTTACCCTAATAAAATTTTGAATTACTTTTAAAATATATATATTTATTTTTAGCTCATTTTTAAATGTATTTTGTGTTTAATTCATTAGATAAAATTAAATTTATGCAAAAAACAGTCTTTTCATGTTTTAGTTGATATTTTTTTGAACATTTCAAATTTTTCATCTTAAACTAATTTCGAAACTCACATGAATTATTGACTAATAAGAATTTATAACTGTAAATCTAATGAATTGGGCAATTACTGAATGAAAACATTGTTATCATTAAAATGTAAAAGAATATACAATGTAGAACCAAATATCTGAAATATATGTAACAATTACATCATATAGATACATTTGTTTTTTATTTTTCAACTTTTCGTACGAATAATTTTGAAAAAAGTGCTTTTAGATCTATTGACCAATCATGGCTCGCGAGTAACGTTTGATTTGTGTCAAAATTGATAGAGAAAATAGGTTATTTCGTTGTGGTGCTTTTATGTAAAGATGAACAAAGTAATAATACTCACACAATAATTATATAATTAGAGTCATTTTAAGTTAAAATATAGTTCAACAATTATATTCAGTGATCTAAAAACATTTTTATAATGGAAATATTATCAAAACATAGAAAAAATAAGGACTATCATGTCAACAAAAGGTTTGCTCAGTGATGTGGAAGATTGGTTTATCTGGTGTTTTTTATGATATCTTATCAGTTTTTGGATTTAAATAAGTTGGTGGAAGTTTAATTTTCATTGTCAGAATGGATAGAGAACCGAGAATATTAATTATTGGTGCTGGAGCAGCGGGTATTTCAGCTGCTTGTCATTTGATTAAAAATAACTTCCAAAATGTAACGATTCTAGAAGCTAAAGATCGTATTGGGGGAAGAATATTTACAAAAAAATTTGGTAATTCCATATTTACATAATATTTATGTCTTCGAATATTCATGGAAATATTTGAAGTTGTTTTATGTATATTTCAGCTGATAACGTTGTTGATCTTGGAGCTCAATGGGTTCACGGAGAGAAAAAAAATGTTATCCATGATTTAGCTGCACCTTACAACTTACTTGAATCTTCCCATAATTTACATGATTTTGAAAAACATATATTTGCCACTTCTCAAGGAGAAATTGTTCCTACTGAAGAAACTAGTGAAGTATGGAGGCTTTTTTATGCAATCAGTGATAATGCTGAAAAAGTATTAAAAAACGCAACAGAAAGCTATGGTCAATATTTTACAAAAGAGTAAGTTTTTCATATCAAAAAGTAAATTATTTATGTTTTTTTTATTTAAAAGTTTAAAAAGTAATTTATAAGTATTTTATAAAAATGAAAAAATTATTTAAAAGTTTTTTAAAATAATGTTTTTCATAAAAGTATCTATCTCTGATTCCTTAAACCAAGCTTGGAGTGATGGATGAAGATTAGACTTCAAGATTATAGGCATTTTGCCATTTGGTACAATGCATCTGTAAAAAAATGAATCGTTATTAAATGCAAATTACAATTGATATTGAAAAAAATATCAAAATTGTTCTATATGTTTTACAAAGTCAGAATTATTATTTGGAATATTTTATAAAAGAGTTAATGCATTACCTTACTCTATTATTACAGCAATTGTTTTTAAAATATTCATATCTCAATAATGAGTAAATATATTTGACATATTTAGTATCTAAAGAATTCTCACTAGATTCATCGTAGGCAACTAATTCATTTAAATGATTTATATATCCACTTGTGAGTATTGGAACAATGTAATTAACTTGATTGAAACAATCATCAACGAACTCTTCAGCTCGTGAATATACATATTTTTCTTGTTCTTGAAGAATAACGACTCCAATTTTTGGATCGTTTTCTCGAAATACTTTAGCTACATTTTTTGCGACTTCTTCTCCATCTTTAGTAAATGTTAACATAACAATACTTCCATAGTTTTTTTTTTCACTCAATTCAGTTTTAGATTTATTGTCCGTATGTAATTTATTATGTTTTGAATCATTGGAGGAACGAATTGAATGATTGATACCAATAGTTGGTCTAAGTACCAAAGGAACTCTTGGAATGATTTTTGGTCTTATAACTCCTACAAAAATATATGGATAAAAATTATAGATTCATTTCATACAAGCTCTATTTTTCTTACCTGTATTGTGATCATCGATGATTAAATTATTTATAAATTGAACCAAAGGATTAAGAATTCGATTAATTATATCTAATCGATGTATTTTTTGGCAAGCGATGATTACTTTATCAACTGTTGCATCAGGTGACTGACAGAATGTTAATAAAACATAATATGTAGGATCTTGCATTCCTTTAAAATTATATTCAATGCATTGTATTTGTTCTCTTGAAAGACCAAGATGTACAGCAAATTCTTCCCATCCTTTATATAATTTTCCTGACGGGGTTGAACTCATGAACAGACAAATTTTCTGAAGTAGAAAAATACCTTCATTTTCGAACAAAAATGCCGAATGTAACGATGAACTTAATTTCTGAATTTTTAAAATTGTCGTGTCTAAATTAGGTGCATGATCCACTTGTTTCCTCAATTGTTCTAAATGAGGATCTGGTTTTCTAGAAATAAATCAACAAATTACATTGAAATTGATTAAAAAAACAATATACTAAATAAATAATTATTTTTTTCAATAGTTACATACCCAAATGCCATTGTCAAATGCAAAAAATATTGCAAAATATTTTTACAAGTATGGCTGTTATTTTTTATCTATCCCCCTCCATAAACATTTAATTATGCAAATTGTTGGCGCGAAGTTTAAGTATAAAATTTAACTTTATTATTATTTTGCAATGTGTTTTTAGGTATTTCAAAGCATTTTCCCAGAGTAAATTTACAAGTCAGAAAAGAGCAAGAGAATTTTTGGAGTGGATGGAACGATTTGACAGCAGTATTCAAGGGAGTGACACGTGGTTTGAAGTATCAGCACGTGGAATTACTGAATATGCCCAATGTGAAGGAGATCTTCTATTAAATTGGCGAGACCGTGGATATCATACAGCATTAGATTTATTAATGGTAAGAAATCTTATTAATTGTTACATATTAATTCAATAAAATAATACTTTTAAAATGTAAGAATATTAGAGGTTATATTAACCATCATTTTAATAATAAATTTAAATTTTAGAATAAATGTAAAGATATTTCTAACGGGACTTATATTCAAGATAAGATAAGATTTTTACGAGAAGTATCTAATATCGACTACACTAATCCAGATGAAATAATTGTGAGCACAAGTGAGGGCCAAAAATATTCAGCTACGAATGTAATATTTACTAGCTCTTTGGGAGTACTTAAAGATCAACATCAATCATTATTTACACCATCATTACCCGATATAAAAAAGTCTGCAATAAAAGGCCTAGGAATTGGAACAGTTAATAAAATTTTCCTTGAATTTTCACATCGATGGTGGCCTGAGAAATGTGCCGGATTTGGGCTTATTTGGAGTAAAGAAGACAAAGAAGACTTCTTAAAGTCGAATCCAAAGGTATGTTTTTATTTGTAGTAATCAACTGGATACTATAATTAATTAATTAATTCTGTCTGAATAATTTGTTTCAGGAAAATCATTGGCTTGCTGAAGTATTTGAATTTTTAACAGTTGATTATCAACCTAGAGTATTAGCTGGCTGGATATTGGGAGAAAGTTCGCGGTTTATGGAAACTCTGACTGATGATGAAGTAAAAAAAGGAATGTATCAGTTATTAGAGAGATTTCTTGGTAAATCGTACAATATTCCACAACCCGTTAATATTTTCAAGGTAAATAATAAGTTTAAAAAATTAAAAATCCAAAAATTTGTTTTTTCTTATTGCCTTTTGAAATTTTTTAGATCCAAGTGGTATAGTGATAAACATTTTCGTGGTTGTTACTCTTTTCGAAGTATTGAAAGTGATCAAATGAATGTATATGCTCATCATTTAGCCGATCCTATCGTTGGAAAAAAAGGAAAACCGGTGAATAAATGAAGCAAAAATTATTTGTTAGAAAAATTGTAATTTGTTTCAGAATATTATATCTTTTTTTCATTTTGCAGATCATACTTTTCGCAGGTGAAGCCACTCATAATCATTATTATTCTACTGTTCATGGAGCTGTGGAAACGGGATTTCGTGAAGCCAATCGATTAATCAATTACTACAGGTACTAATTTCGAATAAATGATGTTAATTAAATGCGCGAATGTTACTATTCATTTCATATATTGAGTTAGCATATTTTATTTAGCTTTTCATTTCATTTATTTTTAATTTTCTTATTTAGGCAATTAAAATCTCATCTTTAATCTAAATCCATAAAAACTTGATTTTCTACGAATGTGGAGGGAAGCAGATATATTTTATACAAATACATATACAACCAAATATAAGAATAAATAGTTATCATATTGTAACTATATTTTATTTAAATCAATATTAAATTTTTTTTTCTTATTAAATTTACAATTCAGTTCAACTATAACCAATTGTTAATTTTGATTGCGATTTATTTTATACAATAACTCGTACTAGTTCGACGATTAAGACAGGTGATCTGGAATCCTGGAAAACAAGTGAATATAGCAGTAGAAAGAATCAAAAAAATGTCCATAGAAACAACTAAAGTTGTGATTATTGGAGCAGGAATTGCTGGATTAGCTGCGGCTAAAACCCTAGAAGAAAAAAATTTTCATGATTATTTAATACTTGAAGGTAAATTTTTGCATCAATAAATCTTGAAAAAAAATCAAATTCAAAGTTGATCATTCTATTGTTATTATTATTTATAGCTCAAGATTACATTGGGGGTAGGATTCGATCTATTCCTTGGAATAATAATTGGATAGAAGAAGGAGCACAATTTTTACACGGAAATCAAAGTCAATTCGCTGAATTATGTGAGCAGAATGATCTGTTATCTGAAGAACAATCTTATGAAGCAGAAGGAATATTTATTAGAAATGATGGCTTACGTGTTGATAAATATTTAGTAGAAGAAATAGATAATTTAATTCGTGATGCATTAGAAGATTGTGAAAAATATGCAAAATTAGATAACATAAGTCCAGATATGCCAAAAAATATTAACTTACTTCTTCGAAAATCAGTCTTAGAACATATCATGTCTAAAAACGAATCTTCATCTATTAAAAAAGTCAAAGAAGAAATATATGACTGGATTGTCAAATATTTGTTAATCGATAATTCATGTTTGACTTTAGATGAACTATCTGTTAAAAGTTGGGGAAAATTCCAGGTAAATGAATTGATTAATTACTTTTTGAACTGTGTTTTTCATTTAAAACGTCTTTTAGTTTGTCGGGGGTCCAGAACATTTGGTTTTTAAAGAAGGTTATAGCTCAGCAATAAGAATGTTAACAAATAACATAAACAAAAATTGTATACGAATCAGTAGTCCAGTAGAAAAAATCGAATGGCATAAACAAACAAAGGAAAATGATGAAAAAATAGTTATCGTAACTCTTTCTAATGAAAAAAAAATTTTAGCGGATTGCGTGATAGTTACGTGTTCATTAGGATATTTAAAAGAAAACCATGAAAAAATGTTTATACCCTCATTGCCGCCTCATCTGACATTGACGATTGATAGCCTTGGTTTTGGATTGATAAATAAAATTTTCTTAGATTTTGGAGAAGCCTGGTGGGAACCAGGAGTAAAAGGTTTCCAGTTAATTTGGCATGACAATGAAAGTGATATTGAAAAATTAGCTCCATGGACAAAAGATTTGAGTGGATTTGACGTTTCACAGCACCATGAAGCAGTTCTTATTGGATGGATTGGCGGCAAAGGTGCATATACCATTGAAAATCTGACTGATCAAGAAGTTGGAGATGAGTGTATTTATTTATTGAGATATTTTTTCAAGAATAATTATTTACCAGCTCCAAAAAGATGTAAAAGAACTCAGTGGAATAAAAATAAATATATGAGAGGTAGTTATAGTCATATTACAACAAAATGTGATGAACATCATATTTCACCAGCTAATTTAGCCAAACCAGTATGGGCAAAAATAATTCAAAACAATTTAGTAAAGGTAAATTTTTTTTTTTAATTTTTATTACTCATATTAAATGTTCTTTTTGATAATTGAATTTTATATTTTTCATTCTATTCAGAATGTTCCTGTATTAATGTTTGCGGGAGAAGCAACACATGATAACTTTTATTCCACAACTCACGGTGCTTATGATAGTGGCCAAATACAGGCTAAAAATTTTTTACGCTATCATGTTTAAATCATACACATAGTATATATATAGAAATTTATAAACATTTTTTCTACAAAAATAATTATCTATGTTAGCAAAGTCAGAAATATTATTGTTCATTATCTTTTTTTTGTGCATAAAAGCTTATCAATCGATTAGCTTCACGAAAGCCTGAATCGATTGCTCCATGAACTGTTGAATAATATTGGTCAGTAGCTTCACCACCAAATTGAAGGATCTGAAAACATTTTTTTCATATTAAAATACATATCAGTAACTTATATCTATAATCACTAGATGTGAAAACTAACTGGTTTTGAATCTTTCATAATTGGTTCAGCAAGATCTTCAGCATAAACATCAGCTGATTCTGATGCAACGCTACGAAAACTGTAAGTACCTCTGAAATTTACGTTTGAATTCCATGTGGTCCTAAAAAAAGCTTATTAAATATTTAATTTATAAAAGTATTGAAAACAAATACCTTTTAATTACTGATGGTTCAGTAATGTTATAGTGTTGTCCAAAAAATCTTTTGATCAGTTCTAAAGTCTGATTACGGAATAACTCATCAGGAATTAACTCCATTTCTCTTGAATGAATTCCGCTCATCCAAAGACACAGTAATTTAGGTTTGTGTTCAATTGGAATAATTCCATAAACTCCTAGCATCCATCTTGTGTTATCCTAATAATTAATTAAAGATATGGATGGTTAAAAATCATTGATGAGTGACTGAAAAACATTACATCTTTTTCCATTTTTTTCCTGTCAGAATTGGTCCAATATAACATCTTTGCATAAATACCATCCATCCACCAAGGATTTTCATAATATAAATAAATTTTAGCTACATGTCCCATTCCAAGATTCTATAATTAAAAATATTAATTACAATTCATTATAATTTTAAAAGTTAATAAGTTTAATCGTGTAAATGTACCTTAATAGTATTGATTTTCTTTTCTGATAATAACGGATCGAATAATGTTTCATGATCTGATTTTAATACTCCTAAGGATCCAGTGAAAATTACATGATCAGCAAAATATTCTTTTCCATCTTCAGTAATAATTTTATTAGATCCATTACTGACATTATAATTTATTTTTATCACTTTACTATTCAATATTGTATTGTTTAATACAGGAAGTTCTTCTTCTGGATTGGGGTATCGTTTCTATAAATATAATTTTCGTTTGGTATTAATTATATTATAATCATAATAGAAATAATAATCATTTTTAAAATAAGTTAAAATTTAATTATACCATAAGAATATCTAAAATTGTCCCATAAGTTCGCTCTTTCCAATTAATATCTAGATCACCTTCACAATATTTATAGAAATGCAATCCTTTAGCAGATACTTCAAACCAATCATCTCCACCATCTGCTGCCATTTCTATTAAATTGAGTAAAAAAAGCAGTGATTCTTGTTCTTCTATCTTGATTTCTGGATGATTTTTAAAATAATTAGCAAATCTAAACAAAAATAGTGTCTTTAACTGTTTTATATTAATTTAGAATTGTTTCTAGTCTCTGTAGTTAATTGATTTACCTTAGTTCTGCATATTCACCAAATGATTTAGTTGTTAAGTTGTTAATAACTCTTAAATCAGCAGATATATTAGTGTGAAAATTGATTACTCCTTCAATCATGTCATCAGATATTATTGATCCTGATGATGCAAAGGTCTTCATTGTATTGTTGTGACCAAATCTTTCTAGTAAACCCAGAGGCCAAGCTAATTCGAATGCTATATTATTTTTTTCTCCATGTACCCATTGGCCTCCCATGTCAACTAAATATTCACCTAAAACAAGACTATTTTTTTAACAGTAAATAATTATTTTTAAAATAATTAGTTGATGAATATTTTTAGTTTAAAATATAAAAAATATAAGTAGAACAAGTAACGTAAAAGAAATAGATATTTACCTATATTAATTGTATATACTCTACCACCAATTTCTATTTTCCGCTTCTAGAATTGTAACATTTATAAATCCATTTTCAAAAAGTTTAGACGCTGCTGCAATTCCTGCTGCGCCTGCTCCAACAATGATTATTCTTGATGAATTTTTTTCATTAGAAAAAACATAGTTTATAGATAATAATAGTGAAAATATGATTAATTTTATCATGACTGTATTGAAAGAAAACTAAAATGTATTTGAGCTCTTTGATACTGACTAATTTTATAATCTATGAATGGCCATGGACATTCGTTATATGTAATGTTCTATTGCACTAAAAGCAAAGGTCAGATTTCTTCTATCAAGTCATTAGATAATATATTCTTTTCCCTATAGAATATAACGTACACTTTGTTTACATATTCATCATACGCTATAAATGATCTATATTAAAACCTTGGATATTTTGTTTTTCCATTTTTCAGAACTCATTTAGACAAGTGTTTTCATGATATAAAAATTCCATTAGAAACCAACTATTTTCTAGATAAATATCATTTTTCATTGAAATACAAAAAAGTATCAGTGGATATCTATTGTCATTAACAAGTTTATTGATAGAAAAAAATATAACAAATTTTTATTGTTACTCGATATTTTATAGGTATTATTCAAAATAAAAAATAAGTAGTAAGAATTTAAAGTGATACAGATGTTCGACATATTGAAAAAATATCTAAGATAATGGGCTCGTTTTATTTATTTACTTTGTTTATTAATAAGTACAATCGAATATGTATTCTCTATATGTGATCATATATGATCTCCAACTAACTGACATCAGTAAAATGTCATTAAACTTGTCAATTGATGGTAAATTGTAATAATCAATGAATATGACATGAATATTTGCTATTTCCAGTTATAATAATAACATTAACTCGAACAGTAATACTTTTATAACTGAAAAATAGTGAAAATGCACTGAACGGCTTGAAAAAATCACTATGAGAAGTAAATGTTCACTGATTCAGTGATGTCACTATTTCATATTGAAAGAGTAGTCATTTTTAGACTCATTGAAGAAATCAGCACAAATTCTACTTATTTAGTTTAAGAAAGTAGATTCGTATATTTTTATTCATTTGTATTTTGTTTGGATTTATGTACTTGAATATTGTTATCTACCCTTTTCAATTTTATTAGTAAATATTTATCAATTTAAATGAAAAAAGTATTTCCATTTCAACGAAGACAGTGTTGAGCAATACTAACAGAGGACTTGCATCAACTATCAACTTTTAGGTACCTTATAAATCTTCGGTGATATGAGAAACATTTGATGACTGGTATTCTCTAAAATTAAAATAATCAAATCACTGGAAAGTCAGTGAATTTTCACTTCTTGTTATAATTTTTCATCATTTCATTTTTACAGAGAATAATTGCTTATGTTATGATATTTTATCGCATCTAATCACGGAAAACTGATAGTTTTATTTACTTGGTGAAGGTCGTTTAAATCTCTATTAACAATGAGAGTTCAGTGAATAATGAGGGAGAAGAGTTTCCTTGACAGCTAACTGTAAGGGTCAAAGAGATCGATTATGATAGACTGTTTTTCTCGCTTCTTCGTAAAATAAAACAATTCAAAATTTACGAGCATAGAAAAGTTGTCGAGAACATGGAAAACTATTAAGAAGTTCATTAACAACTAATTATAACAACTAATATCTGAATCGAAAACTTTTATCACTGCTTGTATTTTAAGCTTATTTCTTTTGCAATATTAATATAATGATTATGTATTAGAACTGAGAAGAAAAAAAGACATTATTCAGTTTATTTTATTATTTTATTGATGTTTCTTTGAATTGATCTTTTTAATGAAATAAGAATAGACAAAATACATTTAATTAGATTTTTATATCATAATATAGATATATCTATAATAAAGATAATGTCTATATTTATTTATGATACAAAAATTTATTCTTTTGGTGAATATAAGTCCACAATTCGTTGTGCTTCTCGTTGACCAGAATTAATAGCACCGTGGACAGTCGCGTAATATTGGGCAGTAGCTTCACCAGCAAATTGTAAATTCTGTAAAATATTATTTATATTCAGAAAATCATCAATAAAATTTTATGGCTACTTGAACAGAACAATGTTAAGGCAAACCAGACTACTATAGATAAAGTAAATTGATTAGAACTTTATGTTTTAAGGTGTTACATTTCAAATAGAATACATACAGGCTTTCCATCTTTCATGATTGGTTCTCCAAGATCAATAGGATCAATGTTCAATTTTTCACTTTCCATGGTAGGATAACTGTAAGTTCCTCTAAAGTTCTCATTAGTCATCCATTGGCTTCTATTAATGCATATAAAATATTTTAATAAAATATTTTGAATTTACATGACAATTATCCTATTACCTTATCATCAAAGAAGGCTCAGTTACATTATATGTTTTGCCAAAGAACCTATTTAATAATCCAAGTGTTTCATTACGAACAACATCTTCAGGAAGAATTTCCATATCTTTGATGTAGGGTCCAGTCAGCCAGACACAAAGAAGTTTTGGTTTATTCTCTACTGGTATTATTTGATATACAGAAAGCATCCATTTCTTGGTGGGCTAAGAAAATATAGAACATTCATTTGGATATTTATTTATTACTAAAAAAAAACTTATATCCCTTCTTATTTTTTGAGTTCCTAATGTTAAAATTTTTGATCATAATAGAGTTCATAAACATTGAGTGATACGGAATTAAAAAAGTCTTACAAATCATCGTAAAATAAGCTAATAACATAAACCTGACTCTATCTTAATTATTTATTTTTACTCACATCATTTTCAATTTCTTTGCGATCAGCATCCGTCCAAATCATTCCTTTCAAGTAAGAACCGTCCATCCACCATGGGTTTTCGAAGTAAAAGAAAATTTTTGCTACACCACCGATAGCTCGAGCCTATTTTCATTAAGATATCATTTATTATTGATAAAATTTTCAAGTTGCTATGGATAATAAAATAAAAATATTTTTACCTCGATTGCTGCAACCTTAGATTGTGGTAAGGGTGGATCGAATATTTTTTCATGATCAGCTTTTAGAACCCCAAGAGATCCAGTCCAGATGATATGATCAGCTGGATATTCTTTTCCATCTTTAGTTATAACTTTTTTGGATCCATCACTTGAATCATATTGAATCTTTGTTACTTTACTATTTAACATTGTGTTTTCTTCAACTGGTAAAGCTTCTTTTGGGTTTGGAAACTTTTTCTATTATAGAATAAATGTCATTGAAATAATTATTTACTATTAATATTCACTGTAATGTTACACTCACCATTAAGATATCCAAAATAGTTGAATATGTTCGGTTTTTCCAATTGATTCCTTGATCTCCTTTACAATCAGATGACTTTGCTAATTGTTTCAAAGGAAGTAGATGCCAATCGGGAGCTGAATGCAAAGCTAATTGGAAAAGATTCATGAACCAAAGAATAGCTTTTTGTTGCTCTGGAGTTATTTCGGGATGATTTTGAAAGTACTCATTGAACCTTTGAATAATTAATTATAAGTGATTTTTTCTTCATCAAAATGAAATGTTCGAATATGGATTTATTTACTTTTTATCCAGAAAATCGCCTAATGAATCTGCTGTTTCATTTTCTAATTTTTCATTTAAGTTTTCAAGAGAACCAATGTGATATTCTATCATATCGGTAGCTATGTCAGGAAATATTTCTTCTCCCCCTGAAGAAAACAGTTTTACGTTTCTGTTGTATCCCGTATCATTGAAGTGCTCCAAAAGACCTAAAGGCCAAGCTAATTCAAATGAAATGTTGTCTTCTTCACCATGAACCCATTGGCCACCAAGGTCTATCATGTAGTCTCCTTCATTTCATAAATAATTTGCAGTGTAAATAATAAATAATAACAAATTATGTAAAGTAAATAGTTTCAATTAATTACCGAATTTCACACTGTAAACTCGTCCACCAATTCGATTTTCAGCTTCTAGAATCTTAACATCTTTGAACCCTTTTTCAAACAGCATGGACGCCGCAGCAATACCAGCTGGTCCAGCTCCAATAATGACAATTTTTGGAGACGGTTTCTCGTCACATGAAATTAAACTTATCAAGAGAAAAAGTGAACTCAGTATGAATAACTTCATGATTGTTGTTACAATCGAAGACTAATCTTCTTTATTACATTTTCTGGTTAATTTATAGAACTACTGGGTATTTGTTTAGACAAAGATATCATGTAGGATCATAAGTTCAATCCATTTCTATTAGATGAGTAATCTTATTCATTAGATAATCATATATTATTTAAAATTTTATATATATTCTTTAGATATTTTTCAAAAAATATCACATGTGTTTAAAAAAGGCTTGAACATTGAATGCTTTTTTAAGGTTTATTTCCAATTGTAAGATTGCTACTACGTATTTATTTAAGAACGCAAACACCAAGTGACTGGGTTGATCATAGATACTAACCAGAGTTTTTTATTTTATATCTTTTTATTACTAATATTCATATGAATAATAAAACATATTTTTTTAATATAATTGTAAAAAATTTTAATCAATTAGTTGTTTCAATATATACAATTATAAAAAGCTGCTATTGTTAAATTAATTATTACAACAATTTTAAATTCCTTTACTAACTCATTAGTATCATTGCTGATTATTAACACTCTCATATTGTTTTTAATTGTCATTACATTTTTTTAATAGCTGAGGAGTATTAAAAATTATTCCTTTTTTGGAGCATAAAGATTTATTAAACGATCAGCTTCACGCCAACCAGCACCAAGTGCTCCATTAACTGTTCCATAATACTCTGATGTGGCTTCTCCAGCAAATTGAAGGCTCTAAAAAATATTGTTAGTATCACTCATTCGATTTTTACTATTTTTCGTTACCATGAAAAATGAGTAAATATTTCATCTTACAGGTTTTCCGTCTTTTATTATTGGTTCTGCGAGGTTTTCGGGATGACTGTTGGTTTTTTCACTATCTATACTAGGAAAGCTATATGTGCCTCTGAAGTTTTCATTGGTATTCCATTGACTTCTACAAAAATTGACATTTATTGATGATTTTTAAAAATATGCAATATTATATACAATTTTACCTTCTCATTAATGACAATTCAGTAAGATTATAAGAATGACCGAAAAATTTATTTAAGAACCATAATGTACTGTTACGGAGAATATCATCATCAATCAATTCCATTTCTGGTACGTAGGAACCAGTTAACCAAAGACATAATAATTTAGGTTTATGTTCTACTGGCACAACACTGTAGACTAAAAGGAGCCATTTTTTTGCAGGCTACAAAAAAAATATACTTACTTTCTTAATAATTAAATTTGAATAATATTATAATAACATCTTACATCGTTTTCTATTTCTTTCTTATCAGCATCAGTCCAAAAAATTCCTTTGAAGTGAGCTGTATAATCCCACCAAGGATTTTCAAAATATAAGAAAAGTTTAGCAACATGGCCCATACCAAGATTCTATCAAGATACAAACATATCAAGAAATATCAGTGCTCTGCAGTGGTCTGAGTGCGACCCGAAAGGTCCACACGACTAACTTCTCAGTGGAAGGAATGATAAGGTTTAGCTAGTTTACTATTTTTTTCAGGTTTTTGATTCTGCACGAGATGAAAAATAATTTCGAACGCACATTTCTATAACTTCCCACTGAGAAGTTAATAATAAGTATCGTTTAATTGTTTATGATAAATCAGAATTAAGCAGTAAAATTTCTTACCTCGATTACTGTAACCTTAGATTGTGGTAAGGGTGGATCGAATATTTTTTCATGATCAGCTTTTAGAACCCCAAGAGATCCAGTCCAGATGATATGATCAGCTGGATATTCTTTTCCATCTTTAGTTATAACTTTCTTGGATCCATCACTTGAATCATATTGAATCTTTGTTACTTTACTATTTAACATTGTGTTTTCTTCAACTGGTAAAGCTTCTTCTGGGTTTGGGTACTTTTTCTGTTATAGAATAAATTTCATTAAAATAATTAATTACTATTAATATTCACTGTAATGTAATACTCACCATTAAGATATCCAAAAAAAATGAATAAGTTCGATTTTTCCAGTTAATATCGTGATCTCCTCCAGTATCAGCAGTATCTCTTATGCGAGCTGCTGAAACTTGATGCCAATCATCAGCTGCATCATAGCCCATTTCGAATAAATTCAAAAAATGAACTATTCCTCTCTGTTGTTCTGGAGTTATTTCGGTATGATTTTTAAAAAATTCTTCCAGTCTAAAATTATATTTTAGTAATAATCATTACTAATATAATATTGTTAAATATAAAAAATTTCATCTCACAAAAGCTAATCATCTTACTTATTTTCCATGTATTCTCCTAGTGATATAGATTTTATATCTTTAGGTATATTTTCAACACAGTGTAAGTGATATTTAATAATTTCAGATGTTGTTTCAAGTGGTATCACTTCTCCTGAAGAACCATATAATATTGCTGTACGTTTGTATTCACTATCATTAAATTTTTCAAGAACTCCCAGAGGCCAAACTAATTCAAAAACTACATTCCGTTCTTCACCATGAACCCATTGCCCTCCTATATCTATCATATAATCACCTAAAATTTATCAAAAATAAATCAAAAGATCTTTGATAATTATTCATAAAAAATTTTAAAGGAATCTTTCATACCCATTTGCACACTATATACTCTTCCACCAATTCTATCTTCTGCTTCAAGAACAGTAACATTTTTAAATCCATTCTCTAGAAGTCTTGATGCTGCACCAATCCCTGATACACCTGCTCCAATAATTACTATTCTGGGAGAATGATCTTCATCAGCGAATACGATATTGGTAAAGAAAAACAGTGAAAGAATAAATGAAATGTACATTTTTGCTGACATCCAAAGAATGAAACTGGTGATATATAACAACATCAACTCAAGTTAATGGGCAATTTTATACAAGAGTCTGACCTTGAATGTTAGATATAATAGACCTATTAATAAGTTTTATCTCACTAATAGCAGAGTTCAAAGGATGAATTCAAATCTTTCATTAGATATTTCCTTTTTACAGAATCAATTGATAACTAATACACATGTGTAATGCTCATTGTAAGCTTTATATTATTTATCTAGTAATTATCATCTACACATAATATTAATTATACAATTAAATTGTGATTGTTGATTACTTCATTATTTATTTTATAAGTTAAAAAATCATTTAATATATTTTCTATCTGTAATAGTAGTATAATGAAATATTAAATTTCTTCTTCAAGAATACTATGAATTAGGGTTTTTAAAGTATACCTAGCTCATGTAGATTATATTTCTGTTTGTTTCAATTAAGTTATAAATTAAACATTTACGCATAGTAATTGTTAAGTAATGTTTTTTAGTGAATATTCGTTGATAACATCCACATAATACATTCCATGCTGAATACATTCACATGTAATGGAACTTATTATTGTTATCTTCAAATAATTTGCCATTATTCCAATACTTTTGTAAATATATTCTCACATAGTTATTTTTTTTTTGTATTACAACAAAGGACTGATGGTTTTAGAATAATTTAACAACATAAATTTTTACATTCTTATCGGATTGCTCATTCGCCTATAAGTAATATTCGATTCTAACAATATTATATACGTGTTACTAGAAAACTTTTCATAATTTAAATAGAGTAAGTAATTCGTACATCTATTTTATAGTACAGAATTGTTAGAATTTATTTGTTAAGCTAATCTAGTCAGTTATTCTATGCACGTTAGTTGTTATTCGTTTCTTTTACGTAATAATATGATTGCAGCATTTAGAAAATTAATATTAATATAGTGAAGTTACTATCTATCAGTTAGTAAACATTAGTAGTTGATAGTTATTTCTTTATTTAATAACATTAACTGGATAAAAGTTTTCGTGTAAAAATTCAAATTGGAGATCGTGTTGAGACTTTCTGTATTAAGTGTCAAAGATTAGGAATATAGAGGGAATAAATTAAAATTATTCTGCAATTCGGGGTAGTCTGGATACATTGTACAGATTGAAAAAAATTTACTAAAGTTTTATAATTAGTAATTTATCAATCATTCTATTCTATACATATTTTATTTGAAATTTTACACAAAGAGAAATGAAATAGTTAAGTTTATTATCATGTCTTAATTTTCTGTTTAATATTATACTGTCAAGTTTCATACTAAAAAAAACAACTCAATAAATTATCAGATGAGATAACATTTAATTGTTTTAATCCGTTTCAGTGTAATCGTTGTTAATAAATAGAAAGTAGTTAGACACTGAAAATTTTTCAATTTCCTAATTTAAATGATAAACATTGATTTCCAAGTATTGTAACTAATTTTATTATCATTTAATTTATTTGCTTTCAGTAAAATTATCATAATTGTAGTAATTTATGAAGGAAAACAGGAAAATATTCTATATCATAAGACATCAATTATTAAAAAAAAAATTTCTTTTTCAGTGGTTTGTAATAATATTTTTATTTCTGAAATTTCATTAGAAATATGGAGCAGAAAGTGTCTAAAGAAACAAAGCATCCTGTTGAAAACGCCAGTTACCTCAACCAGCTGTTTTTCATGTATGTAAATTGTACTACTATTATTAGAAATTTATTCTTAAAAATTATCTCAATTTATATGAAATAAACTCCTCAATATTCTTTGAACAATTAAAGTTCAATTTTTAAAATTAAAATTTTAACTTCTTATCAAGACATAAACAAAAGAGTTATAAACCTCACAATAATATTACTGTAATTTGTCGTTTCAAACTAAAAATGACTATTACAGTTTGGTGTCCAATAAACTTGCTTGCAGAAACAAATTTTAACATCTATTAATTAAAAATAATTTAGCAATTTTTTGAATTCGAATTGACAAACTACTGTTGCATCACTGTAAAATATATTTTTTAGTTTTCTTTATTTATTAAATTGTAGATCATTATTCTTATTAATATATTAATGACTTAATGTATTATTTACATTGAATTTATCTATTTTAATCAATATAACATTTTAATTATAAATAAATATCCTTTCCTATTTAGATGGACGTTCACATTATTTAAAAAAGGATCCAAGAATGAACTTACAATGAATGACATTTGGCCTCCTCTTACTCGTGATAAATCAGAACATTTAACAAATCAGTTAGAGAGGTATCATTTTTTGCATTTCATTTAAATTATAATTGTACATAATTAAAATGATTAAACTTCATTTTTCTGCATTTAATAATTAGGGCATGGAATCAACAACTTATGAAATGCCAAAAACATAATAAAATGGAAGTTACTAGCAAAAATAGAAAGCTAAAGAGGCCCAGCTTAATCAAAACTATAATAGCAGTTTTTTGGTTTGATTATTTTATTGTTAGTTTAGTTGTGATGCTTGAAATGGTAATACTACGAAATACATTACCTATTTTTCAACGTATCATTGTTGATTATTTTGATATGACAAATAATGAGATGTCACGAAATGATATTATATTTTATACCACTGGGCTTATTTTGACTGCTTTCTGCAGTACTTTGACTTTACATCACACTTCTTTTCAATCACGACGAATTGGAATGAAAATAAGAGTTGCTTGTTGCTCTCTTATTTATAGAAAGGTAAAATATTTAATATTAATTGAATAAAAACATTTATTCATGTATTTAACTTGTTATTATTTTGTTTTTAACTTTATTCATTTTTTATCAAAATAGAGTTTAAAACTGAGCCAGGCATCATTTAATGAAGCAAACGTAGGCCAAGCAATTAATATTCTTAGTAATGATGTAAATCGCTTTGATTATCTTCTAATTTATTTTAGTTTGATATGGATAGCTCCTTTTCAGGTAATATTATTAATTATTATTAAAAAATATTTATCTTTTTTGCTTACATTTATAGCTTATTTACTAACTTTACACCGAATTTATACACATTTTGCACTTAGTAGTACTGTGTAAATATTGTTAACAAAGTAAACTCCGTGTAAATGATGTAAAAATAATGTGTATAGATTTGATATATTTTGCACACATTAATATAAAATAGCACCACAATAATAGACATAGTAGTTTCTACTGAAAAAATTGTTTTAATTTGAGTCATTTCAAAGAAAGTTGAAAATGTGGTCAAAATTACTCTTCAAAAGGTTGAAAATTTATTCAAATGTGTGCTTTTTAATATCTACCCAACCATTTTTTCAGTATATATTTAATGTGAACACAGTCGAGTTTAATTAAATAATAATTTACATAAGCTGGGTAAACAAATATCAACATCTATATAAGTAAAAAATGAAAACTATCAATTAAATGCCTAAAAATAAGATGAATAAAATATATTCTACTGAGCAGGAGTATTATAAAGCAAAAAGTAATGATTTTTATGCTGAATTTTTTTAGATTACCTTGGCTGGTTTTATAATGTGGCAAAGTATTGGAATTTATACTCTTATAACACTCGGTTGTCTGATAGGAACAATGGTTCCTCTGCAAGCATTTCTTTTAAAAATAAGTGAAAAGCTACGAGGGCTAATTGCTTGTTTGACTGATCGAAGAATACAATTATTGAGTGAAGTTATTGCAGGAATTCAAGTAGTCAAGATGTATGCTTGGGAGAAGCCATTTAATAAAATCATTTCACAAATTAGAGAGAAAGAAATAAGACAGATTTATTATGCAACCAATGTGAAAGCATTTTATAAATCAATATTTTTAGTAATGGAACGAATGATACTTTTTATAACGATTGTAGCCTTCATTTCTACAGGAAACTCACTTGATGCTGGAATTGTGTTTCAGCTTTTTAGCTATGTTGATATTTTACTTATCATCATGGCAATATGTGTTCCTACTGCTATTGTAACCATTGGAGAAAGTATAATTTCTATTAAACGAATAGAGGTAAATTATCATCTACCACGTTTAAATATTTTCTCATAAAATTTTTGTCTAAATCAATTGTTGGATTTTAGGATTTTTTGATGCTTAATGAGATAAATGAAGATGATAATACAAAAATTAATCAATTAAATGATAATTTATCAAATAAATCATCATATTCAATACAAATTGAACTAGAACAAGTTTTTGCCAATTGGATAAAAGGCCAATTACCACCAACATTAAATAATATATCATTGACAATTAAAGGAGGAGAATTGTGTACTATTCTTGGTCCAGTTGGTTGCGGTAAATCGTCATTATTAAACGTCCTCCTTAAAGAACTTCCAATTAGCAGTGGTGCTATTAGATTTTTTCGAAATACTGAGTCTGGGTTAGAACTATTAAAAAATAATTCAGGAATCAAAATATCCTATGCAAGCCAAGATCCCTGGCTTTTTTCAGGAACTGTCAGAGAAAATATTCTTTTTGGGGAGGAATATGATAGCAAACGCTATCGAAAGGTAAAGAATTCGTTTTATTAATTCTTGAATTATCAATTTATATTGAAAGAATGTTTACTATACAGTTTGTTTTATCATACAATTCTGAATAATGCTATGAAAATCTTAAATATATTCTAATTTTCTGATACAACTAAGTTGATCATCAACGTAGTTTGTATCAACTATCTTTATATTATAATAGGATAAAAGCACCTAATCTTAACTAATACGTAAAATTAATCTTTTCATATAATTTGTATATATTTGTGTGTAAATAACTTTTGACACTTTCATTCTAGATTATGATACAATATATTTTTGACTTAATCAATTAATTACTTTGAACTCAGTAGGTAACAAAAGTTTGCTCCCTTTTGAAAGATTTTCGACTATTTCCCAACGGTGATATGACAATTGTTGGAGAAAGAGGTGCTTCTCTTTCGGGTGGACAAAAGAGCAAGAATTAATTTAGCAAGAGCGGTATATAAAAAAGCTGACGTTTATCTTCTTGATGATCCTCTCGGTGCAGTTGATGTTCAAGTTGGTCGTCAACTTTTTAATGACTGTATTCGAAAATATTTGAAAGGAAAAACTAGAATACTTACAACTCATCAAATTTATCAACTAATGAGAAATGATTTCATAGTAATTATGGAACGAGTAAGATCATTTTTGAATAATTATTAATGTAATAATCTTTAAATTTAATATGACATAATTATAATGGTGATTTTTGTTCAGGGAGTTATTGAATCTCAAGGTTCATTTGAAACTTTGTCGAAAATACGACCAGATTTCAATAATATGTTATCTCATTATGAAGAAAAAAAAGAAATGTTTAATGTTGAAAAAATAGAGATGAAAGAATTATGTGAAAACAGCACAAATGAAATCATAAATCCATCTACTGAAGAAAATGTAATTTCAGTTTTGAAAAAATCCATGACGTCTTTGAATAATTGTCAATTGGTAATTAGATTTTTCAAAACTAAACTTTAAATAAATTATTTATTTTTTAAAAATATTTTTTATAGATATCGAATAAAACTGATAAAACAAAGGCACAAGAAACAATGACATCTGAAGAAAAAGAAACAGGACATTTATCATACGATGTTTATATACGTTACTTCCGTAATGGTGGTACTCTTTTAACATTTATTTTCCTTATTTTCATTTGGATTATATCACAAATAACTATTAGTGGTTTCGATTATTGGCTCAGTTATTGGATTAGTTTGGAATCAATTAAAATATGCCTTCAACAGTCATTTAAGGATTGCAAAATCGACAAAAGTCAATATGATTCGATGATAAATACTCCATTGTTCACATCACTGCCAGTTTTGGATGAAAATGGATTTTTAAAAACCAAATATGCAATTTACATTCATATTATTTTTATTATTACCTGCATGATCTTAGTTCCATTAAGAAGTTTTGTTTTAATGAGAAATTTGTATGACTGCTAGTTACAGACTTCATAACAACATAGTTTTCAATGTTCTTCATGCTACTATGCGATTTTTTCACATTAATCCATCAGGTATATGCTTTAATTCTATAATAATAATTTTACTGACAGAACTTGAATCAATGAATTCTAATGAATATTTGTCGTTTCATGTCAAGGAAGAATTTTGAATAAATTTTCAAAAGACGTTGGAACAATGGATGAATTAGTTCCCATAACACTTTTAGAAACAGCTCAAATATTTTTTTTAGTAACAGGAGTTTTAATATTGGTTTATGTGGTTAATGTATGGATGATAATTCCTAGTTTTATTATGGGCATAATTATTTATATTTTTCTTTATTACTATCTTCGTGTTTCTCAAGACCTAAAAAGACTAGAAGGCATTGGTAAGTTTAATTCAATTTAATAACTTAGTTTTTTGAGTAATTATATAATGTTTTTTAATCAACTTTTCAGCAAAAAGTCCTGTTTTCACTCACGTTACTACCACCTTTAAAGGAATAACTACAATCAGAAGTAATGAGGATAGTATAGAAATGATGTTTCGAAATAAATTTGATCAACTTCAAGATGATCATAGTGGAGCTTGGTATTTAGTCATTGCTACTAATGCAGCTCTGAGTTTTTTTCTAGATTTAATTGCCTGCGTAATGCTCAGTTGTATTTGCTATTCATTTATTTTAATTGGCCCCGGTAATTACAACATTTAATCATTTTTAATCAGTCGATTAAAAATGTTAAACTTCTAATTGATTATATAATTATATAATTGATTGAATAATTAATTTTGTTACATTGTTTGATTAGATGATACCTATGGAGCATCTGTTGGTTTAGCGATTTCTCAATCATTGACCTTGTCATTATTGTTTCCGTTTGGTGTTAAACAAAGCATGGAATTACAATCTCATATGACTTCTGTTGAAAGAATTTTACATTACACCAATATACCTAATGAAGACATAAAACCAATTGATTCTACAACAGAAAATGAATCATTCAATGGATATGTTGAATTTAAAAATGTATTTTTACAATACAATAAGGATGAACCTGCTGTTTTAAAAGTATACATTTTTTAATGAACTAATTCATTTCTTTATCAGAAACAATATTTTTATTAAACATTATTACTTTCTCTAAACTTGAATTAGGATATTAATTTAGCTATAAAACCAGGCTGGAAAGTTGGAGTAGTAGGAAGAACCGGTGCAGGAAAGTCATCTTTAATTTCAGTTTTATTTCGTCTTGTTGATGATGGAATGCATGGAAAAGTATTAATTGATAAACAAGATATCAAAAAAATTGATCTTCATTATTTGCGATCAAATATTTCCATTATCCCACAAGAACCTGTTCTATTTTCTGAAACGTTACGATATAATCTCGATCCTCTTCAAAAGTATTCTGATTTTGTTATTTGGGAAACTTTAAAGAAGGTTGAGTTAAGTGATTTAATGCTTGATCAAAAAATTTTTGAGGGTGGAAAGAATTTTAGTATTGGACAAAGACAGCTAATTTGTCTTGCGAGAGCCTTATTAAGAAATAATAAAATTCTTATTCTTGATGAAGCAACAGCAAATATCGATTTTCAGTAGGTATCTAAAAAATAGAAAATCTGTAGATGATGGTATGATAATATTTCATAAATTAAAAAACATCTTTTATTCATATTTAGAACTGATGCTTTGATTCAACAAACAATTAAATCGAAATTCATAGGATGCACAGTTATTGTAATAGCACATCGACTTAATACTATTATTGACAGTGATCGTGTTTTAGTAATGGATGCTGGTGAAGTTGTTGTGAGTAATAAACAATCTATTGAATAACTTCTAAATTAAATCACAATATTTATGATTTTATTTAATGCTATTCAGTTATGTTTATCAGTTAGAGTCAATGTTAATCATCACCTTGCATTGATTTGTTTATTCAAAATATTTGAAGCTAATTTTATTAAACTTTGACTTCATTCTTTCAGGAGTTCGATAGCCCATACAATTTGATATTTAACAGAGAAAACAGTCTATTTAAACAAATGATTGAACAAACTGATCCAACAATGTCAAATCAACTTTATAAAGAAGCAGCAATATACCATCAACAAAAAAACAGTAGCTTTCAATCTTTTAATAGTGAAGATGATATGGTAATAGATGTTGATAATGTTAGAATAAAAAACTATGATGATACAATTGAATATAGTATTCGACTTTAAATTATGTTAAATAGAGTACTTGAATTGTTAATAAAATAAAAAAATTAAATCCTAACAGCATCGATAACAAAAAAATGGTTAATAAGTTAACTAAAAAATGTCAACTTTAAGTCATGCCTAAAATACTTTTTATGAATGATGTTTTATATTTTGTTAAAAATAAGATGGGCTTTTAATTTGTACGTGAAGACGTATATTGAATAAATTTAAGAATTTAATTATTAAATTTTTTAAAATTTATAATATATACAGAATATTTTACAGCTGTTGATACTTGAAATAATTAATCATTATTTACATTTTGATTATCACTTTGAATTAATTCTTCATCAGAATTTTCACCACTACCAGTAAATGTTTCTTCCATTACTATAAATGCAGGTAATTGAATATCACGAAGATTAATACCTATCGGTGGTCTTCTTTCGGTTTCCTGCTGCTCTGAGAATAATTTCTCATTTAAAATACATTTTTTTGTATCATTAGACTTTGAAATCTCATTCATAACGTCACTGTCGGAACACGTTTGAAATTTCTTCAAACCTAATAATGGTTCACAAATATCTTGATTTTCATTAAAGCCTAAATCATCTCGAGTTTTTGGTAAAGGAGGAGGTTCTGGTATTCTTTGTGGTTCAACTGGTACTTCATTATCATTATTTTTCCCTACTAAATATTTATCTTTGAAACGCAAAAGTGCTTTTGCCTCTCTTTCAGACATAGATAAGTATTTATCAATTAAAACTTCTTTTAGCTCACTCATAAAATTTTTGGCAAGAAGTTTATCTAACTTTATTTTTTCAAGTGATTCAGGATTATGATCTTCATATAATGGTTTAAAATATTCTTCCTTTATATATTCTTCAAATACTTCATCTACAATAAATGGATCTTCATCATATACTACAAGTAATTCATTTTCATTATCATTTATTGCAGATTTTTTATTTAATTCAGAATAAGTTAGTTGTCGAGGATTTCTGTATTTATTGATAAGTAGAATATTAAACTCAGCAAAATTTCTTGCAGTATCAATTTCTTTATATATTGTTTCCATTTTTTTTGTGAGTTTATTAAAGAATTCATCCGTTTCTTCAGAATCATTCCAGTTGTCTATCTCATCAATAACAGAACAAACATTATTATAAGCAGATTGGATTTTACGAGCTAATAAATCTGAATGCGCATAAAAATCTTGCCATCTAATATGAGGTTTTTTCCTAAGAAAAATATCAGTAGAAATTTTAAAAATTAATTTGGTTTGATTAACAATAATTTTAGAACTTACTGTGATTCTAAAGAAAGTCGTCCAATTTTAGTATTTTTATAATCTTCAACGATAACATGCAACTTTAGACTGTATCTCTTTAACATTTTAGATAAATGATCAATTACTTGTGATAATTTTCGATGAAGAAAAAAATTAGTATTCTCTGAGTTATGTTTATAAATAGTAGCTAAAAGTAACATCAACTCTGACTGTACAAGTATATACATGTAATAAAATTTCTGAAAATTAATTTGTTTAATAACATTTTTCATAAATCAACTGATATAATTAAGTGTAACTAAATTATTACTTTAAGACGTTCATATGTGATCTCTCCTTGAAGTTTAAAATGATGAACGTCAAATTTCGTTATTAAATGATTAAGTTTTAAATCGGAATATAAATTAATTAAACATAACGATTTTTGATAATATAAATATGATATTTGTTCTAGTGATTGGATAAAAGTTTCACACATTGGTTGTAAATATTTCAGTCTTTCAACTTCTAATTCACTGTAATCAGTTTTAGAATATTAATTTGGCAATTTATATAGATACATTTTTTTATGAAGAGTAAAAATGTATATTACTCAAGTTTTTTAACATACCTAAATTTTCTTTGTAATGAATTTGAAGATAGTTTTATGCAATATCCATTTTTTAATATTCTTAATATTTTCTTGTATAAATAGTAAAGATTATTTTGTGTAGACACAAAATTTTTAAGACTTTTGATACTACGTAAGTCCAAATATTTATAACACGCTATGACCAGCATTGAGCCAGAAATTATTATAAGACTAGGTATTCGTGAGGGTTTTCAATATGAAAATTTGTAACAGCAATAGAGGAACAGATTAAAAATGATGTCCATTGTAATATAGTTCTAAAAGAACAGTAAAATTTTTTATACGTATTATTTCTATCTTTGATATATTGATTGAAAAAACTTGATTTCCAATTCAATTGAATAACTCAGTTTCAGACTTCAGATTCAACAGAATCAACAGTCTCATCCATTTTCATGAAAATCTAAGCTATTATCAAGTTGTATTTTATAATTTTCTTAACCATTTATGAACTTCGATTATCATAGATCAATTTATGAAGTATATAAAAGAATTATTAAACAAAAAGATAAAAGAAGAATAGATCAGTTAAAAAATAACTTACTTATTATAACCATTTAAGGATGAAGTTTGATTATGAAAATGATGAATTTCTTCTACATGATCACTGAGCAATGATTCTAGTTGTAAAATTATATTAAGTTGTTTTATTTCAGGTAGCTTTGATTCATTTTTTCGATACAACCAAGAAACATCTACGATATTCGTAAGAAAATTTGGAAACCATTTGTCATATTTGAATACCAAAAGCTAGAAATGTTATATAAACATTGAGAAAATCTTTTCCTTTTTTTAAATAATTCTTTTAATACCTTAGAGTTTTCATTGGTGTCTTCAATATCAATAAATTCAGTTCTTTTTACAGGAGTACATACAAAATCACTCAATCCAGCATCTATCAATGCTTGATGTAAATCACTGCCCTATAAAAGTTTAAAAGAAAATTTATGTTGAAAAAAATTAGTAGAATTCTACTCTAATTAATTATTTTGCTTTTAATTAGAGTAGAATTACGTCAAGAATTACCTCAATTACAACATCTTCTTCTTCATCATATTCATTAAAAGTAAGTCCATTCATTATAGAACTTCAATAATATTAACAATTGAGGTTAAGAAATGTTGGTACTTTTTATGTTTAAATTTACACCTTATTTTTTAAATATATTTAATCATAATAAAAAAATCATTTACAAAACATATCATATAATATTTTTTTGTTTAGTCTTACGATATTTCTAAAGAATCATAACAAACATTTTTGAAAAGCATTGCAATACTCGAGATATTAAGTTAGATACATCGATTGTTAAGTACGATATAGAGACAAAGATATCGATATATCGAACGCTAAATATCTCGATTGTAGAATACGTGTTTGGATTCGAGCAAAATGGCTGCTTCCGGCAGTTTCATCCGCGTTGCGACGCGCACGTGTTTACTTTGTGTTGTGGAGTAAATCGTTTTTCTCAATCAAGAGTAAATTTATATCTTAAATCATGGGTAAACCAGGTAAAACTAATATATTTAATAAAAAATTGTCCTTTATTCATTTTTTCATATAAAATATCATGATATTTATTCAATTTAACACTAATCTTGCATACAATTGTAAACCACTATCCGGTTAACCTCAAAATTGATTTATCACGTCTCAAACGAAATAATGTATGTAAATAATATATAAAAATATATTTGCATATTTTATTTATTTTTATTTTAAAATCATATTTATTATTCTAAAAAGTATTTTTAAATTATTAATTCATCAATTCATGTTTATGGAGTCATGTGTCCAATGATTTATTGTATGATATATTTAGATATATTCTATAACAATAATGTTTAATTTCCAGGATTTTCGCCAAGAGGAGGAGGTGGTTTTAGAGGTGGAAGAGGAGGAGGTGATCGTGGCTCTGGAGGTGGTTTTAAGGGCGGACGTGGTGGTAGTGGCGGTGGTGGCAGAGGAGGATTCCGAGGTGGATCAGGTGGTCGAGGAGGTGGAACTCCAAGAGGAAGAGGAGGTAATTTTGTTAACGAAATTAAGATTTCTCTGAAATCATTCACGAATTAGTACAAAAGAACTAGTTGAGAAATAATACTAAATAATGCAGAATCCAATCTGTAGAGTCAATTAACAATTCAATCATCATTGATAATTGTATTTATTATAATAAAACATAACTCATTGATTTTTACCATCATAGGTCGTGGAGGAAGAGGAGGAGGAGGAGGAGGTAAAGGAGGTTTTAAAGGAGGAAAAACAGTTATTATCGAACCCCATCGACATGAAGGTGTATTTATCGCAAGAGGGAAAGAAGATGCCTTGGTTACATTAAATTTAGTACCTGGTTCAGAAGTATACGGTGAAAAAAGAATAAGTGTAGAGGTAAGTTGATAATTTAAAAAAAATTAAAGTTCAACATAATAACTTGAAATAAATAATTTTTCAATATTTATTTTAGGGCGAAAACAGTGAAAAAATTGAATACAGAGTGTGGAATCCATTCAGGTCTAAACTGGCTGCAGCCATTCTTGGAGGAGTTGACCAAATTCATATGCCTCCTGGAAGTAAAGTTTTATATTTAGGAGCTGCTTCAGGAACTACAGTTTCTCACGTTGCTGACATCGTTGGACCGGTAAAATAAACATTTATTTCTTTTTTTTAAATTGTGATTCACAATGCATACGTTAGAGCCAAGTTTGTGCATTTTTACTTACTTGGTGTCGAAGTGATGCAATAATAATATGTAAAAATTTTAATTTCGAGTGAAAATATTTTTCATTTGATTTTTAATTTTGACTACATATATGCTTATGAATAAACAAAAATATTAGTCAACAGTAATTTATATTAATAAATGTATTTTTTTTATTATTTTTTAATTAAAAATTCATTTTCTTATTGCAGGAAGGTTTGGTGTATGCGGTGGAATTTTCACACAGATCTGGTAGAGATTTAATCAATGTAGCTAAAAAAAGGACGAATATCATTCCAATCATTGAGGATGCTAGACATCCACATAAATATAGAATGTTAGTAGGAATGGTTGATACGATTTTTGCGGATGTAGCCCAACCCGATCAGGCTAGAATAGTTGCTCTCAACGCACAATATTTCCTCAAAAATGGTGGACATTTTGTGATTTCTATAAAAGTAATTGAAGTTTATTGTCATGTTTTATTTACGTATAAATTATCAATTATTCAAAAATAATAATTTTTATTCATTTTTTAGGCAAGTTGCATAGACTCGACAGCACAACCTGAAGCTGTATTTGCAGCAGAAGTGAAGAAACTTATTGCTGATAAGTTGAAACCTCAAGAGCAAATCACTCTTGAACCTTACGAAAGAGATCATGCAGTAGTTGTAGGAGTTTTTAGGCCTCCACCTAAAAATGCTGTTTAAATTTATTTCTAATATTTAAGTTCAAAGATAATTTTTTATTTTAAGTGATTTGAGAGAATGAAAAAAAAATTAAAGTAGTTAAGTTTCCTATTTGGAAACAGTATTTTTTCTAATTGAAAGAAGTTTTCAAGTCTTACATAAACTTATCACATATTTTCTACAAAATAAAGTTTGTATCATATTGTAAAAATTGATATTTTACATCTTTTGATGCTCTATAATATCAAGAATTGAAATTTTTCTATATCATACTATAGCAAATAATATGACTAGCAATTTTCATAATAAATAAAAAAATCATTTTAAAAAGTATCAGATATTTTATTGTTTGATTTTCATTTCGTTATGTACATAACCAATAAATTATTAAAATATTTTGACGGTAAATAGAGTAATATTGAAGTCTTTAGCATAATAATGATGTCATTTTATTCGTAAAATATTAAGGTTTAAAAAAATTTGTTTCCAAATAGATGATAAATTTTAACAATACATGTGTTTATCACAAACATTTTATTAGTTTAAATTTTAACAAATTGTTTCCGGTAGTAATAAAAATAAAAAATAAAATTAATTAAATGTTTCGATGGATCAAATTTTATTTCTTCAGAATAAATTAGTAAAATGGGAAACAGTATTAGAAAAATTTCCCCATAAAAATATATATGACATTGATGATGTTGACGGAAGACTAACTGGTGGTGCGGATAGTCGTGCTAATAATGGGCTCCATGAAGGAAATCCCAATACTGTCAATTCTGATCAACTTTGTATAACTATCATGGAATCAGGCGGAAATCCGGAATCAAATCGAAATAATCATCAACAAATACCAGAGTAAACTAAATTAATATTGATTTAGTGTACATTAAGAAAACCATTAACTTATATATTTTTGAATATTAGACATGAAGAAGTGGATGGAATTCTAAAAAATGCTATTCAAAATATTCAAGAAGCTTCAAACAGTTTAATGACTTTAACAGAAACTCATGAACATGAATTAAAGGTTTGATAGTAACGAGAAAAAAGTAAATGATAGATTTATAAAATTCAAATTTTTCAATCTAGTTCATGATATTCTTTTTATCCTTTAATCGAATAATCTTTTCTATTTTATAATTGAAGACATTATTTGCAACAATTCTTGCAAAGCTTCAACGATTCATTAATGTTATTCAAGAACGACTTAGAATCACGAAAAATGTATTGAATAGTCTACAACTTAAACTTGCTGTAAAGTTTATGGAATTACAAACAAAGAATTATGAATTAATTCAGATAAGAAATGAATTAGCTCAATGTCGAGAAGAGGCATTAAAATTCACAATCGTAAATAATTTGCATTATTGACAGACATTTTTACAGTTACTAAAATATATTTAATCAAAATTATTCATCAGCTGAAACTCAAAATTAGAACTGGATTTAATTTTACATTTTTTCATTATACAGAATGAACCACAGTTACCTACTCAAATATCAACAGCATCAACTCGAACACTACAAACAATCAATGGACCAATAGCACATGCTTCCAAGGAAACAATTGTGCAAACAAGTTCACCTCAAAAGATGACGATATTTACAGTATCTTCATCTTATCAAAGGAAAGGAAATGAATCCTCACCTGAACAAACAGCAACATCACATTCAGTGATAGTTACAGTAGAACCTCCAACTGAAATGCCTACTAATCAAAATAATGACTTTCCTCAACAAGTGTCTATACAGTCTATCACTAATCCATCAACAACATCTAATATCAATGCTATAAAACATTCAGCACATAATCTCAGTCCTCAATTGCTTCCAGAAACTAATTCTGCATCTCCTTTACAAAACGTTGTTAGTCAATCGGCTAATAGTCAATCAGAAATTCCTGAAACATTATCTGCGACAGAAAATGTACATGTAAGAATACCTGTAACTTCATCAACTAGTCAAAGTCGTCAAGGTATAGATTTTTTAGTAATACTGTTTCAACAATAATAATTTTAAAAAGTCAATTAAAAAAAAGTTTTTTTGATAATTTCTGAAGGCATAATCCCTGAAATTCGTTCTGCAAACCACCAAACGAATAGTGCTCGAACAATTGTGAATCAAGAACGTCCTTCAACTTCAAACAACCTTGTAACAACAATTCAAGATACTAATACTGTAGTTCAATCTCAACGATCTCCAGTTGTTATAGAAAAACCATCATCATATCGACCAAGTGGTTCATGTATGGAGAGTTTGAAGCCAACTATTCCTGAAGCTAAACTTGCATCCTCTTCAGGTGTAAAACAACCATCTCAACAAAAAGAAATAAAAAAAGATGAGAGAGAAGCTCAAGTATTTTTATCAAATCATATACAAAAATTGGATTTTAAACAAGTTTACTAGCTACTTTTTTAATATAGTTATTGGCAAAAATAGAAGAGATGTGTCGAGAGAATGAACAATTAAAAAAAGATAAGTTGGAATATGAACAAGCAGTTCAGAAAGCTTTATATAAAGGATTATCTTCACTCAATTCTGAAGCAATAAAGATTTTACCCAATTTACCACTGATCTGCTATCAACCTTGTTATATGCCATGCCCTTATTTACCATCCTCTGCTAGTAGCATGTAAATTCATGAGTTATAACATAATTTAAAAAATTTTAAATAAAACTGTGAATATTCTCAGGTTCTCAGAAATGATGGATGGCAATAAATATGTTCAAGCAAAAAGTAATATATCATCCAAAGGAAAAACTCAATTAAGAAAACAAAAAAAATATTTTGAATCTTATAGACCTACTCAAATGTGTTCTCAAAGTAATATGATTTTTATTTTGCCAAAAAAAACTTTAGATAACGCATACATAACTGTACCGCAATTTCATATTAATGAAAACAATGTTAAGACTAGAAAAACCGTATGTTATGGTGGAAGTTGTAACAAAGAAGCTTTTAAAGTTCATAAACATTTTGATGCTATTATTGGTAATGAACTTTGCAAAGGTATGAATAATCTTATTTATCATACGTACTCTGATATTGCTTTAAGTTTGTACAAAAATTATTGTGAATACGTTTTAATGGTAGGAAATTTTCAAGAATACACAGAAGCTATTGGCTGCTCCAATATCGTAAATTCTTCTAGAATGAATAAACCCCAGAAATTGAGACACTGTACTGGATTTGCTAAATCAAAACGATTTATTAACAATTGAAAGGTAAAAATAAAGGTCAAATAATTAATAAAAAGTCTTGTAAAATATCATTCAGCTTTATACGATATAATAAAATATGATACATATTAAAATTTTTAAACATTAAAATAATTTTAGAGCTTTTTATGTCTTTCAATTGGTATATATAATCGTAATAAAATTACGATTCATTAACAAACTGGTGCAGAATCACCATATCATACATATTTATTTATTTCATTTATCAATCATTTCTGAAAAAAATTTTTTTTCAAAATCTGAAAAAAAACAATGACAATTTGAAAATAATACAATAAATATCAACATTAGCTGGCAAAAATCTTTTGTATAATTGTTCACTTTGGAACTTGATTGTTTGGAAATTTAATGATCGTTTTGGGAGAAAAATATTTTTCTTAAAATTATATATTAATTAAGTAAACATTTTTCCTTCCCAGATATGCGTCAATTTTTTGTTCTCTTACAGTTTTCAAAAAATATATGATTTATGTAATTTCTTAAGTGTTTTGAGATTTAAAACATCCCATTATATAATTTTCTGAATGACATACTAGAAATAATATTGAAAAATTATTTTTATGAGTAATTTGAATCTTATAAGATAAAATAATAATTTTTCGATGAATAATTTGTCTATAAACTTTCATAGAAAATTTTGTTGCAATTTGGCATTATTTAAACAAAGTATTGAGTATTGAAATAAATTATTCTTTTCATTCCGTAAAATTCAGCCATAATAAAAAATAATTTTTAAAATGACAATAAAATAGATACACGACATGATATAAATTTGTTATAGAAGAAGTAGAACTTTAAATATCTATATAAGTATATATATATATCCATTTTCTATGATCTATTCCATTACATTACAAGTCTTTCAAATACTTTCGTATAGCTTATCTAGGTTTATATATGTCAATTCTATTTAATCCTGTAGCAATTTACATAATAATTAACTTCATTTACATGTATCAACTGAAGAAGATTGTTGATCCCAAAGGCACGGGTAGAGTATATATGAATGGCTGAATCATTATATACTCTATATCTCTGTTACCCGTTTATAAATAGAATATTTATAATAGTATATCATGTAAACTATCACATTTTAAACTAATCGGTCAAACTATTGGATCCATATAAAACAAATATATTCTCTGTATAAGTACAACAAATCGGCAGTTAAAAATGACTAAAAATTCTATTAAAACTTTACATTATCTTCGAAGGATTCTTGGCTGTAGAATCATACAAAGAGATGTAAATCTTGAGATAATTACAAATTAGTACTTGAGTTTTTAATAGTCCATTTTAAGATAAACGCAAATTTCATGAATTTTTATTCTTCATTTCATTATTTAGAATGAAATGATAACACCACACTGAATTATCAATACTAAATTTGGCCATTTTCCTTGAGATATTCACAATCTTTTTAGAGAGAAACTTGAGCATTAAAATCACTGAAAAAATTACTTAAAAAAAATAATTATTATATAATAATAATAATTTTATTGTCGACATGTCACACCTTTAGCAGTTTCATTTTACGACCAAATTTCTCTCCAACTGTATTTGTAATTTATTATTTCATATAGTCTTCAGAGTCATGATTAGCTTATTGATTTTGTGTTCTGAATATTTAAAAATCTTTCAATCTTTTCAACAATAAAATTCATTGCTGAATAGAAAATTTTTCTTTGTTAATAAATTTTCATATTTTTATTTCGAATGGACTAAATTCAGAAATTCTTCTCTTGTTTTTGGATCATCTCTAAAAACACCAAGCATAGTTGAAGTTACTGTTTTGCTGTTAATTTTTTGTACTCCTCTCATGACCATACACATATGCCTAGAATTGAATATAAATTATAATTAATGAATTTAAATATTTAATTATTAAAATCATAGAATTCCACAGCAGAAAATGATTATTATTTCTATTATTGATGAATATTGCATTTATATCAGCTTATTTATTATTATTTAATTAATTATAGTTTTTTATTATATGTTTATAAGTTATTTAAAAATTGAATTTATGAATATAACTATATATTCTATATTCTTAATTTTTGATTAGTTAAAACCTTGAGATTATTATAACTTGAAACAAATTGTGCTTCAAAAGTATTGCGATTATTATAATAATATATAATAGATAAAAATATAAAATAATAATCATTTTGTATTTATGTGAAGTAACTAACACATTGCAAATCCAAGTGTTTCAGAAGATTATATATATGTATTGTACAGTTAATCAAATTGCCATTCAATAGCCCATTTTAATAAGATTAGTGAGAGGTACGATATGTTCATTGAAATCAATCGTAGAATATTGAAGTCGTGTTTTGAAGGACAAAAAGTGTTACGTGAATGATAATAATTATTGCGTCTAAACAAGGTTTAATCTGGCGAATATTAAATCCATGGTATAGTAATAGCTTCTCATTACAAGGTCTTCTAGATTTTATAAAGTGTAATAAGTTATAAATGTATGTAATTCTTTGACAACTTAATAAAAAAAAAAATATGATGAAAATGATAAGTATGCGATGACAATAATTATTGAGGATGTAATACTTACACTCCTTCAACAACGACTGCTACTCCAGCTGGCTCGACAGCTTTCGTAACAGCAATAGCAATTTGTTTTGTTAGACGTTCTTGAACTTGAAGACGACGACTGAAAATCTCAACAATTCTGAAAAAATGAAACAATCTTATAGTGATTCAGTTAAAAAGCCATATTTTTTGTGAAAATAATTTTTACTTTTTTTGTTGCTTAAAGGTAATGGGTAATAAAGCATGCAAGTAACACAGGGGCACAAATCAACTGAAACGTGAAAGTCTACATTGACATCCATAAATTAATAGTTTTCATCTATTGGAATGCATGATAAATCAAAAGATATAACAATTAGCAAGAGTAAATGAATATGATCATGATATTTAAATTAATTTCTTAATTTAGTTAGACAGAGCTATACCTTCATCAATAAAAGAAAGATTGTTAATGAAAACTTTACCTTGCTAGTTTACTTAATCCCAATATTTTTTTACATGGAAGATATCCAATTGAAACTTTGCCATAGAATGGTACCAGATGATGTTCGCACATCGAAAACATCTCAATGTCCTTAACTACGACCATCTCATCATGATCCTCATCAAAAACAGCATCATTGATTACATCTAGAATGGATATTAAGCTTTTTAAATTTTAATAGTTTAAAAAAATACTTGAATATTTTATTTTATAATTAATAATATTATTTTTCGAATTGAAATCTATCATAGAACTTAAATTTGATTTATGATCAATTTTTTTTATACATAAAATTATTTGCAAGAAAGTGATTGTAGAATATATTTTTTACAAATGATATTTCATAGAATTGATTTTTATCTCTTTCAAAATGAATAAGTAAATATTCATTATTTCTCAGTGACTTTTTGATGATTTTTACCGATTCATTTGGAAAAAGATTATAGAAATAATTTCGATATTGTTCAATTCAATTACATTGTTCGAATATATTTAATTACAATATTATGATATAAAAATGTCGTGCATAAATTTTTTGATCACGTTGTTGAAAATTTTATAATTTTTACAAAGTACTAAACAAAAAATGGATATAATAAATATAAAAAGAATATGACAAAAACAAGCGTGCGTTCTCCGGTAATTTGCTCGATATTGACCCACTTTAGGTAAGCACTATACGGTTGCTATACACTTCTAAGTGCTTGACAGAGTGAATGGTTCTGGATAATGGTGAGTGGGTGGTGCGGGGGTGATTCTCCCATGGTTACCAGGGTAACCTTAACAAGTAACACTCTTCTAAAGTATAGAGACAATGAATTACTGCTTTTTCACTTCTTCCCTTTCTGAATTATTTTATATATAATATCAATTAATTAGATGATCATAAAAAATGAACAACTGATTGATTATAAAACTTGTAAAAGTATATGATTATTTTATTTAAAGTTGATATCCTTTTTCAAGATTGTAATTCTCTAAGTACAGATTTTATATTCACTAAGTAAAATAGTTATAGTTAAATGAATAGTGAAGTATGGGAGAAACAGTTATTAAAATATAAGAAAGGATAAATTTTTCCACATGGATTTACACAAATTCCTAATAAAATCTGTATTTTGGCATTGATTTTATTCGAGTCAATTAATAATTGAATACAACAAGTATTTGTTAAGCTAAAAAAAAATCAAATCAGTTTAATCTTAATAAAATCAGTGTTTTCATTATAAGTGAAAGATCTTAAAGTCAAAGAATAGAAGGACGTGACTAGAAGTATAAATCTCTCAGCTACAGTAAAATTGCATCATACGATGTAAATATGACATAATTTTTCTCTTTACTGAGTGAATGGAAAATGAATAAGTAAGTTGAAATTGCAAAAAAAGTATCACAAAGAGAATAAGAAAACGGAGGCGTATAATAGAGTGCTTTCATTCTAATGTTCTTAAAATAGTCAAGATCATGCTATACTTTGGCCTTGTGGATGATAAAAGGAAAAAATGATATAAATTTCTGAAGGCAATGTTATTTTCATTAATTATGTTTTTCACATAAATAATATCATTTTTTTTCGAATAAAAATATCTAAATATACAAAAGTAAAGGAATAGTACATTTCAATATTCCTCATCCAATATATATTCATTTATATTTATTATCCTCCTATTCTCAGAGGAATAAAAAAGTCATAAATTTTTTTACATCCCTCCAACAAATCTCGTTAAATCTGTTAAGATACTTTAAGAGATCTCTAACTAAATCGATTTCTCATTTTCACAATGGTTTCATAGCGTATTTCAAATGGATTTAATACATTATTAATATCTTTAGACTATTATATTATTCCCATGAATAATTGAATAATAAAAAAATCACTTACCATCCAGACTTTGATCATAGCCTTTGGTGAAGAATAACATTGCTTTAGCTGCTCTTTCAGGTGTTTTAAGTAACCCTTGACGATCTGGATCTTCACCTAGAGATCGTAAAAGACGCCTGTAACTCTTTGACATTTCTGGTAACAGAGCTTCTTTCGTTGGTGGACGATGATCTAATTCTAGGTCATGGTGGAACATGCATTTTTCATGTCCTATTGATAAAAAAAATAATATAATTTGTAATACATTATAACAGATTGAATATCTTATAAATTAATCTATTTACATACTTTTATAATAATAAATCAAGTGTAACGTAAATAAGAAAAAAAAATTTTTTTATTTGATGAAATTGGATGAAATTCTAAATCCAATCAAAGTTTCAATTTTTCTCTCAATGACCTGTTGCTTTTTTCATTGAAGCTATTGAAATCTTTTTGTAAGTTTTTCTTCGTTATATAAAACATTTAATACAATAATTATGTAACATTTGATAAAATAACTTCTTGCTTATAATGATATTAAAAAAAAAAGTAATTAATTATTTCATAAAGTTCTAAAGAAAGAACTATTACTCCAATAATTTTTTCAATTCATTTTTTAGTTAAATGTAAACATTAGCTTGAAAAGAAACCTTATTACTCAATTTGAGTAACTGATCAAATATCAATGTAATGGGATAATAAAAAAAAATTTCTTGAGGTGAGAACAATTTTTATGCTCCATAAGAAATATCACACATATGTGTACTTCATTACGAAATTAGTAATGCAGGAAAAAGATACGTGTTAACGAACAGTTTCTCGCTATCAAATGTCATGACCTGTCGTCAATAAAATATAAATAATGATAAATTGAAAGTGAATTTATTAGATCTCAAACTGTTTTATTACGTCTCATCAGTGTCTTGATATATTAACTATGTTATTTATTATTTTGTGAAATTTATTTAAAATTCTGTAGCATCTCTATCATGGTTATCAACACTTAAAATACCAATTAATGTTTGAAACAAAATAGAATTGACTGTTGGCCAAAAAATTTGCTATCTTTATAAAATAATTATTTTGCTATATTTTTTAATTACAAAAAATACATTTATTAATGTTATCTTAGTATTTATTTCATAATAGCAAAATAACTCTTGATTTTATATTGGAAGATTGTAGAAATGATTATGATAATAACAAGAATAACACAGCGTATGTAAAACAACATTCTCTTGCTCTTTTTCCAAAAAATTGTTACTAGCCGAAATAATAGCTTTTACCAGTTATTCAAAAAATATACAGTTATAATATACTCTTTGTCAGATTCTAACTGTAATTCTTTCTTGTTCTCACGATTCATATCATTTTTAAATTGGGCATTCGTTATAGTTGATACCAAATGTAGATCATTTGAAGCAAGATATACCTTGAAAAATAATTACTGTTTGTTCATTTATTTCGTTATTTTTATATGTAAACATTTTTAATAATTTTGTTGAATAAAAATAATAATACTTGTAACTTTATTACCTGGTGTTGTTGAAGTCCTTGGAGTCCTTGGAGTTCCTGGAACATCTAAATCGGTTTCATCAACACTCTCGCTCCATGTAACCGTCCTCAATGATGGTGGTTTTTTCAAAGAATCTTCTTTAATTATTGTTGCAGTGCCGTTCATGTTACTAGATATTTATTGTGCAATTGTTTATTCGTCAAGTGGTTGACTTGTAGTTTATTCAAAAACAATTAAATAAATTTTTAACTTATATCTTGAGCTTTTTGATAATTTTGTCACTTGAAGACTGGTGTTTTAAATCATTCAAATATTTGAATTAATTTTTCTATTTGGTTTTAATATATTTACACCAATACGAAGTAGTAAAAGATGTGACAAAGTAGAATTGATGATAAAAATGGCCAAAATGTTGAATTACTCACATTTGATAAATAATATATTCATAGAATATTATTTGGATAAAACTAAACGAATAAGAAATAATAAATAATAAAAATCAATCCTGTTTGGTTTGAATAGATATTGTAAAATCACAACTCTAATTATTGATAACAATGATGTTGTAGATAAGAAAAAGGTGTGCGTAGTCGCTTTGATGAACAACGCCGTGCGACTGAATCAAGTTAAAGATCCCAACTTATGAAACGCAAGTTACTACATGAATCCCGCTCTCTGCTCCTGCTGGGAAAGCTGTGCGACTGTCACTGACTTACTACATATATACATATATACACATATAAAGGACGGGCGCGGTAGAACTACTCAACTGCCATTGCTTTATTGTGGATGTTTGATGCTGAAGCACTGCCATGGATGTCGATCTGAAGTGTTTATATTGATTCTCAATTAAGAAACGTGTCGTATTAACTAAGTGGATATTTTTTTTCTTGTAGAGAGTAGATGAAAAATTACAATCAGAAAATGTCTCTGCATAATACATGTTCTTTTTCCTCGAACTAGTAACGCTGAATATTAAAGCTTTAGTCATTCGATTAAATTGAAAAGAAAAAAGTGATTTCAAATTATGGTGAAATAGAAATATATGGAAATTAGCATATAATTAAGTAGATAAAATAATTATTTGCTTTTAACTATGTACAGAAGTCATGAAGATGGACTTGAAAATTTTATCATTTATTCGTATTTCAAGGTTACAATATGACCATTGATTATCTTCTAATTGATTACACTTTTTTGGAATAATCATTTACGAAAACATTATCCATTCTCCTTTCATTGAAGTATTAAGTGATGGAAGTTGATAATGACATGATGCCATTGAAAAAGTTTTGTGATTCAGTCCTGATGTTTTTTTGTTCAAACGAACGAATTTAAAATATTGGGATTTCCACTGAGATAAGCAAAATTTTGTTTGACCACAAAGTCTTATTCACACCTTATTTGTTTTTTATAAAACCAATATAAAATATTGGAAATTTCCCGGATATATTTAATAATTATCCGTCTATATATCGAATAAAAAATATAACTATTAAAAAATTAGAATTTAATGAATCATTGATAATAGTAACAATCACGGTCATTTTAAATAATTGAATATTATTATTACATGCTGATGAAATTTTTTCATGCAACTGTGGGGTTGCATTTATTTATACTTTATTTTTATGGAGTGTCATTTATAAACAGTTTATTTTGACATTTTTAGGCAATAATAATTTTTAATTATGGAATTAAAGACGACATAAAAATAACTTCCCACTGGGAAGTTAAAAAGACGAAGAGTCAATCTTTTTAGTTAATATTTTTTATATTTTGAAAAAAGTCTATAAATAATATTTATATTTATATAATTTATATACATGTTTGTAATGTGATAATTAATATGATAATTTAAATAATCATTGAATTGTCAATAATTTTCATAAATTTATCTAATGAAGATTTATTATCAATTTTGTGATAAAAATCATTAATAACTGAAGCAATAAAATATTATAATATATTGGTAAAAAGCAAATTAACTATTTCGTTGATACTATTAATAGCATATTCTCGGTTCGTTAAGTTTTAACAAAAATGATTAGCATGATGATGAACAAAGAGCCAGACAATGGGAAACTAAAGGGAGTATGAGCAAAAGTATTTCTTCATACCAGGATATGCCAAAAATGTAGATAACATTTTTTAGACTTACTTTGCTTAAATTTAAACTGAAAATTTTTCTTTATTATTAATATCATCTTAACATAAAATAATACTATGGTGTAATACTATTAAGATAATAAATTATGGTTTTATATTCAACAATAAAATTTGTTATTTTCAATAGTTAATTACCTAGCTCTAGGAATATAAACGTCATTTTCAAGTTGAAAGTAGATCATGTGATGGTGTATTTTTATTAATCCTTGAGATTTATTGAGGTTACTAGCTGCAAATCGCAAGAATGTGTTTTTATATTTATTTCATTATTCGACCTTTTTTGAAATTATTTCTGTGAAATACTTCTTTTATTTTATGTCAAGTTTTTGTAACATTTTTTCAATTATCCTTCATAATATTTATATTATTCGATTTTATTAAAAGGCTGCTTTTTTCAAAAAAGGAAACAATAGTTGAACATTAATTTACTTTTATCATGGTTTTTGAAAATGATTAATCATGTTATTATTCAGCGAAATTAATTTAATTGATGATGGATAGATGAAAATGTTATTCGAACTTGATAAGGCATCCAGTGATTGTTCATAAATTTTTCATTTAAGAATCACAATCATGGTAGACAAATTTTTATCTTGACCATAGACTTATTCAAATCTATCATTAATATTACCTTAGATGATGAGCATTTATGAAGTTTTAGTTAAATTGGAATAAAATAAAAATTGTTATTAAAAATACGACATTGATGACATTCCCTCGAGTAATTTCTGAAAAAAGAGATTTTCTGTTAAATATATGAGTTTAGTTTTAGTATTAATGGTAAATATATATTAAAAAACACCAGGTGTTGAATGACATTGCTGACGCAATAGATCAATTAAAATTGAAAGGTTCGATGCAGTTGAATGATAAACACGGATGTATATTTTTTTAAATACTGAAAAGTCGATCAAAAAAGACAATGATCATACTGAAATTTGTTCAACGGATCCAACTTGTTGAGTTTCAATAAAAACTTTGGAGTACCAGTCTATTGTAGAAGACTTCCAATGAATTTTTGATGAAATGAAAATAAACATTAATTATACCGCATATTTGAAGACCTTTATCTGATTTTTGTTATTAAGAAGCATATGAATGTATCATTTAATTAATCATTTTATATCATATCTATCGTAAAATCTAGCAAAAACAATTTTTAGGGAATAATAAACTATGTTGACAAGCAAAGCAAATTGATGCTTAATGAATCATTTACAAATGATAAGCGGTAATTAATTAGAGAACTACTTAATTACCGTCATGATATAGTAAATTAATGAGCTAAATTGTTTTTTCTATTGAAACTAACGTCGTCTCTTTAAGGATCATTCAGTACGATACTGTTGATCCTTTCAAATCTTTAGAGATTTTATTTTAGCACTGTTTCAGCTTGGAGTACTCTCCAGGTCTATGTCTAATTGCTCCGAACAAGTCAAAGTTTGCCTGGTTTTGCTCCATTTGTATCAAACCAGATGGATCAAACTCTACAAGAAAATATCCATCAACAGAAATGTTGTTGGAAATGGATAACCCAATTTTTTTTTTATAGATTTGATTTTTCAGTCAATAAAATTTTTAAAGATTTTTACTATTGCTAAAATGATATAATCAATAAAAGATTGAAAGACATTGCACGCAGTATAGTAGAGATTCGCTGAAAAAGGATTTTTGAAATTCCGATTATTTGAAATGATTAAAAACATCCTTCCGTGCAATATGGAAATGAATTTTAATATTTGACATAATTGTTTATTTAATTTTATAGAAAATTAATCTTACTATCACTATTTATGATTATTAAAAATGAACTAGACATCTTTGAAAATTATAAATTAATAACTTGCGAATGAACTTAGAAAAGATATATATATATATTATATCATGGATACTGGACGGATCAAAGTTCTCTTATCACATCTATGAGTTTGCGCTATTATGGTTGATGCAAAAGTTAGGTTACGTCTGAGTGTCGCAGTACTTATTAAACAGGTGTGGATTAGTCTACGCAGCAACAGCATTCAATCTCTTAATAATATATTGAAGTAACAAAATTTATTATAAACACAAGACCTAAAAGTATCTCGAGTTGTATATGTTTAGTTTCTTATACTGCTAACAATTTAAATAATCACTCAAATAAACAAAACTAATTTAAAGTTCTAGAGGAATTGATAAGCAAATACATATTCTTTTCTAACAAAGACGACGTAGAACTTTTATATTGTAACGTAAGTACTACTAGAATTAATTAGATGATAAAATTATTCACAAATTTTTCCATAATAACAAGTAATATTAATCGAATGAAATTCAGAAAAAAAACTTACCATTAAGCTGTCAATAATGTAATGTGAATATATGAAATTATGAGTTGAACGTGTTTGTCGTTTCAGAATGACTGAAGAACGTCTGGATTTGATAATATTTGGAGCAACAGGTTTTACAGGAAAATATACTGTTCAAGAAGCTGTTAAATTAGGTAAAACAAATCAATTCACATGGGGAGTCGCTGGAAGAAATAAAGAACGCTTGCAAGAAGTGATCAAAAATTATGCTTCTGATGCCGGTAATAATTAAATAAATAAATACATAAATTTGACTTTAACATACAGATGTGTGAGAAAAGATTAATAATTGAAATTGTGTAATTGGAGTACTCAATACTTTTCAGAAGGAACCATACCAATAATTGTTGCGGATGTAAAAGATAATGATTCGTTGAAAAAAATGGCTCAGAAATGTAAAATTGTTGTCAATTGTTGTGGACCATACAGATTTTTTGGTGAACCAGTAGTAAAAGCTTGTATTGAAACTAAAACCCATTATGTGGATGTAAGCGGTGAACCTCAAGTTAGTAACATTTATAATATAAAAAAAATAATTCTCGCTAATATTTATGTATGCTAAATTTATTAGTAATTATAATATGATAAAATAAATGAACTTATACAGTTTATAGAAACAATGCAGCTTAAATATAACAAAGCAGCTCAAGAAGCAGGAGTATACATAATAAGTGCTTGCGGCTTTGATAGTATTCCATGTGATCTAGGAGTAATTTTTGTCCAAAAAAATTTCAATGGTGATGTGAACAGCGTTGAAACATATTTGTCTTCTTGGGTTGATGGTAGATCCGAAGGTGCAGCCGTTCATTACGGAACTTGGGAGTCAGCAGTTTATGGTGTAGCACATTCTTCTGAATTACGAGATTTACGAGCTAAAATTTATCCTCAAAAGTTACCTCAATTTCAACCAAAGTTGTTGCCTAGGTATTGATGAAAAAATTATTATTTTTGGAGAGGTTAATGATATTTTTGAGCTGGAAATCATGTTGATCGGTTGTTTTTTTTTCAGAGGAATTATTCATTACAGTGAAGTATCAAATCAATGGTCTCTCCCATTTCTAGGTACTGATCGTTCTGTGGTATACAGATCTCAACGCTTCCTCTATGAAAAAAAACACATTCGACCAGCACAAATTCAAACTTATGTTTCATTCAGGTATTCATTCATTAAGGCTTTCTTAATTGTAATCAAATGATAATCGATTCCAAAAATTAATTTAAATATTATTTTCAGCTCTTTAATGTCTGTAATATCAATTACATGTGTAGGCATAATGTTTGCTTTAATGACAAAATGTAGATGTGGTCGGTACTTACTTCTTAAGGTAATTCTTTATCTAGAAAAATTAAATATTAATAATGTATTAAGAGTAATGTTATGTTAATTGAGAAAAAAATGTTAACAAAAAAATCATGTATTATAGTATCCACGATTTTTTTCTGGCGGTTTTGCAAGTCATGAAGGACCAAAACCGGAAGTAATGTCTAGAACCCACTTTTCAATAACTTTGAAAGCTAGTGGATGGAAAGAAAAACTTGCTGATCCTACTGACAAACATGTTAATTCACCTGATAAAGAAATGATTGCTCGAGTATCTGGAATTAATCCTGGATACGGAGCAACTTGCGCTATGTTGATGATATCTGCACTTATAGTTCTTCGAGAATCTGATAAAATGCCAGACAAGTATAATGAATAATTAAATATTTTTAACAATGCATTCTTCTTTTGAAAGATAATGTTTAAAATAATTTTTATTATTACAGTGGTGGTGTTTTACCCCCAGGAGCAGCATTCGAAAATACTTCTATGATACAGAATTTGCAACAGAATGGTGTTAGCTTCGAAATATTGAAAACAACTGAAAAGTGAAAGTTTAGCTATTAAAAGCAACTGTATTATTCATTAGCCATACTACAAAATATTGAAGGTGAAATATTGAAGATGAAATCTTTTAATTTATTAAGTAACCTACATACACAATTTTTTTTTTGACTCTAACCATAACACTTAAGTAAACGAATATCGTGACTATGTAGGAAGCCTTTTAGGCAATATTCTTCGCTCTCGATGCTACCAGTTGACTACTACTCGTCGTTTGGCGCCTCTGGGTTGAGTGGTGTCCGGGATGCCGGCTGCTTGTCTCGTGGCTGCAATTCCCCCTTCCATCGCTCGGTTCTCCCGCCTATTCCTACGATCAGCTATCCTGATGTTGATGGGCTGAAACTCGTAATCGAGTATGAGTTTCCGTGGATAAGGTGGAGATGAGCCCAAGACACATCGTTGGTCGATGCTCTTATCTGTTGGTCGAGCCCAACAAGTCAAAATGTTTTTAATAATTATGTACTATATATACTGGCAGATTTTTTATTGTTTTGTTATTTTTTAAATAATCATTTGTATTTGTTTTAGCTTAATAAAAACGATATAAACATCAAAAAATTTCTTCTTATTTGTTGATAAATTTTTAGAACAAAATTGAATAAGATTCCTAGCAAAAATTTACCATAAAAAAATAAAATGCTTTAATTACTTATGAAGAAAAGGTCAGAACTGCTTCGGGTATTTCTTTTCTGTTTTCAATCCCAGTAATAAGTGCATGAGGGCTGATTTAGTAACAGTCGTAATTTTTGGAGTTTTGCCATGACTCCAAATTAAATCAAATACTCAATAAGCATCTATTAATTAAGTATTATAAAGTAAAATGAATCATTACAAGGAAAGTATCAATTATTTCTCTTTAAACTACAATGTCATACTAACTTTTATTGTAACATAATCTAAACATTTTAAATATATCTTTTCCAATGATATTGATCACTATTGAACAATCAATATATTTTAAAATTCGAACCAAAAAGTAAAAAAATCTCTATATTTTTTTGAAACAAACTTTTGGAACATAGGAAAGAATAAAAAACAAATTGTTAAAAGTACATAAGTACTCAATTAGTATCTAATTATTATTATAAATATATATGCATAAGCAATTTTTTACATCGAATAGAATATATTTAATGAGATAATTCATTCAATACCCTTGAAAGAACAATCAATGGGTTTTAATTTACTGAAATTCATTTTTATTATTTCAAAACAATTATAAAACATGAAAGTTGATGAAATGTGAATATAAAAATTAACTAGCATCTTTATAATAAAATATCTCAAATATATAGCATATACTAAATTATTTTAGATGACTTTATTCTGCAATTCGCCAAAAAGAATTTATGTAAGTTATCATGTGAATTATGAAACATTACATTAGTATTATAAACAATTTTTAGCTACTGAATAGAATAGCCTATCTTAATAGCTAAACTTTCACTTTTCAGTTGTTTTCAATATTTCGAAGCTAACACCATTCTGTTGCAAATTCTGTATCATAGAAGTATTTTCGAATGCTGCTCCTGGGGGTAAAACACCACCACTGTAATAATAAAAATTATTTTAAACATTATCTTTCAAAAGAAGAATGCATTGTTAAAAATATTTAATTATTCATTATACTTGTCTGGCATTTTATCAGATTCTCGAAGAATCATAAGTGCAGATATCATTAACATAGTGCAAGTTGCTCCATAGGCAGGATTAGTTCCCGAAACCCGAGCAATAATTTCCTTATTAGGAGAATTACTATGCATAGAATGAGCGTTTAATAGTTTTTCTTTCCATCCAGTAGCTTTTAAAGTTATTGAAAAATGAGTTTTAGGTAATATTTCTGGATCTGGTCCTTCATGGCTTGCAAGTCCTCCTGAGAAGAATCGTGGATGCTGAAAATTTCCTTTTTTATGATTTTTTCCATTTATTCTCTAGCCTTGATAATAATTACATAACTTTCAATTTTAAGGTACAACCTTTTATCTCCGTTAATGACAATCTACAAGTTAATCACATCAATATCTTTCTAATAATTGCCTTCGTGGTCATTACAATAATGTGATTTTTTAAATGTAAATTCGATATAAAAAAACTTAAATGAATATACTCAATTTCAAAATTTATTTAATCGAATTTTTTGCAGTGTTTTTAATCAATAAAAAAAGGCATTTTTTTAAAACTCATTACTTACTAGTATAATTGCTATTATAAGGATTTAATTACCAAAATTGGTATGAATTATTCACAGAGCACTGAAATATGAGGGATTGCACCTTCATTATGAGCTGTTAGAATAGGTGATAGTTTATACTTATACTAAATAACAACTTACCTTAAGAAGTAAATTATACCCACATCGGAATCTTGTCATTAAAGCAAATAGAATCATAGTGAATCCCATTGATATAGCCGTTAATAGAGATCTGAAATACAGAATGCTTTTTATCTCACGTAAATCATTGACAACTGAATGATAGATTCAATTTAATACTTGAATGAAACATAAGTTTGAATTTGTGCTGGTCGAATGTGTTTTTTTTCATAGAGAAAGCGTTGAGATCTGTAAGCTACAAAACCATCAACACCTAAAAATGGAAGAGACCATTTTTTTAATACTGAGTCTCGATGCATTATTCTGGAAGAATTTCAACAATTAATTATCCATAATTAAAATTGACTTATTATTTTTAATACAAAGAAAATTTATTTATACTTCAATCGTAATTTTGGTTGGAGTGAAGGTAGTTTTTCAGAATAAAGGGCGGCTCGTATTCTGTTAATTTCCCTATCCTCTGCTACTCCATGAACCACTGATTCATAAGTACCATAATGAAGAGATGGTCCTTTATATTCACCTTCTACCCAAGCATTCAAGTATGTTTCAACGCTGTTCACATCACCATTGAAATTTTTTTGGACAAAAATTACTCCTAGATCACAAGGAATACTATCTAAACCACAAGCACTTATTATGTATACTCCTGCTTCTTGAGCTGCTTTGTGGTATTTAAGTTGCATAGATTCTATGAACTACATAAGCTTGTAAATCAAATTATGTTCTAACAAGTAGGAAAAAGTCTATAATTTCAATCAAAATATATTTTTTTTTTCATAATGAGTGGATCACTTACTTGAGGTTCACCGCTGATATCCACATAGTGAGATTTACCTTCTATACAAGCTTTTACTACTGGCTCGCCGTACAATCTATAAGGTCCACAACAGTTGACAACAATTTTACATTTTTGAGCCATTCTTTTCAGTGAATCTTCATCTTGTATGTCCGCAATAATTGCTGGTATATTTCCTAGTGTAAGAAATTAGTCATTAAGTTCTCTACAAGTTCAGGTAAGACATCAAAATTTCTATGCCAACAGTCAATTTTAAGTTTTAAATCTATCATGGTTTTCATTTTTCAGTATCAAAACTTAATACCATTATTAGAATTCTAATTAATCAATTAATTCACATTAACATGTCTGTGTGCAAATGAAAATATCAATTATGGCAGAAATTATGACGTTTTCATGGTACGATTATATTTTCATTGAAATTACTTCAGTCATTTTTTGTTTTAATATCATTTTTCTTGAATCATGTAAATAGTTCTACAATTTATTTTGTAAAACTGAAAATTGAAATATTTCTTCAAAGGAATTTTTTGTCAAGAACGAACAAAAATGATTAATTATAATTATCACAGAGCTACTGGAGTAGACCTTGACAATCACCTAACTTAGTGTTTACTATTATTATTACTACTACTACTAATACTACTGCTACTATTATCATTATCCATGTATTTAAATCATATAAAGAGTTTCATCCTTTTCATGTCAACGCTACTACTGTATTTGCATGTCAAGCAATTTATAATATTCTTGACATAAAGGATACAACATGACCTAGATAATTGCTTGAAATCAATGATTTTTTCAAGTAATAAAAAAATACACATGATTACCTGAATCCGGTGCAAATTTTCTAACGATATCTTGTAAACGTTCATTATTTCTTCCAGCTACTCCCCATGTAAATGGATTCATTTTACAAAACTTAGCAGCTTCTTGAACAGTATACTTCCCTGTGAAACCAGTTGCTCCGAATATTATCAAATCGAGACGTTCTTCAGCCATTCTGAAAGAATTAAAATGCAATTATGATGTAACAACAATGAAGTAAGCATAGCTGTTATCCTTGACTTTTTCTGAAGAAAATATTACAATAATCGAATTTAATTGATCTCTCTAGTTTTTTTTGTTAACAAAAAAAATCATTTTCTATTAAAGCATTTAAAAGAATAATAGATTATTAAGTACTTACTTTGTAATAACAATAGAATTTCAGCAGCGTGTTTATAAGTTTCGTATTTTAATTACTTATTATTATTTAATAATATAATATCTCTAGAACTTTAAACCAACATCAAAAATTTTTTTTTATAAATATTAAGCTTTCGATGATTGATAGTAATTTCAAAAAATAGAGTTCAAATACAAGATTATTATTTTACAAGATTTTTCTCTTTCTTTTATATGTTACTTTATTTTAAACTTCAATTCTGGTATTGAGAAATTGAAGTTTAATTAATTTTGTTCTATACACTTGTCACCTCTTCCAATCAACATAAGTGCATTTCGAATGTTATTTCAACTTTTGATGTGTGCATCTTCTTTTTATGCAAAGTTTATCGCGCTAGTTCTCAGATGGCATATGCTGTAAATTCCACACGTAACCTTGTCTTTCAGGTTGATTCTATTCATCACATTGGAACGGTGTGTCGAAAAAACATACAATATTTAATTGATTTTATTTTGATTTAAATAATATGAAAATAAAAAATGATGACTGAAAGACCACAATACTGTCGTGCTATTAGTATATTTTCTAATTTAGAGCCAAAGAAAAAAACAAATTTAATTCCAATAAATGAACTACAAAAGAAAAGATTAGAAGTTGCTTCTGGAGAAATGTAATAAATTTTTAAACAATCATGTTGTTTTAAATATTTTATTTGAAATATTATTTTATTTTACAAGTATATTAATTATATTTATTTACAGAAAATCAAATTGGGTGACAATATGCCATCATTTTAGTCCAAGTATTCAATCCTTATTGTTAAATCTACATCAGCTGGTATCTGAACAGTACAGTACGTAATTATTATTTTTTTTTTAATTAGATAAGAACTCAGAGTATTTAAAACAATTTTATACATACTTCTATATTATATTTGTTTTTACAGATGAAATATGTTCACAATCATCTCTTGTTATTGACCAATTGTCACTACAAATTTTACAACGTCTTATTCATGAAAAAGCCATTATGACAAATAAAAATATTCAAATAATTAAAGAACTATTAGGTACACAAGATGATAAAGCTAATCGAAAAATAGCTGAATTAATCGAAAAAATCCAATCTATGTTAAAGCCAGAAGAGATAGAATTGATTAGTAACCTCAATTCTGAATCATCTGATATTCAAAATGAAGAGTTTGATATTTTTTCATCAGGCTACTCATTTAAACCAACTTCCACTTGGACTGATAAATTGACATTTCACAATATTATAGAATTAGAAAAGAATCAAGACTCTATTAACTTTTCGATGATTTATCAAAAAACTAAAAAAGAACCTAAACAAGAAGATTTTGATAAAAAAAAAATTTTGTCTGAATTACGAGAATGTTATAAAAAATATAGTGATCAAATGTTATTCGAAGATTTTTTAAATATCATAGAGAATAGTTTAAAAAATAATTCTGAAAACCTCCAAGCCGAATTATTCGATATTTTTGGCTGTAATCATATAAATTTTATTGAACATATATTAAAAAATCGTGAAAAAGTAGCTTCACTTATTACGTGCCAAAAACTATCAAAAACAATGAATCATAGAATTGAAGAACGACCATTATATGGATGTCAAGTAATAGTGCAATCAGAAAAAGAAAAACAGTTATTGAAACAAGTACGAAAAGAAGAGAAAAAGATTTTAAAAGTGACGAATAAATTAGACATTGATGATACTTCTGATGATGAAATTAATACAATGAATTTGCGTAATATAAGACATCAAGCAATATTGGCTTCACAAGCTCCAGTTTTGTCATGTCCCAAAAAAACATTTCTTCGTTTAAACACTTCAAGAGAACAATACCCTTTTGTTTTTGATTCACAAGCTAAAACAAAAACCACTCCAGGATTTGTATCAGGACAAAAATTGTTATTACCAGAAAATGTCATTAGAAAAGACTCTACTTTATGCGAAGAAGTTGAAATACCTGTATTGGCTATTGATAGTGATGAAATACAATATACTCCAATAAAAATATCATCTCTAGATGAAATAGGACAAATGGCATTCAATGGAGTTGAAGCTTTAAATAGGATACAAAGTATTGTCTTTAATATTGCATATAATAGCAATGAAAATTTATTAATTTGTGCACCAACAGGTGCTGGAAAAACAAATATTGCTCTACTAACAGTAGTTCACCAACTTAAATTACATATTGATAATGGAGTATTACAAAGAAATGACTTTAAAATAATTTATATTGCTCCAATGAAAGCTTTAGCTGCTGAAATGACTGCTAATTTCAGTAAAAAACTTTCAAGACTGGGTGTTTTAGTACGAGAGCTCACAGGAGATATGCAACTGACCAAAAGTGAACTTCAACAAACTCAAATGATAGTTACAACGCCAGAAAAATGGGATGTAGTAACACGAAAAGGTACTGGAGATATTGCACTTACAAGTATTGTAAAGCTTTTAATTATTGATGAAGTTCATTTACTTCATGGAGATCGTGGTCCTGTAGTTGAAGCTCTAGTAGCACGTACTCTTCGACAAGTAGAGTCATCACAAAGTATGATAAGAATTGTTGGATTATCAGCAACATTACCAAATTACGTAGATGTTGCAAGATTTTTACGTGTCAATCCTTACAAGGGTTTGTTTTATTTTGATCATCGCTTTCGTCCTGTACCACTTTCTCAAACATTTATTGGAGTTAAAGCCATCAAACCAATGCAACAAATAAATGATATGGATCTTGTCTGTTACAATAAAGTTGTTGACATGGTAAAAAAAGGTCATCAAGTTATGGTATTTGTTCATGCACGTAATGCAACTATTCGAACAGCAACTAAACTAAAAGAATTTGCACTTCAAAATGAAATGATAAAAATGTTTAAACCCGAAGGTGATTTCGTTAAGTTAACTCAAAAAGCTTTTACGAATTCACGAAACAAGTTTTTAGGAGAACTTTTTTCTCATGGATTTTCAATACATCATGCTGGAATGTTAAGATCAGATAGGAATATGGTAGAAAAAGCATTTTCTCAAGGAGCAATAAAGGTTTTGGTGTGCACGTCAACATTAGCTTGGGGAGTAAATTTACCAGCACATGCTGTCATTATTAGAGGAACAGAAATTTATGATTCTAAACACGGATCATTTATTGATCTAGGAATTTTAGATGTATTACAAATTTTTGGACGTGCTGGTAGACCACAATTTGATACTTCAGGTCAAGCAATTATTATAACATCACATAATAAATTATCACACTACTTGTCTCTTTTAACTAACCAGTTTCCAATTGAAAGTAACTTTATAACATACTTGGCTGATAATTTAAATGCTGAAATAGCTCTTGGTACTATATCAAATGTCGAAGAAGCTGTAGAGTGGTTAAGTTATACTTATTTATATGTTAGAATGAGACTTAATCCTATGGCATATGGAATTTTATACCAAACAGTTTTAGATGATCCAAATTTAGATGCAAAACGGAAAGAATTGATTGATACAGCAGCCAAGTCACTCGATAAAGCAAGAATGATTCGATATAATGCCAGAATTGGTGAACTTAGTTCAACTGATTTGGGACGAATTGCTAGTCATTATTATTTAAAGTATGATACGATTGAAATATTTAACGAATTAAGTAAACCAATCATGACCGAGTCAGAAATTCTTGCAATGATCTCACGATCACAAGAATTTGAACAGTTAAAAGTTCGAGATGACGAAATGGATGAGCTTGATCAATTAAACAAAGATAATTGTCAATTAATAGCGTATGGAGGAACTGAAAATATTCACGGAAAAGTGAATATTTTAATTCAAACATATCTTTCTAGAGGGAAAGTAACATCCTTTTCATTAATTTCTGATCAAGCATACATTATTCAAAATGCTGTTCGAATTAGTAGAGCTCTGTTTGAAACAATGTTAAGAAAAAATAATGCAATCATGGCTACACGATTATTAAATATCACTAAAATGTTGGAATCACAACAATGGGATAATGTTACACCATTAAGACAATTTTTTTGTCTTGGTCACGATATAATAGAAAAAATCGACGAAAGACGTTTGACTATTGATAGGATTAAAGATTTAAGTGTTCGTGAAGTTGGTGATATAATTCGTAATCAAAAGTCTGCTGCTTTGGTGAAAAAGTGTTGTGATGAATTTTCTAAAATAAATTTAGATGCGAGTATTCAACCGATTACGAGAACAGTTTTGAGAATACGATTAAGAATATTACCTGACTACAAGTGGAATGATCATGTTCATGGAAGAACTTTTGATCCTTTTTGGATTTGGATTGAAGACACGGATAATAATTTTATTTATCATCATGAGTATTTTCTTTTATCCAAAAAAATGGTGTGTAATAAAGAAGAACAAGAAATAATTATGACAATTCCATTACAAGAACCTCATCCACCACAGTATTTGATTAAGGCCATTAGTGATCGATGGCTTGGATGTGAATACGTTCTACCAATAGCTCTTCATGATTTAGTTTTACCAGAAATATATCCTCCACATACAGATTTACTGGAACTACAACCACTTCCTGTGACAGCATTAAAAGATAAACAATTTGAAAGTTTGTATAAATTTACACATTTCAATCCTATACAAACTCAAATATTTCATTGTCTCTATTATACTGATTGTAATGTTTTATTGGGAGCACCGACAGGCTCGGGAAAAACTATAGCAGCAGAGTTAGCAATTCTGAGGGTTTTTAAAAATTATCCAAATCGAAAAGTTGTATATATTGCACCTCTCAAGGCTTTAGTTAGAGAAAGAATACGTGATTGGAAAGTTAGAATTGATGAAAGACTGAACAAACGAGTAGTTGAATTGACAGGTGATGTTACTCCAGACATTAAACAAATAGCTAATGCTGATTTAATTGTTACAACACCAGAAAAGTGGGATGGAATAAGTCGTAGCTGGCAGACGAGAAATTATGTTAAACAAGTGATCCTTATTATTATCGATGAGATTCATCTTTTAGGAGAGGATCGAGGGCCTGTTTTAGAAGTTATTGTTTCTCGAACTAATTTCATAGCATCTCATACGCAAAGAACTTTAAGAATTATTGGATTATCAACTGCTTTAGCTAATGCTGTCGATCTTGCTAATTGGCTAGGAATCAAAAAAATGGGTCTTTATAATTTTAGACCGTCTGTAAGACCGGTTCCCTTAGAGGTTCATATAAATGGTTTTCCAGGAAAACATTATTGTCCACGAATGGCTACAATGAATCGACCAACTTTTCAAGCTATTAGGCAACATGCTCCACTCAGTCCTTCACTAGTTTTTGTTTCTTCAAGAAGACAAACTCGATTAACAGCATTAGATTTAATTGCTTATTTAGCAGCTGAAAATGATCCAAAACAATGGCTCCATATGCCTGATGAAGAAATGGATAATATTCTGGAAGGAATTAAAGATACGAATTTAAAACTGACTTTGGCCTTTGGTATTGGATTACATCATGCTGGATTACAAGAAAAAGATAGAGAAACTGTCGAAGAATTATTTGTAAATAATAAAATTCAAGTAGGTACAATATTGTTTGCTAGATACTTTTGTAACTGCAGTTTTTCATGGCCATTGAAATAATTGTTTTTATTGGAATTGCGTTTGAAATTGATTCGAAAGTTTTAATTAATTTTATTATTATAATAAAATAGTTTTAAACCTAAATTAATTATAAAAATTATCGAATGACAATTTTTTATTAATAATTTGTTTCAGGTATTAATAACGACTGCAACATTAGCTTGGGGTGTTAATTTTCCTGCTCATTTAGTAGTAATCAAAGGAACAGAGTATTATGATGGTAAACTGAAGCGTTATGTAGATATGCCTATCACAGATGTTTTACAAATGATGGGTAGAGCTGGAAGACCGCAATTTGATGATTCCGGAGTAGCAGTGGTCTTAGTACATGATTTAAAAAAAAATTTTTATAAGAAATTTTTATACGAACCGTTTCCTGTGGAATCAAGCTTATTGGATGTTCTTCCTGATCATATCAATGCTGAAATAGTTGCAGGCACAATTGGAAATAAACAGCAATTTCTCGACTATCTCACTTGGACTTATTTTTTCAGAAGATTAATGAAAAATCCGAGATATTATCAATTAGAAAGCTTGGAATCGAACGAAGTTAATAAGTATTTATCTCAACTTGTTGATGATACACTGAAAGTTTTGATAGAATGTCAATGTATTTATTACGAAGATACTCAAGACATCGAATCTTTGCCTCTGGGGAAAATTGCATCTTTTTACTATATTTCTCATAAAACGATACAAGTATTTCATAGTTCGCTGAAAGAAAATCTCACATTAATAGAATGCCTAAAAATTTTATGTAATGCTCATGAGTATGACGAGCTTCCTGTTCGTCATAACGAGGATTTGATAAATGAAGAATTATCACAATCATGTCGATATCCAGCAGAAAAGCTTACATATGATTCACCGAATACAAAAGCATTTTTGCTATTTCAGGCTCATTTCTCACGAATGCAATTGCCTTCAACTGATTATATAACGGATTTAAAATCTGTTTTAGATCAAGCAATCAGGATATTACAAGCAATGATTGATATTGTAGCGGAAAGTGGATGGCTTACTAGTACTTTAAGGCTTATACAATTGATGCAAATGATCATTCAAGCAAGATGGATTGATGAATCAGCTCTTACTATTTTGCCTCATATTAATAAAGAAGACTTGCCATTATTTTCTAAATTTCCGAAACCTTTACCAGTTTTTTGTGCCTTTTCTATGAAAAATTGGAAACAAATATTAAGTACTTTTACAGAACATTTCACTGATGATCAAATAAAAGATATCCATCATGCTGTGATGTCACTTCCTATTATATACGTGAGGTTGAAATTACAATCGTCAGATGATGACAATGAAATAAAAATCATCAATTCATCATCTAAACAGAATGATTATATTGATGTGATTGCTAATCATGAATACACTCTTTTAATCGATTTAAGAAGAAAAAATAATATTGGAAATGCGAAATTAATTACCAAATTCCATAAGAGTAAAGATGAAGGATGGTTCGTAGTGATTGGTAATGCTAAAAATAGTGAAGTTTTGGCTTTAAAAAGGATACCCATAGTTCATAAGAACTCTAAGACACATCAATTACAATTTTCAGTACCAGAATTACCAGGTAAAATAATTTATTTATTTATTTAGATAGTTAATTAATAATTTAACAAAATTTATTACATCACAGTTTATATTTTAGGGAGAACAAGATTATTCCTTTATTTGATGTCAGATTGTTATATTGGTTTAGATCAACAATATGAAATCCGACTCAATGTAAGATGAATGTAAAAAAAAATTATTTTTTATTTTTGTTATATCTGTATAATACAATAAATATAACTATAATCATAGAAAAATGGAAGTTTTCTAAAATTTGTTTTTAAATAATTTTATAAATAGTTTATAATTTATTTATAAACTAAATAGTGGATTAATATTAAGAGCATCAAGAAAGCGTGTGAGATGCATCTGGTAACCACTACTAGCATATCTATCAACAACTTGTGCTGGATATGTCCTCATAGTACAAAATCCTTCATACATTTTTTCTAATTTAGAAAAATTAGGATGAACATATCCTTTAGATGTGGAAACCCAATCATGAGATCGCAAATAATTGTGGAATTTAAGTATGATTTGATAAACATTACGCAAACAAATTCGTAGCTTTTCACCACGATTTGTTAACATACATCTTGATAAAATTTTCTTGATATAACTCACATGAGTAGCATAAATTTGATCTATTGTCATGGCATTCTCAAGATCTTTTTCAAATTCTGCCCAGCTGGAATGTAACACACTGCAGGTAAGATAATTACTTAATGCAGTCATAAACTGCATCATTGCATGACGAAATAGCTGAACCTGTTAAAAAGAATTAATTTATTTAATTTATCGAAATGTAAATATTAATAAGTTATATTGAATCTCCATCGTTAATTAAAGAAATTTTTTTTCTTATTTGAAATAATAAAAAAAATGTAATGAATTGTGTTTCAATTGCTCGTTAAATCATTCAACTATACAGATCGTTGGTTGTTGAGAAATTAAAAATTATGTATGAAAAATTTGTAAGGCTATTTACCCGATGATATTGATAAGAAAGAGCTGCTTCTCGTTGATTTTTTAAAATACAAAAATCTTCTTGAAGAACCCACATTACACGTCCTACCATCAATAGGAATTTAAAAACTTTATCATATTGTTGCATTACAGCTTCATCCAATATAATATTTAACGGCCATGTTACTTTATAGCGCAAGCAAAGACAGTTTAAAGCCTCTGGATCCAATACCTGCGGATATCAGTAATACATTTATTTACTTATTAAGAATTTATTTATGTATAATATAAGTATATATTTACCTTTAAACGAGTTGGTATATCAATAGCTGTAAGACTTAGTAGCTCAGAATTAGTGTAAGAGCTATTGAGTGAATAATGTAGAGCATTTTCTAATAAATTTGTTAACGCAGATGAATTAAATAATTCATCAGGCATAGAAATACTGTAAAATTTAGCATATAATGGTCCTGTAAGATTTTTTGCAAATTCACCATTTAAAAGAAAGAAAAAACATCTCAAACTTTGTAAATGCGAAAGCATCTTATGATCATATATTAAGCATTTAACAATTGCAGAATTAGCTAAATGACTTTGAACACGCAAAGGAATTAAAACAGATTTTTCTAAATATACTTGAAGAGATGTATTATCTATCATGGCAACATCAGCTTTCGATAGAGATGTTTCGAATGCAGGTGGGTTAAAATTATTTGTTTTCATCATATTAAAAAATTGACTACTCGATCGAGGGAAATAATCTTCTCCTGACAATCTGCTTTCTGCATTACGACTATTTAGAAAATCACCAGGAGTTGTTGGTGTTTCAAAATCATTTTTCGATTCAAGAGAACCATTTTCAAGACAATTATATATAGCAGAACCACTCATTCCAGAAGGTACATAACTATCAGTAGTACAAGACATTGGTGTTGTGTCATTTAATTCATTTCCTGTTGGATTTGGAGTTTGTCGTATATCAATAGAATTTCCCGCTTCATTATTATCACCTTCTGATTTAAAAGCTTCTTGTTCTTCTTGAGCATTGTTTGTATTTTTCTGATTATTTTGATCATTAGCGTTATCCATTTCATTATCAATTGTATTTCTATTAGATTTTTCATCAAGAATAATGATATTCAAATTGTTGTTATCATTAATATTAGCAGTATTTGTTAGTGTACATTGCGTTTTATCTTCAACAATGCTCTTCGCATTTAAATTATAGCAAATTTGCGTTCGTGTATTTTTAAATGTAGGATTGTTTTCAGAAATTTCATTGAATATTGATTCAATTGTTGTATTTTGTTTATTTACAGGTAAAAGAGTTGGACGAGTGGGTCTGTCTATGCTTTTTATTTCATTATTTCTTTTTTGATTATCATTCTTATTTAATTTATTACGATCTTCGTATTTTATTAAATTATTTGCAATGTCTATAGCTGATTCAAATTTTATTAAATTGATATTTTCTGGTTTAGCATTTGTATCGTTATTTTTAATAATAGATACCGAATTATTGAAAAATTCTTTCTTAAATAGCATATTTATTTCATCTTGACGTGTTAATGTAATAATACTGAGCCTCTCATCGAAAATTTTCATTCTTTTTGTTCTCCACAGAGCTCGAGCCCGTTGTTTTTTAGCTTCCGCGGCTAATTCTTTATAATAATCTAAAGTAACTTGTATTTCAGCTTCTCGATCTATTCGTATTTTTTCCTCTTCAGCCAAATGTCTTTCCAACATTAATTTATCTTGTAATAATTCAGCCTCTTTAGCTTTTTCTTTTCGTAAAATTGCATCTTGCACCTGTTTTTTTTGATCTGCTAAAAGTTCACGTTTATTTTTGGCTATCAACAACTGTGCTTTTTGTCGATCTTTTTTAATTCGTTGTAATGTTTCATATTGAATGGCAATTACATGATCAGCCTTAGCTTTCTCTATAGCTTTCATTTCTTGAAGAGCGGTACTAATGGTAACGTTCATTCCTAATATTTCCATTCCTTTCCTTATGTATGATTGACAAATTTCTTCTTGTTCAGACAACATTTGAACACTTAAACATACTTTCATTGTAGGCCGTGCCATTAGAAATAAATTACATAACGGATTATTTGGATTACATATTTTCAGTAACTTTACTGTTTTTCCACATTGTAAAATTAAATCCGTGAGATTTTTTAAAAATCCAGGTACTGCTTGATTATTTATCCCAAAACATTTAGTCCAAAATTTATGACCACGATGCCGTAAATATTGGCTACGTATTTTTATAATAAATTCTCCATAAGCTTCATCACTAGATCCCTCAAAAATCCATTTTTCTAATAATTGAAAATAAGCTTCACAGCAAGATTTTAATACTGAATAATAAACTAAAGCAATATTGGGTTTGGTCTTTTTAGTAACTTCTGTATAAATATGTGATAAAATTCCTGTACCTTCAGTTAATACAATTTGATGTACATTATCACAACGACAAAGTTTAGCTACTTCAGAAATTAATATTCCTAATTTCCGTAAACGAAATAATAAACTTAATAATTCTTTTAAATTATCGTGGTTAAATATTTGTGAAATAGCTGCTACATAGTGAACTATTATTTCATCTATGCTGTTACGCATTGCTTTAAATATTAAACCTTCTTTTTTGGATTTATCAGTTTCAGAATCACCCTTCACTAGTCGAGATAAAAGTTTAAAACATGTAGCCCAATGCGTTATTTCAGATGAAATACTTTCTAATGTTTCTTTACTTAATCCTCTCACAGAAACATTTGATTTTAGAATAAATCCTCTTTTATCATCCCAAACATAACAACCTGAATCTATTCCAAGCAATGCTAACTTAATATTTTGCTTCAATTCCTCAACACTAATATCAATTTTTTGTAGCTCTTGATCACGAATATCCATGGAATCAATGGATAAATTTTGATAAAATTGTAAGTGTTCAATTGCATCTTTTGATTCTAGAATAAAATGAGTTTGTTTTGATGATTCTGGATGTCCCATTGTTTCCCATGTAACAACATTATCAACTTGTGATAAATCATCAACATTGTTTAATGATTCTATTGATTCATTTGATGTTGATAATGAATCATACGTCTCAACATCTTTATATTCAATCTCTTTTCGATGCCACAGAGATTTGATATGATTTGGATAAAATTCATTTTCTATTCCTCCTATTGCATTCATATTCTGAAATGAATATGGTGCCATTGAAAACTCTAGAATCAAGAATTAAATGTATTTCTGAATTAATTTAGTAATAAAAAAGAAAGAACAACTTGTATTTTACCATTATTTGTTATTTGCAATTGAAATTGAAATGTAAAACCAAAAGAAGCCTCCAAGTTAACCCTCATAAAATCATGATTATTAATATCAGTCATCTGATTTATTTTATGGGATAACGAAAATGCTGATGTAGGATAAATTTGATATTGTGGTACTTCATTTTCATTTTCTATAACTTCTGGTAAAGCAGGATTATGTTTACCATAATAAAAAATATTCTAGAATAAATGTAAGGTTAAAAAAGCATTTATCAATATAAAATTGAATATCACATAAATATTACTTTAAACTTACCAAACTATCTTGTTCCTGACGTTGATAGTTTTTTAAACAACTTAGAAAATATAATACAGGCATTATAAAATGAATTTCATCTAGATTATCTAATAATCCATTTAATAAGTTTTCTAACTTTGTTGATATTGATGAACATCCAAAAGTAGTTTTCAACACGAAGGAGTATTTTAATAAATCAACTATTGGGTCAACTTCTTCAGTGTTACAATTATCTGCAATAGAATAACAATTGTAAAAAAAAGCATTAAAATAATAAATAATATCCATTCATTGTTAATACATACCCTCAAAATCTAATATTTCATGATGTTTTTTTAATAAAATTTGAAATGCTAAAGTACGCATTTTATTTATCATTTTATCAGAATTGTTTCTTCGCGAATTATTAATTTTAGGATTTTTTTCCAACAATGATTTGCACAGATGAGTTATCAGATCAAAAAATCCTGTTTTTTCAGGATTGAAATCCATGTTTGTCAGTTAAAATTTTAATCTTGAATAAAAACCATATAATTATTAATTTTTAACTTTATAAATCAAAAGAATCATTAGTTATATAATATTTAAAACTAAATTTTAAATAAAAGTTCAATTACAGACGAATAAATGTTTGTCTACAGTTTTTTATGGTGGAATGATAGTAACAAAACAAAGCTCTACTGCGCAGCAGTCACGGAGTTGATGATCGAAGTATTCTCAGCCAATAGAAATAATCGACGTTTAAGGTTAGTTTCTGCATGCCACTCCAGGGTGGAGCATTTGTGAATATTTTTGTGAATAAATAATAATATTTAAATAAACAGCCATATTTTTTTTCAAATTTTCTATTAAATTATAAGAGTAATATAATTGACGAAAATAATCATATTAAGATAATTTTTACTTGTTTAATGTACGTACAATTTGAAAATGGTAGGTAAACGAGCAAGTTGTTTGTACACGTTTCTTTTGGCTCCGAGACACACTTTTACTCTTGTATTTCGTGTGTTTACACATCGGTAGTGTAAATTGTGTTAAATCACATTGTAGTTTAGCCAACTCTATTTGATAAATGGTCGTTTAACTCAACTACGAATGATCTTGCAGTGCGAGCATATAGTAAGACGTTTAGTTGGATACATCTGTATGCTAATTTAGTATGACAATAACCGGTTGTTGAGAGTGTAATTATTTATATTATATTGTCTGTTATAAATACAAACCAACATCTGATAAAAAATTTTTTAGTGCATTATATTATTTTTCATGAATAACATAAAATGTTGACTCATATGTTTTTTAATTGTTTGTTCGATTCCAAGTAATGTTTGACATAAAAAAATCCAAGGAAAAGTAGCTGAATGTTGTTGAACAACACCTACTCTTGAAGATATACACATAATAAACTTGAATTAGAGTGTTATTTATCTTTAAAAAAAAATAGGTTTACTAGTTCTTTATACTTACAATATTTTACGTGCATTTTTTATACAATGAATTGAATCATTAAACAATTAAATATATATATATATGTATATAAATAACAGAAAAAGTGTATTCAGGTCAACACGGTTGAATGTATAAGATTTTTCGGATCAATGACCTGGCTAACAACACTTAAATCCGGATCTTGTTTCGCACAATTAATTTTCATCTTTCTTTCAATTTGGTCAATCAAATTTTCATATATCAAATTTGTGTGCAGGTTTTACTTGTCCGGATTTCGAAGGAGAGTGAAAAGCAGTTTGAAGGCTATAGAACACTTTTTTACATACTGTTTCGTGCCTGAGTTACCCTGGGTAGTATAATCGAGTGCATTAAATAACGATGCAAGACTTGCATGACTTTCAGTGCGTCGCATGGCGCGAGCGTAATAAATTAAAATAGCCTAAAGACTTTCGTCTATGTACTCTACATGTTGATATTTAAGCATTGACCATTCTGTCTCATCACTACTTGGCTCATCATTTTGTCTGGCTTTATAAATACATCAATTTATTCAAACGGCAATAAACGACCAACTAAATTATTCAACGATCCATTATGGCAGTTATTCATAAGCAAGAAGAACGAAAGATGAGTCCTGAAAAGTTCAAAAACTTTTTTTTGAGAAGAATTCCTATATTATCTTGGTTACCACAATATAATTCGGAAAAAGCATTGAGTGATGCTATTGCAGGAATAACGGTTGGATTAACAGTTATGCCACAAGGATTAGCTTATGCAATTCTTGCAGGACTCGAACCTCAGGTAAATAACAACTAAGAAGATTTTATAAATAGTTGATTTTTTTCAAAAGAAACTATATCTAATTAAGTAATCATTTTTCGCAGTATGGTTTATACTCAGCATTTATGGGAGCAATAGTTTATGTAATATTTGGTTCATGTAAAGATATTACAATTGGACCTACTGCTCTAATGGCAATTATGACCCATGAGTACGTTCAAGGAAAGAGCGCAGATTTTGCTGTACTCCTTGCATTTCTCGCTGGATGTCTTCAATTAGTGATGGCATGTTTACATCTAGGTAAAAAAGAAAGTTTGTTTATCAATGTAATTATCAATATCATCATAATTAACTGTAATTATTTCAATTGCAGATGTTCTTATTGATTTTATATCAATTCCTGTTACTGTTGGCTTTACGTCTGCCACATCAGTGATTATTGTTGCTTCTCAGCTTAAAGGAATACTAGGATTAAAAATCACATCTTCTGGATTTATTGACACTATTAATCAAGTCGTTAGAAATATTGGGGACACTAATCCGTGGGATGCTGGAATGAGTTTTCTATGCATTTTTTTTCTTCTCCTTTTACGGGTAAGATTAAATAAAAAACTATGACAGTAATAAATATGATTAATATGAGGGGGAATATAACTTCTTTATTGAATTTCAGAAAATGAAAGATATTAAATGGTGTTCGAAATCAGAAAAATTATCAAGAGAACGAAAGATATTAACCAAAATAATTTGGCTAGTCTCCACTGCCCGAAATGCAATCGTTGTTATTGTTTGCTCAACTATTGCTTACCAAATGAACTCACCTGAATCTGAAGCGCCGTTTATTCTTACTGGACGGGTAAAGCCGGGTTTACCGTCATTTAGTTTACCTCCATTTTCAACTCGCATGAACGATCGTGACTTGAATTTTATAGATATGTGTGTAGAACTTGGTCCAGCTATTTTTCTTGTTCCAATTATTGGTGTTCTCGGCAATGTAGCCATAGCCAAAGCATTTGCCAATGGAGCAAGTGTTGATGCGACCCAAGAACTTCTAACTTTAGGTCTTTGTAACGTCTTAGGATCATGTGCTCGTTCAATGCCAGTAACTGGATCCTTTAGTAGATCTGCTGTAAATCATGCGAGTGGTGTGAAGACACCAATGGCTGGTCTCTATACTGGCCTTCTTATTATATTAGCTCTCAGTCTTCTCACGCCATATTTCTACTTTATTCCTAAGGGTATGTATTTTTACAAAACCTTCTCTTAAATAATAACATTTTTTTTATGTTTACATAAAATTAATAATTAATTTTTTTTAGCATCATTGGCGGCAGTCATTATTTCTGCAGTTATTTATATGATAGAGTATGAAGTTGTAAAATTAATGTGGAAGTCTAGCAAAAAGGATCTCATACCCATGTTCGCGACATTTTTCTTGTGCCTTGTAATTGGTGTAGAATACGGCATATTAGTTGGCGTTGGTATAAATCTTATGTTTTTACTCTATCCATCAGCCCGTCCAAATATACATATTGAAAAATGCGTGGTAAGTTAATGAAAAAGTAAATAGAAAATTAATTTTAATTATATTCAAAACTTCTAGCAGATGATTATACATAGTAATCAAATTTTTTACAGACTGAATCTGGAGCTGATTATCTTCAAGTTATTCCTGGGAACAGTCTTTATTTTCCAGCAGTGGATTTTATAAAGCAATTTGTAGATCATGCTGGTATTAGAGAAGGTTCTAGCCAATTACCAGTTGTTGTAGACTGTAGATATGTCCTGGGTGCCGACTTTACTGCTGCAAAAGGAATCGCTGCATTGATTGGAGAGTTTAATACACGGAAACAAGGTCTTTATTTTTTTAATCCTCGATCCGACGTAGTTGCCGTCCTACGCGGTGCTTGCGGAGAAGACTTTCAATATGTTTCCACTCAAGAGGAATTGTCGTATTTACTTTATCGAAGCCGTGGTAAGTAAAAAAATAGTTTATTATATGTAGGCTTTAATTAACATAGGTATATAGATATACATATTTGTATAATATTATTTTATTTCAAGATAAATCAACTCGTAATCTTTCAACATTGAAAAGGGATCATTCAAATGAAGCTTTGAACAACACCAATATAGAATTAACTCATCGGACAATCCATACAAATTACCATGAGCTCAACGAAGTTCGAACAGCTCTGTTACCTGCAACTGCCAGTTGAAATGAAATTTGTCACAAACAATATTGTATTTTTACTTTAAGACACTTTAGTGATTGTTTATATAAAAATGTGACCATGACGTAAAAAAAATACCTGATCAGTATTCGGTGATAATTATACAAAATTTGTAGATCTGCCAATACCAATTGGTAAATAATTTTTATTAATATTTATCGTGAGATAATTCATGGTAATAGAAGAATCTATTATGTGTTAAAATTATTATATATCTTATTAAAACATCTAGGAATCCCGATTATCCCGAGAGATAGCGCAAGAGATTCAGCTACCACAGTTTATTGATTTGAACAAAAAGTATGTAAAACAGAAGCATCTGATGGTATTCGGTAGATTTCCAGGCTCCGCCCATGGATCGACACGTGGGGCAGTTTTTTTTTAGATGTGATATGACTTGGTCAAGTTTCTTGATCAACAAGTTAATCGTTAGTGTTATCATTAATGATTTGATAAAAAATTTTTACAACTCTCTTAAATCAATGTGCAATCAAAAAGGCTTATAGTTGACCTACCACATATCATACCTTGTCTTCCAATGTATTATTGTTGTTTTTTTTTAAAAATAACATGTGGAAAACTTGTGACACATCGCTATCGAGAATTACTTTGAAATTAAAAATTGTTAGAATTTCGAGATATTCTTAATACAAAATTTAAATTACCTGAAAAAAATTGTTGAGTGTTAAGATTATTATTAATTGCTATCGTAATGTAATAAATTTCAAATCAGTGTGTTAAATCTCATAAGACTTTATTAATAATAAACAAATATAAATTAAATAAAATGTCAATATGTCGATTACGAAGCTAATGTCGTTTAAAGTGACCCAAATAGTAATACAAAAAAGTTTAATAATTGGTGTGATATTTATCGCTAGCATTATTTTACTTGCTAATTTCATTGGAAAAGCTAAAAAAAACGAACTTCTTCTTCAAATGGTAATGAACGTTAGCCGAAATATTGACAAATTAGATGCACGATTGGATATGATTAATAACAAGACTGAAGTTGCTAAAGAACGATTCAAAAAACTGGTGCAAATGCATCGTGAACAAATGCTCAATTATTTTACCTACAAAAATTTTAAAACTCAACGAATAAAACTAAAAGAGCCAAAAATTTCTTTAAATATAACTTCAACCGTATCTACGCAATTACTCGTTTCTAATAATCATTAGATTGGATATTTAAATTATTATTTCATCGTTCTGACAATCAATCGGACCATAATTAAATGTGAAAGTATTTTCATAATTAAAATATTATGCTGGAATTGGATAATGATAAATACTGAATGAAGAGTAATTTGTATAGAGTATACTACTTAAACTGATAGATGAATGATCCATGAATATTAATCTTCATAAATAAATGAATAATTGCAACAAATTTACGATTTAAATATGCACTAACACTAATTAAAAGTTATAAAATTTACAAACTAACAGCACTATAATCATATCATAGTAGCGTTAGAATAATGTGTGCCACTTGAAAATTTACCATATTGTTTAAAATGGGACCAATTTCTCAAGCAATAATACGTGATATCAAAACTGTTTTGAATCAATGCTGACAGGAAAATTTGAAATTTGCATCATAAGATAAATAAGTATACTTTCAGTTTCCTTATATTATCTTATACATTCAAGAATCATTGTTGATGGCCTATGTAGCATCTTATCTCAAGAGTGTTTCATATATATTCATTGGTCATTTGACTTTTAGTCAATCAACAGCAGCTGCCAATTATACACGTCTTTAAAATGGCAACGAGTGTCCAAGGTATTTAGTGTATTATTTATTCTTATTAAATAAATATTTTGATTAAAATTTATAATTAATCAAATGTCTGTATATAAGCTTGTAGACCAGGCTATAAAAGTCCAAAGATAGCTATGTTAGAAGGACCTCGAGAAAAAATTATCTACGTTGTTTGTATCAACACTGATGATAACAAACCAGATGTTTTAGCAACAGTTGATGTAGATCCTGTTAGCTCTACTTTTTGCCAGGTATTTTATGAAATTACAAAGCTATGTATTGAAGTTTTTAATTAAATCATCATTAAAAATTCCAATTTGTCATTCAGATTATACACAAGTTGAAAATGCCATATGCTAATGATGAACTTCATCATGCAGGATGGAATATTTGTAGTAGTTGTCATAATAGTGATATAAAGAGGAATACGTTAGTTTTACCATGTCTTATGTCAGATAGAGTTTATTTTATTGATGTGAGTAATGAAAAATCACCAATCATCAAAAAGGTAAGAAAGTAATTAATGTTGAAAATAACTGACAAATCTACTTTAGCAAAAGAATCTATCATTGTTGGTATAAAAGAATAATCTTTAATACATATAATAGATTTTAGAGCCTGAAAAAATGCATAAATTCGGCTTGGCTACTCCTCATACAGCCCACTGTTCTCCAAAGGGTGAAATTATAATATCGACTATGGGAACACCTGATGGTGATGGACTTGGTGACTTTTTAACCATTGATAGTAAATCTTTAGAAATTAAAGATTCTTGGACTGTAGGCAAGAAAAAAGCTAAATTCGGTTATGACTTCTGGTACCAACCGTATCATGACGTTCTTGTCTCAACAGAATGGGGTGTTCCGCGAATTTTTAAAAAGGGATACGCTCCAAATCAAAGTTTAAATCCCGGTAAAATAAAAAACATTAAATTCAATAAAAACTTTAATTAAATAGAAACTTATTTTTAGATATTTATGGAAGAAGTCTTAATTTTTTTTCTTGGAAAAACCAAACTCTAGAACAAATTATAAATCTTGGTAGTGATGGTATTGCACCTTTAGAAGTTAGATTTCTTCATGAACCTACAGCAAGTGAAGGTTTTGTTGGATGCGCTGTTTCTTCAAATATATTTAGATTTTTTAAAACTGAAAATAATGATTGGGCTGCTGAAAAAGTTATTGATGTAACTCCGAAAAAAGTTGAAGGATGGATTGCTCCACATATGTCAAGTTTAGATAAAAATAATTTACTTATTGATATAAAATTTTTTAGAAACTATTTTTTCATTTTCTCTAAATGTTACTTTTTTTATAGGTATGATTACTGACATTTTAATCAGTTTAGATGATAAGTATTTATATTTTAACAATTGGTTGCACGGAGATGTACGACAGTACGATATAACGGATACTAAAAATCCTCGCTTAGTTGGTCAAGTATTTCTTGGAGGTTTGATACTTTCAGACTCTAGTATTCGTGTAATTGAAGACAAGGAGTTACCCGCCCAACCTGAGCCTGTTTTTGTGAAAGGACGAAAACTATATGGTGCTCCTCAAATGCTTCAATTAAGTCTTGATGGTCGAAGACTTTATGTTACGACATCTATTTTTAAACCTTGGGATCGACAATTTTATCCTGAGCATGTTAAGTAAGTGTTTTTAGCACAATTAACTTACACCAATTGATAAATATTAATAAATCATTACTCTTAACTCCATTATTTTTAATCATTAATTTTCATTGAAAAATTTGAAGACATGGTTCGACGATGGTCAAACTTGATGTGGATGTTGAAAATGGTGGAATGAAGTTAGATCCAAACTTTCTTATTGATTTTGGAGCAGATAAAAATGATATATTATTAGCACATGAAATGAGGTAAGTGCTATTATGATAGATATGCCTTATTCTCATGAATTTTACATAATTGAATAAATGTTGTTGTAGATATCCAGGAGGAGATTGCACATCCGACATATGGCTTGCAGAAGATCATCAATAAAGATAACATCCTGCCAATATAATGCCGAAAAGTAAATAAAGTGCCAAAATATTAATGTTAATAAAACTGTAATTCTAATGATATAAAAAATAAATAATATCCAATTATTTTACTTAATGAAGTTCTCTGCTACTCACAATCCAGTCAATTATTAATCAGAAAGTTGAACTTTTACACGTAACAATAGGCGGAAGTAAGTGAAAGTGAACGAATATGTGTGACTAGTTATGATAATTTATAAGAAAAAAGACCTAATTTTTATAATGTTACGTTTTTTTTATATAAAACTGACTCATTAACTTTTGAACAATTAGAATAAAATCAATGGAATAAAAGTTTCAAAACATCCAAATTCGAAAGCAAAACAGCTCATCCTCTTCATTGTTGATTATACTGCCATCTCGTGAAATAAACAACAAACTATGCTTGCGTTAAAATCAGAATAGAAGCAAGTTGAGAGCAGAAAGCTGACCGTAGTTGTTCGGGTGTCTCAATCAGTCTTAATTCTTGTGTCTGTAGTGTTATTTGAATGGTGTATATAACTCATAATCATTACAAATTTGGTTTGAGAATATTGTGATTACAGAATGTTTATTATTGGAGCGAGTTTGATTTTTTTTAGAGGATAATTCAATGTTAAAAGAAGGAAATGTTATACGAGTATTGACCGTGTATGGTTAGGATTGATACATTACAAAAAAAATCCGGAATTATGCTCGGACGAGCTTCAGTGTCCAATCTTTAAAGGCAGTGTTGGTGGATCATTGATTAGATATGGTTGGTTAATGAGACGAATTACACAATCCCAAAATTGGGTTTTTTATACACATAATAAAATTAAAAAATTTCACTGTAAATAATCTAGTGACGGACCACGATAAGGAATAATAATAGTGTATTTTCATCGTGATAAACTCGTTTTAAGTTCAATCAGTATTTGCTTACAAGTCAACTCCAATGTACCAATTGTAAGTAATTAAATGAAAATTTAATTATTTCATTGACACAAAAAGCTTGTGAATGCTAATTAAATAGATAACTAAACCTAATAGAGAATTTATAAGTTAAATTATATAACAAGAAGAAAAATATTCGTCTGCCAAGATCAATTGCAACCAATGGGTATTTATATTTATTTAATATGTCTCATTCTATTCTCATTTAGTCCTAGTTTCAATTCATTTTTACTCAGTTTATAAAGAAACAATGCATTCTTGAAGTTGGAAATTTTCTACTAGAAATTTTTTATCAACAATGAAACAAACATTTCGAGAAAGAGAGAAAGGCAGGTTGCTACCTGTGAATGAAGAAAGCCTCGCTTTACTTGTACTTCACGCGACATCTCATACTGGCATCGACGGTGCATCCCTTCTCCATTATAGTATATATTTTTCCCCTCTTTTCTCTTTTTTATATTATTTGTCAACCACATATTCGTTGAACTATTCTCGGTTATCACGTTGAATCATCATCGTTGGCTCTTGTTTCATTTTATTTTCAACGTAAATACTCGATTGTATCCAAAACATTCTGAAGAGAATCATCATTTCTATACATAGTTTAGAAACATTCAATAATGTTCAGAAAGTTTATTAAAATGTCATATCATAAAAAAAATTAATTTAATTTAATGATTCAATGTAATGTAATGAAGCATCTTATCATTAGAATCGGGAAAATGATAATAAACATGTGATTTATGATGCAAGAAAAAACGTTTAAAGTAAAACTACAAAAAATTCTTCAGGTAGAAAACTGTGAACGATAGATAAAAGAGGATGTACTTGGCTTCATAAATTTTCCAGGTTCATTTTGTTACAACACAAGAAAACCCGAGGTTAGAGAGTAAAAATAGAATTGCCATTCGTTCTGAGATCGGAGAATGAAAAGGTTAGGTCTAACGATACGAATAGAAAGACTTGGAGGGACTAGAAGCAGATGAACAAAGTGAAATAAACTTAAAGAGACGCCCCCGCTCTCTTAAGTGTTTCAAGAACGACTTCCTCCGCGTGAACTCTTCGGTTGTTGAATTCAGTTGAACAATTTCGCGCACGCGTCGTCTTGTTAGTCGATAGAAGCCGTGATCAGGAGCAAAAGTTCATGCTGTAACCAAGGAGAGAGTATAAGAAAGGAAAAGAAAACAATAATACCCTTGTGTTTTTCACCAAAAGATGCCGTTATGCCTTCTTAGTTTCCGCTGTATGTTTTTATTCTTCCATTACATCGATCGTGAGTTCCATACGAATAAAACCCCACTTACGAGTTAACTCACTTGCAGCGAGCGATAATACATTACCAGACTGGCTGAATAACGGTTCCAAGTACCTATGCCGTTCTAATCTCATTTCAGATAATGGGTAACTCCAAAATAGAGAGTATTAATTAAAAAAAATGCCCAACATCATCACTATTATCATTAGTATCAATACCTGTACTAGATTGGTGGATCGAGGTAAAAAATAAAATGTACCCAATTCACTCATCATCTTCTCATTTCAAGACATCAATATAATATGCCAAACCTACTTTCTTATCGGTACGATAGACGTCTGAAAGGTAAGTAAAATATTAATGTTCTTCTACCTTTTCCATAATCTTATAGATGACAGGATACATTCTGATGCTGGATCCTGACAATGGAACTACTCGGGAACGAGGTTGTGAAAAGTGGGTAAATGTTGGATGATTGAAGTTCCAAGACGTAACAAAAATACATCTTGTAAATAAATCAGAAGAAGAGAGAAAAAGAGAGAGAGAAATCTGGCACTGTAGGTCATAATAATACTTTTATACTATAGTGCTATAAGACTACGATTCATACCAGTATCAAGCGTGATTTGTTACTTCATCTTTAATGCCTCCAGTTATTTTACGCAGATTTCTCTTTTCTTTGCTTTCAATGTAAATTTAATGAAATCTGTATGATTACAATTGATAAATATGTTTATATATCGATGTTTTTGTTTGTGATTTTTAGATAAATTAGATGCAGTGAAGACGAAGCTAAAGAGACGAATCTAAATGTGCTTGGAAGCAGAGAATAGATAGACGGAAGGAATGGGTGCTGGCATGGGTAGAACAGGAACGGGTGGTGGTGGTCTTCTCGAGGCATTACCTTCTGGTACGCCGCTTCATGTTGCTATGCTGGGGCTAGATAGTGCTGGAAAAACTACGGCTTTATATCGACTCAAATTTGATCAGTATCTCAATACAGTTCCCACAATAGGATTTAATTGTGAAAGAATTCGTGGTGCTATCGGCAAAGCTAAAGGTAAATAAATGAATAATAGGAGTTGAATCATATTTTGTCTCTATTAACAACGGTTATCTATAGAAAAGAATGAAACTATTCATAACATTTATATTTATCATTGTCGATAAAGTTTTATTTATAAAATCATTAATTAATATCTATATTGATACATATACTAAAAGCTTATTTATTGTTTTTTATGAAAGAGGTTTAATTTATGTAAATACTTTTCTATGTTATTCTAGTAATTTATTGATTGGTTTCCATGTTAGAAAAGATAGAAAGCGTTTTCCAACATGTTTTCCTTAAAAAAATTTAGTCAATTGATGTTAAATTATCTCATGATATTTTTTTTGTGATAATTTTGAATTAGAATTTAATATAAGTTGTATTATTAATGACAGGTGAATCGTATAATATTTGAATGATTATTCAGGTGTAACTTTTCTTGTTTGGGATGTTGGTGGTCAAGAAAAACTCAGACCATTATGGAAATCTTATACAAGGTGTACAGACGGAATTATATTTGTAGTAGACTCTTGTGACACAGAACGACTGGAAGAAGCAAAAATGGAATTAACTAGAACAGCGAGAAGTCCCGATAATGCTGGAGTACCTATACTTATTCTAGCAAATAAACAAGATTTACCTGGTGAATAAACTATGCTAACACTTATAAATTTTTTTATATTTCTGATTGATAAAATAAATATCAAATTGATTTCAGGAGCAAAAGAAGTAAGTGAATTAGAAAAGCATCTTGGAGTACTTGAACTTATAGGATCTCCTGGATGTGCATGTATAAGAGTTCAACCTGCTTGTGCTATTACTGGTGAAGGTCTACATGAAGGACTTGATACCCTTTATCAACTTATCCAAAAACGACGTAAACTTGCCAAGTTAAATCGTAAGCGGGCGAGGTAGGCCCGGGCTTCAGAGGACTGTACCTGTGTCTTCTGATACTGTCCTCAAATCACTAATGATCATTGTGATATTTGGCCGCAAAAACATCCAATAACTTTTCAAGTTGTATAACTGGTTTGGATGGCAGCAAGAGCATAGAGATTTTGATGAATCGACCATGCCCATATTTAGTAACGAACTGACCAGTCAAGTATCATTAGTCTTCGAGTAGAATAAATGTACAATCATCGCGATGATACATTTCTTCAAATTGATCCAGATATTTTCAACAATATCTTCGACATGTAAAATATGATAACATTTCGTTAAAAACAAGATTTCATCTTGATTACATGTTTGAATAACAGTGTGTACGTGACCAAAAAAAAACAAACATACAAAAGTATTTCTTGTAACAAGATTTTACAGTAAAGAAAGCAGTTGTTAGTTTAAGAATAAAGGATAATAAGTTTTACTTTAAAATTTTACTTTAGATTTATTCTCTAACAAACTTTAATATTTTTTAATAAAATTTTCTAATACTTTTGGGTATAACGAAAAATCTTATATATCAGAAAAAAAATCTAAAGTAAAATTTTTAGAAAAAAACTCGCGTTTTTCATCGGTTTTCATAAAAAATTTTGAAATAAATATGCATAATGTTATAACGATGATTAAATCGACAATAGTTAGTAATGACTTACTGTCATTACGATACTGTCTTTTTTAATCAACATTATTATAGATATATGTAGAACAAACGAAGAAAAAATAGAAAGAGAAGAAAGAAAGAAAGAATAAGAGAAACTGTCTCTCAATTTGAAATTAACTTATCATCTTACTTGTGCCTCTATGAAAATTTACAATCCTGCAACTTGACCTAACGATTGATTAATATTTTGTAATTAAAAGTTCAATATTTTGTCGAGCTTCCCAAAGTTATTGTTTTGTGAAACTTATCACAGTTAATCGACATCATTGCTGGCAATTGATTGTCAAAGTCTCAAAGTAGAACAGAATTTATCTTTTAATTGTTACATTACTTGTGACGAAATCGTTGATTTTGCGTTCACTATATTCGTAATAATCTTGTTTCAGTTGCTCATTGTTTGTTATATTAAAAATTAGTTAGCTTTTAAGATAATCATTATGATATAATTTAACAGGATGTCACTCTTTAAAATTATTGAGTGGCTATAACTAGTCGACTTGACACTTGTTTTGAGTCTGTGCTATAAATAGAATGAATGTGGTAATATTAAGGTGTACATAGGCATTATCATTGTCTTTTAGGTATTTGCGTGAATATGTATAATTAAAATGTGTATATTTGGTATTGCTTTGACAAACAAGGAAGTATAATCGATCAATAATATACATGAATTTACACAATCACTATTAATAACGTGAAAAATATCAAATAAATAATTAGCCGAATATTTTTATTCAAAAGTCTCTGATAAATACATAAATCACCATTTGTATTTAAATCAGTTTTATACTTAAGACTAATATGATCGATATTTTCTCGTTTGCTCCAGCAAAACTCAAGTCTTTAAAAATATAGGCAGTCTTTTCATATATTGGATTCGTTGTTTTTATATCGAAGTATAATATCAAATTATATTATATACTCTACTTGCCTTTTGTTGTGTTTATTAGCCTCAATATTTTATCTCGAGTTTAGAGCCAATCTATAACAATTATCTACGCATTATTCTCATCTAACTATTTATTTACGCGTAGGGAAATTACAATCAATAGTGAAAATAATATCATCGTTTTAAAAAAGCCTGTAAAATTTATAACTCATCGCAATGAGATTTATATAGATTATTATGATTTATTCTAAAAGTATTGTTACTTATTAATAACAATAAGTATTGTAAAAACTTGGACTGTAATTTTTTTTAAATATATCAAATTGATAATTTTTATCAGTGAATTCATAATTCAATTAATTTTTATATTTATTTTGAAAAAAAAAGTCAACCAAACCGGAATTATCGACTTACACCTACGCAAGTCTACTATTACGAGACATTTCCTTTTCCTCTGAATTTCTACCTACACTTATTATTGTTATTCCTATAATCCAAACATAGAATTCCTAAAAAAGCAACGATTAAAATTATACAATTTCATCACGACAGTCGTGATTATCATCAGTAGCTACTGTTTCTTTTGGTGCATTGTCTTGACTCGATTTATTCATTTTGAAAGTTAGATTACTAATATTAAGATCTTCCATAGACTTGTAATCTTCCATTGAAAATTCACGATATCGTCTTGGCATTGTTAATTCTTTCAATTGAAGTTTTTTTACTTTCATGAAATCCACACTAGATATTGAGCTCGATGGCTTTATCTGACGTGTATGCAGTGTCGATTTATCTTTGGACTTGGGCTGTAAACTCATTTCTGACCGTACCATTATTCGCTCTAGTGCAGCGAGTAGTCGGTGCATCAACTCGAACTGAAAAAAACCGCAGATAATAGATTTTATTCATTTTTTTTTACTTTTCAACTTTACAGCTAAAGCATTTATTATTATAATGAAAAATGTTGATAAATCATCTGTTCCAACCTTTCTAGCAGCATCTTCAGCTTCGCGAATTTTTTTAATTTCTTGAGCAAATCCTTCCTTTTCACACTCTGCAACAATCTTGGGTGGTAAACTATCAAGAACAACATTAAGACTTTCATAAGTTTTTTCAATTGCCTGCATCATTGCATAAGCATTCATATTAGTAGTATTAGGTCCAATGCAGCTTTCATATGCATCTTCGATAAAAACATACAGCTGTAGCACAGCTTCTGAGCAAACTAAGTCCCTGAAGACTTGATGCAATAAATAATCTTCATAAACTTTGAGATCAGTGACTCTCTGTTGGCTTGATTTTATTAATGACTGCGTATGAATAATAATACTTAAGTAATTTATTGAAAGTGATGAAAATGATAAAAAAAATCTGACGACTAAAACTTTCTTTTTCTACGATTCATACAATAATATAATCAAATATGGGCGCACCTTAATTTCTTCCAAACTTTCTTCGATGATACTGATTTCTTCTTTAATAAGATTTTCTGCTTTAGTAATATTTGAAGTCAGCTCTTCCATGGGCCGAGCCAAAGATTCGAGATAAATTAAAGCATCGAGATTACGTACTTCTATGGCGTTAAAAATTTGTGAAAGTTCTCGAGGATCTTCAAGAGTTATGTCTTCTGGACTTCCTAAATGGTTGTCAGTAATGTCCTTTTGAAATGCATCTGAAAAATATTGCTTATGAAGATTTTAATCTTTAGAGACGTTTCCTTTGTAAATAATTGACATGAATAAGAAACATTGACTGAATTAATGAATAAAATGCTTATTTAAATATAGAAAATAGATTTTGAATAAATATACATAAATATATTGTTTTAATATCATTCAGAAATGTCAAGAATTATTGCAAAGAGAACAACAGAAGATTTCTGAAGATGATGCAAATCATTTCTGCTATGTCTCTAGAAAGTTTATTATTTTAAAAAAAAGGAAAAGTTAAAGCGAAATCACGGGGAGAAATTTCTTCATGTAATAAATTTAAATTTTCTTCACAAAAATTTTGGTAATAATTTAATTTAGCTAGCGGCTTAATGAAAATTCTATTAGATATTTTTTGCAATGCAAGAAATTATTGATTATCAATTTAACTTTTAGTCATTAAAAATATTTATGAATTTAATATTGACACTTAGAAAAAGTAATTAAATTTTAATGGAATAATTATTGAAAAGAAATTATTTTTCTCCAAAGTTTCTTTCAAGTTAAAACTTTTATAAACCTTAGTATCTAAATTGAATAAAGTCTTTATATTTAAATTCACGATTGTTCGATAAAATTACAATTGTCTAAAAGAAGATTGGCTAAAAATACATTCTTCCGGTGCTTATAGGATAAAAAGAAAAATTGCACCAATTATTTAATTTGAATAAACGCCTACGTATTCTGTTTTGCTTTGTTACGCTTGAGTACTTTAGTCTAGACAATTTAAAGATCCTCGAAAAAATATTAATTTAATGATAATAAATCAGACAAAAAGACGTTTGAACATACCTACTAGACACTCTAAAGAACTTTTTGATAATACTTGGTCATCACTATTCGGGTTATTGATAGAATTGTTTAAGGACTCATGTTTCTCTAGAGTATGTAGATGACTTGACGACATTTTACGAACAAACTCATGACAAATCTTTGACAATATTCCAATTTTTCTCCAAATGGTAAACTTTCAAAGAAACTTGTCCAACTTCCTTTAACAATTGATCACGTTTTGCCATCAATTTGCGATTATTTTGAGATGCCTCTTGAGCTTTTTCAATTACTTTTACAGTATCTTCATTATCTTGGGATAAATATTCTTCAAACAGATTTAGGTGTTGATGGTAATTCTTCTGTAAATGAATGAATAAGATTATTTAAATTAGTTAAATAGCTGATCCTTTCAAAGTGATGAATAACCATATCAATACTAAGCCTTCTTAACTTGACATAGGCTCTCTGAAAAATTTTTATTATAGTAAAAACTCTCTTTTTGAAGAATTTCTATTCAGAAAAAAATACACAGAACTCTGAAATAAAGAACAGTTATTGGCGGTATTGTTCTATAGAAATAGATGACCAGGAAAAAATATTTTTAATTAAAACATTAATTGCATCATGCCATTGATTATTTTTCATTTCACCAGTCAAAATTAGTAGGCATAGTGACTAGCAGAATTAGAACCTTAATTGCTTCTAGGGCATTTTGTTCTTCAGAAAACTGTTGATTTACTCTTAAACAGTAATCTTGATAATAACCGGTTGTAAGCTTAGTTTTTAAAATGTTTCGAATATCGTCAATGTATTTTCTTCTTGAAAATTTTTCTTTTATAGCACGACCAGCAATATCAGTAAAATAACTCGGATCAACGTCAGTTATTCCTACTGGCAGTTGAATTGGAGCTTTTTTATCTGGCTTAACTAATATTTTTTTACTTTCATATTTCTGTTGAGTCTTGGCTTTGTATTTCCGATGAATTTTTTGAGCTTCATTCCAGTGAGTATATCCAAATAAATAAGAATGTGTTGGAATAGCAAAAGGTGATATTCTTTTCAAATTTTCATTTGTTTCTCGACTCATTTTGTGATTTCACTGACATGAAAAGAAAATATTTCAAAAAATAAGTATACCAGACATAAATTATTATTAATTTTTTAGATTAAAATACTAAAATCTTCAATATAAGAAATATTATCATAAAACAGTAATAAATATTTCGACAAAAAAATACTACCTTTTGTTTTAAGAAGAATGAAGATATTTTAATGTAATTCGTTGTTTAAGAAAGTACCTGGCAATATAAAGTTTGACTTGCGCATCATTCACGTGTCTCACTGCAATTGAGAAAGAACAATAGATAGAAGTTATACATAAAGAGGAGTTTTCTGCTATACGTTCAATCAAGCATATGGATGAAGAAACGAGGGATGTGAAAAAAGGATATTACACAAGGTGGAAGTCATAAGGTAATTGAAGAGAAAAAGAAAGATGGAAAACGAAGAATGGAAAGAGCGATCGGTTCCATCCCAGATGTACTGGTGTTCTAGTTTTATCATCACAACATATACCGTCTTCGCCGAATCTTGAATAGATGGAGAAAAGAAAGGAACATTCTGGCATCCACTTTCATTGCTGTTCACTCTACCAGACTTTCAGGTACAATTACATTTTGTTTCCAATTTAAACTTATTAATAACAACCGAATATTTCTTTTTTTCTTAATTAACCATTTTATCTATTGATTTATGTTAATCAAGTAAGTAATAGCATTATCATTCATTACATTCTCTAATTAAGTATGATAGTTATCAAACATTTTCTAGAAACTTTTCAATCTTTTTCTTAAATTGGTTTCTTGGAAATAAATTGTGTTGGTTTTTAAAAATGTACTTTCAAATCTTTGTTTATTTGAAAAAAAATTTTTTTTTTACTATTTTATAGTTAAAATAATGTGTTTTTTTGTGTTCATTTTCATGAATAAGTACTTTGATGTTAATTAGGATTTAAAAGAAAATTTCACCGGCGTGAAGTGTCACTTAACTATAGGCGTCCGAGGAAGACAGCATTCATGCTCTGTTTGCATTATAAGAGTGAGTGAATCCCTAGAGTTTCTACAGGATATCATTCACTTAGCTCTGCAGAGTGTGGTGGAATTTTATTGCTTAGTTATTACCTCTCACGTTTTTCTCAATGCTATTTCTAACGAAATATTATGATAACTTGTAGTGTATTATTACAAAACGTGTTGTAGATACTGATGAAAATGAAAGAATTCATGTTGATGATATTGTTGGGATTATCATATGTGCCAAGCTCAATATCAAGCTGGGATGGATGCGGTGGAAGATTAGAACGTGCTCTAGACGCAATGCAGAGAGATTCTGCAAGGAAAAATAAACGTGAAAATGAAGATCAAAGTGTTATTTATCAACAAAAACTTACAACAGCTCCTTTTGAAATGACTGTTACTCATCTTGTTGTAAAGGTATGAATGAATAAATAATTAAATAGCTATGTTTTGTGAAAAATACTTATTATTAGTTCATTTAAAAAACTTATCAGAAGTAAATACTTGAGTGAACTGTAAAGAATGATATATTACATAAGAATAAACATTTATTTATTATTTAAAACTTTTTAAAGTCACATTGTATAATAAAGATTTTATAAGTCTTAAAGTCTTTTATTTAAACTATTTTCGTTTGTTGGATCTTTTTTACAAAATATAAAATAACAAAAAAATTACATTAATTTAAAAAATGATTTTAGGTACCTGCAGGAGGAGAAACAACTCGTGACAGTTCTTGGGCAAGAGTAGAGAAGTGTCACTACGAACCAAGTAACAACTCTCTTCGAAGTCGTGTAATGTTAAATGATTTATCAGTATCCGGTATAGTGTCAATAACACCAAGTCAGAGACGGCTGTCAAAAGTTGGTGAATCTTGTCGAATGAGTTTAAGACTGAAGCGTGCTGGTATTGAATTTTTTACCAGTCCTATTGCTCGTTCTCGAGGACAAATGAGAATACGAACAGAATCTAGTTTCTTAGAGCCAAGATTTGCATCTATTTATGCTTATGGTTGTCGACCAACAAGTCGAATGGATAGACAAATTAAAAGGCATGATAAGCCGATTCCTTCTGTGGATAATCAACATTATGAAGTTGCAGAACCACGTCAAAAAGAAATTGATCGTAGAGCTAGAGAAGAAGATATTATTATTGCTAATGATAGTACTCCTTCACGGTTTGATTTTGCTCATTTTGATTTTTCGCCAACAAAGAAAACTTTCTGGATTACTAAATTACATAAAGAAGGTAGAAAAAGAAGATCGAATTTACCACTTGATATTTCCACAGAAGATATTCCTGAAAACACTAAAGAAAATTATCAACATTATTTAGATGAATCATATGGAATAGTTGACTGGCAATCAAAAGAACATGTGGCCCGAGAAATGGAAGATATTTTTTTACGCGGTGCTAGTGAAGCATTAACGAAATACATTGAGCATGAACTTCATCCTGCAATCAAAGAAACCCTTATGATTTCAATGGGATATACAATAAGTTACGGATAATATAACTTATAATTATTACAATAATAATTTTTCTATCATCACTTCATTGTCATTTACTTTCTAAATGAATAGAACACACTGGCTTTGAGAGAAAAACTATTGAAAAAAATTTGTGGTCTAGTCCTTGCGTTATGTAATATTTATTCAAAATACATTCCATTATTATTTATGATCTTAAATATCGTAAAAGTATACAAGCTTGTTCATAAAATGTAAAATATAATGCACTAGTTACAGTCGCTTTAGTTTGACTAGGAATGAGTCCTTTAAATAAACCTAAAAATCTTTCTTGTTCTATTGTACGTAATACACAATCAACAAATCCATTACAAGTAAAAAATTTACCAAACCCTTGTCTTCCATGTTCAAATCCTTGAATTTGTAAGCGTTTCCGAGCTAAATCTAATGGATAAACCACTGTTTTTGCAACAAGACCAGAAGCACTTCCAGATAACATGGAATTCGTTACACTTATTTCTGATTCATCTGTCATTTTTTTATAGATATTAGTGAATAAGTTGTACAATAAGAATTGTGTACCAGTATACGGAATTATTTGCACTAATGTAGGTAACAAACCACGAAATAATGCCCTTACAGATTCTGTTTTAAGGATTGATCTAAAATAAAATCAGATAAAATATGCACATTATAAATAAATAAATAAATAGTTTTTTAGTTTTATATACTAACTCATAGCAAGAGAATATTCCTGAATAAACCTGATAACGAGATGACTGTGCAACTAATCTCGTTCTTGCGGTATCAAATGGGAAAGATGCAGCAGTTGCAAAAGTACCAGCAATTGCTCCAGCAATAAAATGCGTTGAGTGTTGCCAATTGTTGGAATTTGGTACATCATTTATCAGATAAACTATTTTTTTGTAACTGTAAAACTAGTACAAAAAATAAATAATTCAATTTAATTGTACATTGTTATATTTTACTTTAATTATAATTAATGAAGATGTTCTACCTGAATCATACCATAACTAATAGACAATAATTGGGCGGGTACATGTCCTTTCCAAAGAGCTAGAACACCTTCTTCTTTAATAATCGTGGATGTAGCATGGAGAAAGGATTTATATTTACCAAGATACCTATGAGATATTGGCTCTACTTGTAACTGCAATATTTTTTACCAATTATTCGAAAGAAAATAATTTTGAAGTTAAATTGAGTCCAAGTTTAAACGAATTTCGTTTTTGTACTTTGAATTTGTTAACTATAAGCTTGAATTTCAATTGTAAATTTAAATAAATAAATAAATATATATTTCTCAATTATAAATAAATAGTTCATTTAAATAAATACCTGAAATCGAATTTTAATAACATCAAGTGGCTGACAAATCAGTCTTGTACTGAATCCGCTAATAGCACCAGCAATTGCATGATCTGAGTTATGATTGTTTATATCTTTTGGAGATGTCATTTTTCAAAAAAAGAGATTCTATCATTATTAAATGATACAGCTGTAAACATAATGTATTATAGTTTTAACTTTTTAATACAAAAAATTATTATTAAGTCATATTTTAAGAAAAGAAATTGTTCAAACCGTTTAAATTAATATTTAGTCACAATTAAAAAAATGAAATTTCTTGTAAATTATTTGAAACATATTATTATTTGTAATCATTTGTACTTTCATTATTAGTTTTATAATTTTTTTTTTACAATTAATACAATTATTTCAGTCTAAACATATATTCATATCAAGTTGTTTATGATAAAAATTGATAATAAAGTGTAGTTTGAATTCATTGGACCTCAAAGATATACGCAATTATATTACCATAGATTGAAAACTTCTTCATTTATACATAATGAAAACATTTAAAATAAAAATATTTAATTACTACAATTAATTTAATGTTAGATTATATATAATCTTTTTTCTCTTCTCTCAGATCTATTATTTCATGAAAAAGTGACAACCATAACCTTAAAATAATTTGAAAAGTATATGTGTTTACTACTTTCAATACTATGGAATTATAAAATGAATTGTATATTTACAAATCATAAAAGATAATAGAGATGTTTAGATTTTGTAAAAATTATTTAACAAACCAAGAGATTCGATTATTTATTAATTCTAACAAAAATAGAAAATGTTCTACAACTGAGGTGAAGGCGAAGGAAAGCACTCTTGATAATTGGAGTAAGTTTATGATATAAAAATAATGCTATCAACTAGATGATTATTAAATTATTTTTATAATTTCAGAAAGATATTGGAAGGGATTATACCTTGACTATAAAGATGTTGCTGTAGATATTTTTAATGAATGTAAAAATCGACCCATTCGAGCTGTAACCTATTTATCGCGTATGTATGAATTGAAATATTTTATATTCATATAATTTTTATAGATTTAAAAAATGTTTATTATATTAATTAATTTATTTAATAGTTTTAGGCACTTGTTGTTACTTTCATCGAGTCAATCCTGATGAATGTTCATTTCGAGAAGCTTTGTTACAAAACAGTATGCGATTGATGTTTGTAGGTGAGAATAATCGTAATCCAGTGTCAGTAGAACATATTGCTCATATGACTCAATGTTTCAATGAAAATATAATAAGACGAGCAAACTTAGGAATAATATCATTTATTTGGTTAGATAATTATAGCAATCACTGTTGTCAGTACAAATCTCTCTGTCCTTACTTAAAACCACAATACATTAACTTTTATGAAAGAATTGTTGACGTTGGTTTTCTAAGTAAATGGTGGATTTTAGAAGAAAAAATGAAAGACTATGATGTTAATGATAATGAATTTAAATAAATAAATTTATTTTTCTTGCTTTTCATTAACTTTGTCAAATTGCTTTTCTGCTCCTCGATTTTCATTTTATGAATCTAGAAATATTCAAAAAAGAAATTAATTATTTTTTCATGATATAATATACGATATAATAATGTTGTATAGAATAAATAATATAAATACTGAAAGATTACCAAGAGCGTAAACAATAGCAGTACGACATGGAATATAAATAAGAATTCTGTAAGGTCGATCAGCGTAAGGCTGGGATTCAGTAAAATGTTTGACACTATTGTCAACTCTTGATTCTCCTCCAAATTGATCGTCATCACTATTAAGAACTATTTTATATGCTCCTTGAGCAGGAACGCCAACTACATAATTGGCAAATGATTTTGTTGGATGAAAATTGAAAACAAACACGAGACCTGCTCGATCAAATGCTATAATCTTATCATCTTCATGTTTCCAACTTACGTATCCCTAGAAATCAAATAAGCTCATTATTTAGATCAGATAATTATTGATAGTAAATTAGCAAAATTAATAAGTAGTAAAAGTACAGGATTAGATTGTAACCAGCCAAATTTTTCTTCTAACAAATTCATTTCACGATCCCAATTGTTCATGAATTTATATTTCAACATATCATCGTCAACCAAATTCCATTGACGTCGAGCATAGTGATAACTGCTATTATTCCCAATACGGGGAAAGTCTAACCATTCTGGATGACCAAATTCATTTCCTGAATTGACATTTACATAAAAAGTTATTAATATATATATATATATTTACATATATTTTTGAAGTTTACTTTATATTATTTTCAGTAAAAGATAAATCAGTACTGACAACAGCTTACCCATAAAATTGAGATATGCTTCACCACCAAGTGCGTGAGTAATCAACCTTATCATATTATGAAGGGCAATACCCCGTGAAATAATAGGATCAGGTGGACTTAGAGTACTCATATGAGAATACATATTCTTATCCATTAGCCAAAAGGCTATTGTTTTATCTCCAACAAGAGCTTGATCATGTGATTCAGCATAAGCAACAGTTTTTTCCATCCATCGACGATTGCTTAGTGTCCAACAAATATCGCCCATTTTCCAATCTTCATCTTTTACTTCTTTTAACAACTTTATCCATTTATCAGGTATTGCCATTCCTAAGCGATAGTCAAAGCCTACACCACCCTCTGCTACAGGCCTTATATCGAAATGATTTTTTCACAGTATTATGTATATAAATATATCGTTTTCAATATTAATCTTTTGATTTATTTTCTTCATCTTACCGACACATTCCTGGCATCCCACTTACATCCTCAGCGATTGTAGTTATTTCAGGATAAAATTCATGGAGCATATGATTGGCAAGCATTAAATAAACAATGCCTTCAACATCTACATTCAAATTAAAATATTCAGTATAATCTCCCGTAAAACCTTGTCCAAGACCTCTCGAGTGATACAACATTGATGTAACTCCATCAAATCTAAGAATAATAAATCCACTTGTAATAAATTATATTTTTTTTCAAGAGCTTTTGTGTAATCTACCTACCTGTAACCATCAAACTGATATTCTTCTATGTACCATCGTAAATTAGATAGTAAAAATTTTAAAACATCATAGCTGCCATAATTGAAAAGACGACTATCCCAAAGAGGATGTTCTCCACGAGCACCAGAATGAAAAAAGCAAGCATCTGTACCATCAAACATATTCAAGCCATCAAGAGTATTTTTTGAAGCATGAGAATGAACAAGATCTAATAATACATAAATTCCATGGTTGTGTGCGACATCAATTAACTGTTTCAATTCCTCTGGAGTTCCATAACGAGATGATGCTGCATAAAATGAGGTCACCTGTAAGTATAATGGGTATATACAATATGAATTACATATAAAATAGTTTGTAATTCGTAATTTTTTTTTTAATTTCATCTTATCAATTATTCTTTAATTACCTGATAACCAAAACTCGCATAATATGCATGCTCCATCACAGCCATAAGTTGAATAGCATTGTATCCTTGTCGAACTATACGTGGAATTGTATTTTTTGCAAATTCAAGGTAAGTTCCAACACGAAGCTCACTAGTTGCTATTCCTACATGACATTCATAAATTCGAAGACTTTTTGGTTTCTTTGGCTTCGCGAATTGGAATTTGTATACCTAATGAGTTTATTATTATTAGTTTTTTAATATCTTTCAATATTTAGTAAATAAAGATAAAAAAAAATTCTTTACTTCATTCTGAGGAGGATGCCATATACGTTGTTTAAAAGTCGTTCCTTCAGCGGCATTTTTTGGCTGGGTTACATAAGTTGCCCACGGACTTAAACGTTCAAATAATTCTCCTTTATCATTTTCAACAATTATTTTCACTTCTGATAAGTGTTTCAGAGCACATGAACCATCATCATTTGCAGGCAAATGTAATTCCCACTTTCCATATTCTTTCTTAGTGAATGGAGTCGCAGTTTTATTCCAATTATCTAAAATTTTATTTTAGTGGTAAAAGTAATAATAGTACAAATAATAATAATAGTTATATAAAATAATATTGTAAATATAAATAACAATTTATCTTACTGAAATCTCCTGTAAGATATAATTTGTGTGCACCGGGAGCCCATTCACGTGCGAAAACTTTGTTGTCTTTGTCTATTTTTATTCCAAATTGCTCATAGCCACGTGAAAATTTTTCTAGATTTTCATCTCCGGCTTGAATTTTTTCCAAATAATCTTTGAAAATAGCATATCTAAAATGTTTAAAAAGTTATAAATACTCATTCTGTAGTTATTATTATTAAATTATTATTTTTTATTATGATTTAACTAAAAATACTTGACAATAATAAATCATTATAAAATACCTTTTACGAATATCATTCTCATGTAGTTTTCAAATAAGGATCTCTTTCTAAAAGTTTATTTATTTCAGGTACTTCGATTTTCGATGGATCCATACTAGACCATTTTCCACCCATTTTTATCGATAGATAACTTTTAATAAACAAATAAAACACAAAAAATTCTTAATCATATGGACCAGGCGGGCCTGATCTTTAAAAATGAATCAAAAATTCTAAATAACACTTGAAGGTCATTTGAAACTTCACATGCTATGCTCATGTTTTTATTATGTAGGCTTATTTGTATGTATATTTGTTCATTGACGTGCATATGTGTGTAGGTATAATATAATAACTTCTTATCTAATCCACTTGTGGTTCAAACCGGTAAGATAACCTAACCTAAAAACATATGTACACGTTTTGTTTTTAATTTAATCTCGAATTAACTTGAATAATAAATAGGAAATATTCATGATTAATTGGAGTACATACGTACATACATACATACATAAGTTACTTTCTTACCTGTTGATACAATGTGATTGTCCATTATTTTTCGAAGGTAAATAAATTCAAAATACTCAAATATCAATTACATAAAATTGACAGAATTATAATATTTACATTGCAGATACGTTGAGTTTAAAGTTGATGAACTGATGAGACGTAATGATAATGTTAAAATATCAGAAAAAGTGCCTGTAATGTATATAATTATCGAATTATAACAATGATAAATATAAAGGTGAAGAGAAAACGTCCTAATGAATTATTTGAAACTTGGCTAGAAGAATGGAGAAAAAAGGCAAAATTAGAAAAGTCATATCTAGAAAAACCTTTTTCTAAAGCTCTATCATCGTTGAAAAAATATCCTTTGCCATTAGAAAGTGGCAGGGATTGTCGTGTACTGCAAAATTTTGGAGCAAAATTATGTACAATGTTAGATAAGAAATTGGAGCAATATGCAATTGAATTGAAAAAGATAAATGAAAAGAGATTATCTAGTAATATGTGTTTCAATCGGCCTCTAAGTGCAATAAATGAGCCAAATACCAAAAAAACTCAACCAAGAAAAAAAAAGACGACTAAAACAATTTCTAGTACGTCAAAAGCTACAAATTCAGAAAATATTGATGTTCAGCCAATAACAATGCGCACGTTTGATGTGATACTGTTAGTAGACAATAATGAAACAAGTACCAGGTAAAATGTTTTTTTTTAAACATATTAGTTAAATATTCGATGGATTATTTATTTTATTTATTTAAATTAATATCATCTTATGCTACAATAGAGAAAAAAATCAAATCATTAATATAATTACTTTGCAGTATTGCTTTAGAAAAAAACTCCAGTAGCACAGTGATACCTTATGAAGTAAGGCATTTGAAAGTTGGCGATTTCGCGTGGATAGCTCGGTGTACAATGACTCAAAAAGAACTTGTTTTACCCTATATAGTTGAAAGAAAAAGAATAGATGACTTAGCTGCAAGTATTAAGGATAAAAGGTTCCATGAGCAAAAGGTATAAAAATATTGAATCTGTTTTAATTTTATATTGATGTCTTAATTTTATGTTTGATTAAATGCTTTCAGTTTCGATTAAAATTATCCGGAATAAAGAATATTATTTATATGATTGAAGGAGGTAAAGTACGTTCATCTATGCCAATGAATGTATTACATCAAGCTGCCATAAATTCATTAATCCACGATGGATTTACTGTGAAATTTACCAGAAATTGTATTGATTCAGCAGATTATTTATCAACTTTTACTTTAATGCTGCATGAAATTTTTCAAGTAAATTATTCTAAGTTAATTCAGCTTTAGAAATTTTCAATAACGTTGATAATTTTACTAACATATGATTTATGTTCATTTTCCATAGAATAAAGAGTTGATTCAATGTTCAAAAGAAGACCTTAAACCACTATCTTTAAGCCATGACAAAATTTATCTGATGTCGTTTGAGGAATTTAATCAATCATCATCAAAAATCAAAGTACAAACTACTTTTATATTATTTTGTTCAGTAAAAAGTTAACTGTTGCAAAGATATTATTTGTAATATTTAATTATAATTTTTTAATTGAAATAATTTTTTTTTAGATTCATCGTGTAAGAGATCTTTTTATAAAACAATTATTACAGTTGAAAGGTGTATCCCTCGAAGCTGTAATGGCGATAGCTGAGTTATATCCAACACCTACATTATTGAGAAAATCATTGATAGATGCTGGTTCAGATGGTGAAAAACTCTTAGCAAATGTATGCTATGGCCCATTAAGAAGAAAACTAGGTCCTACTTTAGCCAAAACGATCTTTCAATTATATACACAAGATAATCTCGATTAAATTAACTAAAAATATAAGCTATATTTTTTGAAATAAATATACTTATTTATTTTTAATATTTATGAAAGTTTGATAGGAAAATATTTTGTTATAGATGTAAGAAATTATTGAATATATTATATCTTATTTATTTTTTTTTTCAATTTTAGGAAAGTTGAAGTGTATGCTAAAATGAAATTTTTTGTATATATAATTATAACAATTACTTTATTTATACATATTAACAATTACATTAACGATTAGTGTTAGCGTTATCATTATTATCAGTTTCATTTCCAGCACGGTGATCAAGATTTTGTGCTGGCACTAAACTTGTCGAGCTCAGCATTACAGAAATTTGTTCAGGTAATGGACAACCAATCAAAGATTGTTGTTCAGGAGAAAATTGACTTTGAATTAATTGATATAATTGAGTAAAAACTGCTACTACATTATTTTTAATCGGCCTGAACAAAATAAATTCTGTTTCTCGATTTGCTAAATAGAGTTGCATTGATTGTTGAATATTGGGCATGCGGAATTTGATGAAGCGTAATGCTTCATTGATAATAGAAGCAATGTGTTGTGGGTTTTTTAGTTTTTCATTAGATATATTTGAGAGGCTTATATTATCGTTGTTTGATGGATTTTCCGATTTAATTTGATCAAGAAAACTAATGACTGGTTCAACTAAAAGATGAGTCACATGCTGAATAAAATTTTGACATGATAATTTTAATGTCACATCAACATGTTTTCGTGAATCAATAAGGTGTTCTTTCATTCGAGGAGCACCTTCGAGAAAAAATTCCAATAGTGCATTATTTGATAAAGTAAAAAGTCTTGATCGCTTTTCTAGTAAATTATAAGCGGCACTTTTAACTTTAGAAAAGTCTAGCGAATACTCTTTGACAGTAAAATCAACTTGAAACGGTGCTATTTGTTCACGTAATATAAGCAAGTGTTTTATTTGAAATAATAAGCCATCCAGTTCACTTGTTCGTTTTCTTATTTTATCTCTCGCACTTTCAATACTCTCTACACACAATGTAATAGCTTCACGACTTAATGACTGAAAAACTGGTCGATCGACACATCTATATAAACGAGACAAACACACTAATGTTCTTCTCACCGTTGGATACCACATTCCATGTAAATCAGCTGGAGAATTATTAAGATTGGATTTCTTGTAAAGTGGTTCAAAAGAAGTATTATTATTGCGAGTTGGTTCTAAAGCTAAAGAACCAGCATCAATTGAACTTAATGAAAGTGTTGATGTACTATTACATTTTGTTAATTTGATTTCTCCTCTTAATGTTTCAGCAATATCTTCCATCATTTTTAACTTTTCAGGGTAAGCAAGATCACCTGGTGAAGGATTATATCCCAAAACATCAGATTGTAAATACAAATAAGCTCGAAAAACAAGTCGTTCTTGAGCATCGTGAAGAAGTTGTAAACAAACATTTCCAAATCCTTGAAGGCATTCAACATTATTCTCAACATGTTCTTCCAACATTTCAATTCGTAGAATACAACATATTTCAGCTAATGTTTCTAAGTGATTAATATGTATAATAGACGGTCGAAGTGTATCGTATAATGCATTGCAAAGTCCTTCCAAATAATTGTTGAATCCAGAATACTTTACTGAAAAGAATTGATAGAATAATCTATATTCATCAATAGATGCATGAAGTAGTAATACACATGCTTGTCTGACTAAACTGCAGTGATCTCCTTTATGAGAATTTTTTATAGAAGCAAGACCTTTTCGAACACTTGCATCTAATACTAGTCCTCGTTTCATTAAATAATACTGCTGGCATTCAATCAATAAATCTTCATATTCTCTTCTGTTTACTGATCTTCGTTCAATAACTTCAATAACAGGTTTTATTTTTGGTAAAATCCTTTGAAATCGACCGTAAAATAATGCCAAAGCTGTGTCTGTGTTTCCAAGCATTTGCTTCTCTTCTTGGTCTTTAATGTGAGGATCAATAGATTCAATAGGATTTAAAATACTGTCAGTAGCATGCTCCAACAAATCACGAATCCATTGTTGCATCATTATTATTACTTTGGACTGGGCATGACGATATTTTACTAAATAAATATTAGCTTCTTTAAAATTGATATTTTCTTCAATAAAATCTATATTTTTCTCAATTTTTTCAGTAAGTTCCATAAATAATTCACTTCGTACGGACAGATTAGGCATTTCCAATTTGTCCATTATATAATCAGCCTCTTTGAAATATTTGACGTAGTTTACAATGTCATTATGGATGGTATTTAATTTTTCTTGCTCCCAAATTAACTGTTCAGTAGCATTGTGTAAAGTCATTGTTTTTGTAGATACAATAGTAAATTGTTTAGACAATGCTGAGAAATCATTTAATGCATTTTCAATGCATTTACATAAATTTTGGCATTCTTCAGTACGAGTTTTCAATTGCTCAAGATATTGAAAGTGTCTTGAACATCTATTAACATCATGTTTTTCTTCTAAGGCTGTATATAAACGTAATAATTGCCAATATGTTTCTATTCTTTCACTTTCTTCAAAATGATTGATGTCAGTGTTTTTAGATTGTTCTAAGTCACTATTAAAATTTATTCGACTTGATGCAGCTGATTCTTCTTCTAAACATGCTATGTAGTCTTTTTGAGTTTTTGATAGAGGTGCTAAACTATCTTCTGGTAAATCCCATTTTATGAGGTTTAATGAAATATTATTCTCCATTTTTAGAGCCTCTCATTAAATATTCATTAAAAGTGAATCTTCTTTCTATAAAAAATCATTCCTAAAATAATTATTACTGATTAAAAAACAATTTTATAGATTTAATTTATCCAAGAGAATTCACATTGTAATAATAATAATAATAAAATTATATTGTGTTTTAGATTTGTTAATATTTTTACTGTTTAATAATTATAATAAAAAGTTGATAAAAACTTATGAATTGATTGTACTTACTGAAATGTTTTTATTAAATGGAAAATTATTTCAATAATAATCGCCAATATGTTTTTAACCAACCATATAATTTAAAATTCCATAAGACACAAAATTTATGGAAGCAATATTCTTTTGGAGTTTAAATAAAATGTTGACATACTTGTAAAAAATTCATTGACATCTTTTTAATCTCAACATGTTCCTCTAGCGGCTTGTCATTGTAAATAAAAATCACGTGACTTGCCACGTGATCAAAACATCAAATATGAAATGAGCTTTAATTTATTCTAAAGTTTGGCTTTCAAGATGCAGAATAATAATTTTCAATAAAGTAGATTCACAAAGATGGAAGAAAAAATCATTTTTTGCTAAAATTTCAATGATAAACAGTACAAATGGAGTAAATTGCATAAAATTTTCGTGATTTGAGATCGTCACGCCCTCTACAATCGTCAGAAAGATGATGTCTTCTTCTTTTTTCTGAAGAGGTCAACAAAACGCTTTGAAGTGAAGTTAACTGTTTATGATTCGCTGCCATATTGTTTTATTCGATACGAGTACTGTTTTACGAAATTTAAATGTGTAACAAATATTGAATTATCAGAAAAAATGGAAACAATTATTGCAAAACTTAAGGTCCATATTTGTGAAATATATTTTAAAGGTAGGAATACAATAAAACAACTTTTATTTAGTAGTATTTTTTCATATTTATTTTAGAGGAATACAAAATACGTATATACAGGTAGATTCATAAAGTTATTATTATAAATTTTATTATTTTCTCTTCAAAAGGAATGAAAGATCGTACTGCAATAAGTCTTAATGATCTAGAGCAATTGTGAGCAAGAGCGTTTTTTTGTTAGGATTATCTTCAGAAATACTTCAGTGTAAAAGTTTATATAGATTAAAATTTTTTATAGCTTTGCAAATACTTCTAGCTATTTTTAGTTCTATTAGAAAATCTTCATATACAAATCACAAACATGCTTGAGTATTCTGTCAACTGTTGTTACAACTTATAACATTTTATTCAACCCTTATTACATATGAGCAATTAACCACTGCTCTGCAAATTAAATAAATTTATATATTTCATTTTTTTTTTTATAAAATATTAAAATTTTTATTGCGGCTAAATTTAATTATTCAGCATGAATGTCACATACTAAATATGTACAATTTGAATTTATAGTTTTTTACAAACAAATGAAATTTTTTTTTGCGAGCAGAGGCTATTTAATTTAAATTGGACATATAGATACATTATGACAGGCACACCGTGCATCTTAAAAAATTTTGATTTCTAATACATTAAATGCAACATTATGCAAATTATATTGTTGTAAAATCTTTATAATATTCTGTTTAAGTATATATTTAAAATACATACAATTTTATGTATAGTAAATACATACTAAAGAATAATCATTTCTTATAAACATCTATGAGACGTGTTCAACAATTGACACTAAATAAAGTGATTTTAATTGAATTTATCACAACTTACACTAAATTTATTGCTGTACATGTTTTCAAAGATTTTTCAACAATTTAAAATATATAATGCTGCTTTATGGTGATATCTATTCTATTTCATTCATATTTTCATATATAATTCAAATTTACATTTAGAACGTCTTATTATTGAATTCTTTAATCTACAATCATAAATAATATCAGAAGTATTCCTGCAGACAATCTAATATTTAGTGCACTCGATCAAGTACCTTCTTTTGAAAACTTGCACAAAAAGTTTTTACGATAAATGTTTTTGCTTCTCTGTACCATACAAATATTTGACTCTTAAAAACATTTGTTTATATCGGTATTTTCTTTTACCGCAAACGAAAAGCGGCATGTGTCTAATTGAAGTATAATCATTAACAAAATGTAATTTGATACAAATATTTGATGATATTGAAGTTTTTAATTTGTAACAAGTTTAAAATAAATTAAACTTAACGATATTATGGTCACACGTATTTTACAAATTTTTTTTCTTGCATTATTTCATCAGATGACTACATGAAATTTCAATAAGAAATTTTTATACATTTTTTGCAAACTCCTTTTTTTTAGGATTCAATTCATTCAGCGTAAAAACATCGTGATTTGCATATTACTCTATGTAAAAATACGCACAATTTATAGATTTTGTTTTTTAATATTTGCATACATGTGGATAATACATCATTAGGATTGTAAAAATGGAATAATTAAGTAAAATTAATGGCAGAAGAGATTTGAATGGTAATGGATTTTACAATTAAAACAAAGAAAAAGAAAAATTGGAATATGGCAAAATTTAATAAAATCATAAACATAAGTAATACATAATCAACTCCAAATTATTACATTATTGGCCGTTGTATAAAATAATCAATATCTAGAGGTATATAAATATTAATACAGACAACTTGTTATAAAAAATATCGTACACATATATCTATACTAAAGTAGCATCATTTTAAAAACATATTATTTAATACGATTAAAAATAAAATGATTATTAAAATCATAAAAATATAAAAAAATTATTAAAGCACTTGAATCAGCGAGTACGTTTACTGGTTGAAACATGTACAACGCATTTAAATTAATGTGATAATAAGCATGTACATAATATAAAATCATTTTTCTTTGGTAAATAAATATTATTGATAATTGATCAATAGAAAATATAACTAATGTATTATGATACAACAGCAATTTTACAGTAAAAGTGATAGCTGTCGATCTATTATATCATTATACCTGTCAATTTTTAAAAAAAAATTTATTCTGATGCTAGATTAAAATGTTTTAATGGTAATAATTGTTTGTCTGATAATGATTAATTAAATGTGGGTAATATTGGCACGCTGTAGAAGAAATATGTATTTAATTGTATGATATGTTTATTGCGTATTTATGTGTATATATATGTGCTAAGTGTATGTATATGTATTATGTATTTTTATAAACGGAAGATCTTATACAATTTTTAGGATTAAATTTTTTAGGCACCACTGACGGAGGAAATTGGGTATAAACTTGTCAAAAAACTAATTGTACAGAATTGGTGAGAAATTTTTCTTTCTTTTAAATTGACATGGTGTTATGATATAGAAGTAAGAAATTATGAAATAATGGTCATTAATTTTTATCGGATAATCGAATCTTAGGAGTATATAGATAGACGTCATTTACGGGGGATTATCTTGAATAATTATTTTTATCGTTTTTGCCTATTTTTGATAGCATATTTACAAGGCAAAATTGGAGGGTTCACTAGTTCAGCTCTTTACAACACATTATTAGAAATAATATATTTTTAGTTATTTCAACAGTCAGCTAGATTTTAAATTGCTTAAAATTTATCTTTATCATCTTTCATTTGACGAACTTCTTTCGTCAGTTTTTTTTTAACGATATTGACGTATTTATACATTGTGAAAATTACTCAAGTGCTTGTAAGAATAGGACATTCATTATTTATAGACATGTATAACTCAATTGACGCTGATACTTAATTGTTCATTTGATCAGTTTTAAAAATTATGATAATTTTAATATTCATTTCGTCATAGTAACGTATAAAGTTCAATGAAATAGATTAAAAATTATTTTAAGCTTGATTTTGGAATTTAATATTTTGATATTATTCCACTTTGTTTGACCAAGATTAAATATTGAGATGATAATTTGCAGTCTTTGCTTGGTCATTGTACTAATTGACATTATTTAGTCAGATATTTTAAGTTTAGTAAATTTTTCTCGCAATTGAACTTTGCCAGATTATGGAATAGGCAGTCTACTTTACAATTTATTAGACTAATATTACAGGTAATAGACTACTGACACAAATTCAAATAAATACTTTCAATGAAATTTATGTAAGTTATTTAAATAAATCAATACATAACAAGGAAAAATATTACATAAAAAAAATACTCCAAATCTGTCATATTAAAAGTAATTCAAGTCGTTTAGTATTTGTTATTCTTTACTCCATTAGAGACAATTTTATCTTAGTTGAAAATTGTTTTGTTAGAATTAAATGAATATTATGACACTATCATGTTTGTTGGGCATCATAAATAGTATTACATTTTGTACTTGGGCCGCTTTATAATTATAATATCAGCGAAATGTTTTTTTTTTAACTTCATCATTGAGAATTATATTAAGATCGAATGCTACCGTAATGATTGTTTATAACTTTGTAATAATATGGAAAAAATTTATAATTTTTTGGAAGATAAATTATTTAACGATTTTATAGTTATTTTAATGCTACATAATATTCGGTTCTGTATTTAAGATAAATATCTACGATAATTGAGTGAAAGCTTAACATTGAGAAAAATATACGGTATATTTTATCTTCTATATTGTTCAGTCAAATTTAAAATAGGTCTTATTCCGAGTAACATCGTAATAAGAACATTGAAAGAAATTTTTTACGAGACCTAAGTTAAAATAATGACAAATTTTCAAATTGATACATACAAGTAAAATTTACTTAACATAAATAAAAAAATACTTCTTGTATTCATATTAGTGTATCAGTAAAATATTTACTCAATAGAGTATTTTACTCATGATAAATCGAATTTTCATTAATAATAAGCAAAAATTTATTTATCACTAATAGGCTAAATATTTGTCGTGTGATTAAGTAAAAAATTTCTTTCAGTGCACGTAAAGATGAATGCATTATTTATTTTTTTTACTTTTTTGTTTTCTAAAAAGATACTTTCTGTTGACAATATTTTATCTTTTTATGTAATAGTGAAGCAATAGTTCAATACATTGATTATTGTATGAAAACTTGTTACCGTAATCAGTTGATGTAAATTGACTGTAAAAATTCATTGAGAATGAAAGAATATTTTATGACACATATATTATGATTTTATCTATAATTATAGATTTTATATTTTAATTCAATTTGCTAAAATTTTTCTAACAAAAATAATACGAATCATTAATAAATATAAAAATTCTTTTAAAGTCCATTTAAGTTGGGAATTCTTTGTTTTTTTTTATGAATAAATTGAGTAGTTAAATAATTTTTAGTAAGTTCGTTATAAACTTTCTTTCATTTTCATGAACATTAGATAGTATTCATATTTAACATATGATAGAATAATTTTTTTGCAACTAATCAGTATGTATCAAATAATTCCTTATACAGTCATCAATAGTGAATAAGACGTTATAAAAAGAGCTAATGAATAAAAAAAAATCATTTCTAATGACATAAATACCGAAAAGATTCTACCAATTTGAATTCAGATCTAACTTTATGACAACACAGATCTACTTAATAATTCCAAAAGTTAAAAAAAAAGAATACTCTTTGTTTATTAGTATCAATTCAATAATGTTAATTTATAATACTATTGAATGTTTCGTAAACCAGTACTCTATTTAATTTCGTCTTTTAAAAAGCAGTCAAAAAAAGTAAATATATTTATATTATTTTATTTCCTATCATTAAATGAAAAAAAATTACGAATGATACTTTTTTTCGAATTTATGCCATTCTTTTTTTTATCATTTAAGAGAACAGTTATATTAAAGTTTTGTGTATCGTTGCTCTTTTTTTTATTATCTTTATTCATATAAATAATTAATGAAAATTTCTATTAGTCTTTGACGATATTTTTTCGTAGAACTTTTGAATGTTATTAAGCAAAATATTTCCGATTTATGAATTGTCTATTGAACATATGTGTATTCACTATACGCAGGTATATCTAAGTTTTAATTTTTTTATAGAACATGATTAATCAAATTATTTGAACGTATGAACAGTTTAACAGTTAACGGTACTGCAACGTTGTACATAATTTGTCGACCCAACGTACGATAAATTCGCCATTTTAAACCTGTGTAAAAAAAATAGATCTTATCGAATCTTTTTGATATTCATTAGATGAATAGTCAGCTCATAAGATAATCTAAATTTTTTTGGATAACATAAACAAGTATATTCAAATCGTTGAAAAAAATTATGCTAATTAAATGTTACGGGCATTTTATATCATTTTGATCATTATTATAATTCAATTTACATAACTCTTATAAAATTTTAAAATAACAAATTAAAGGAAATGTAGTCACAACATTAAATGCCTTTCCTATTTGCATTTTGAAAAATTAAAAAAAATCACATTCATTAAGTGATTTTTTTTTTCATCCGATAAATATTTTTTTTATAAATTATTAGATTGTCTAATGAGCTCGACAGTCAATTCTGTTTATTCTTTATGAATAATTTTTTTTACACGGTCAATGTCATAATTATTTTTAATCTAGTTTGTTTTATTAATTAAGTAGTTTAACTGAATAAAAATTAAGAATTGCACTTAAATTTTGTGTTATTGAATAAAAGAAAATATTTCTGATCAGAAGATATAAAAATTTGTATAGCGTACATAATTTAATTTTCTACAATTTTTTCTAAAGAAAATTATATTTACAATTTAACGTTTTTTATGGGCTTGATATTGGCTCTCGTCAAATCAAGTCATTTCTCTATTATTTTTAGAGAATTTATTTTAATTGAAAAAAATATTCTCGCTTCATGTAAGTTAATGCTTAATTTATGCGCCACTTTTTGAAAAGTGGATCACAATGAATGGCCCTAACTACACTTATAAGATATAGTGAGCAATAATTTCAGTTATATACACCAAATTATTTTACAGAAACACACAAGTGTTATATAAAGAGATTCAGTGTAAAACACTAACATTTTAATGTGTTTATTTGCTTTGTCTATTTTTGTCCATACAATGGTAATAATTGTTTATCTGTATCATTTATACTGTCATATAGTCTGTGAATAACTCATGGATTACCCTGTTTTTATTAAATATCAGCATTAAAATTAGTATATTTTCGTATTGCCGAAAAATGTTATTTTTTCATTTTTTTTTTTTTTGTTTTAATACAAAATAAGAATTGTAAGCTGATATTTATTCGATGATGGCTCAACGCCAACGTATAAATGATGTTTCTTCGTTCTTATGAAGACTAGAATGAACAGTATAAAGGAAGATAATCACCCTATTAAGATTAAAATTTACAAAGAGAAATGTACCTATGTAATTTAGTGATTGGCTTAGTATTTAGTGTAATTATGCCAAGTTTATAAGCAATTATAAAAACTCTGTATTTTTTATATTGATTTTTTGCGCTAATAATTATTTCAGTATGTATACCTATATATTCATAGACTTATATAATGTGTATACGTACAACTATTTACAATCATTTTGTTCAGAAAGAACATTTTTATTTTAGTTAAATTATTTTTAGTGCCATTAAACTGTATAGGCTATAAATTTATATTGACAACAGGTCCATAATATATCTAAATAATTTAACTATTTAACTATACAACGTAGCTAAAAAAACTTTCTTTACTTTTTACAATTTGTTTTAGAAAATAACGCCTGTTTTTTTTTGCTTTTTTTTTTTTTAATATTGATTGTTAATTTCAGGCCAATGGAAACTATTTGTAGTACAGTTAATAAAATTTTACCCAAGTTTAGGCATGTCTATTTGAGATTTATTAAAACACGACTGTGTTTTAATAATAATTAGATGAGCTACGACAATTTCTATATACAAGTACTTGGGTAATAATTGACATGTTTCAAGTAAGACATAAATGTCTAAATGATATATAAAAATCTCTCCTGATAGTCCGGAAAGAGAAGTGAACTAATTTAATAAAATGCTTATTGAAATTCATTATAATAGATTAAAGATTGTCAATATTGAATAGTCTAATTGCTTTCTAAAAAAATTTTTACTATTGCACGCTTTTTGCATATGATCTTATTATTTTCATTATTTATGACATATAAAAGCTCGTTTAATTTCCTTGTCTCGTCATCAAAACGTTGAAGCAACTATCACTTGCGTATTTGTTTGAGCACTGAGCTTAATTACGAAAATGGCTCACTAACATAGAACTTATTCAATTTCTATGAATCGTTTGAGCTCATTATTTTCATCATTAAATTCTTTTGTAGTATAATATACTTCTTCAAGTGATATTTCTTCTTATTTTCAAGAGCTCATTTACACTAATTTAGTACTTGTTTAATCACATTTATATAGAATTTAATATATCACTAAATTATTAAAGTCAATTTATTGAAAACTCCGGCATAGATCAATGAAAATGAATTGAGTAGCTTAATTGCCTAATAGTCTCAGATTATTAATATTTATATTAGCCTTCACGGTTTTCATACTATTAACAAGATAATTAGTATTATCATATTACCATTTCATCAGATAGTGATGATTTTTCTAAATATTCCATTATTTTTGTCAACATTTGATCTACGAAGTTGAACATTTTAGATTCATAGTTCTCAAACTTTACCAGTTTCAAGATAAGTATCACATCCTTAGTCGCTTGAACAATTGAATTCTGACGGTTTGAATTATTCACTATTGACTTGATATAATTATTATGAAGTAATAAAATTGTTTTCTTGATCAATAAAGTTGGTATTATAATGTTGTTTATGAAAAGATGACAATCACTGCACTTACACTAAGAAGTCCACAGTAACACTTCTAATTACATTAGAATTTAAACTTTGTAAATTCTAATTGAAGTCCGTATCTCATACATGCGTTGCTAGTGTGCCACTAATTCCTGATGTACGTTTGACTGTTGCTACACCACCATTAGGACCACCAGTTATATAATGTGCTGATAATGGGGCCTGTAAAATATTTTATTTCTGTAATATAATCATTGAAATTCATTTACATCAAGTTAGCGGTAGATTTTAGATACACTAATTGGATTATTTGTAAAAATGTGTAACATTTAGAGCGAAACCATTGAAGTTTTCTATCAAATGGTTGATTTGTACATCAATTCATATTTTCAAACTTCGATATTTGAACATAAAATTTTACTCAGGTAATAGATTTTTTTTTATTTATTCAGGGATTAATTTACTATATTTAGCTTGATCCTTTAAAAAAGTTTCAATTACAATGTAATATATATCTATTTTTTGATTCATTCTAATGTCAATTGCAATTTCATTTTAATTGAAAAACTATAGAACATTGGGGTTTGTAAAATTAATTAGATTAATTATATTCCAATTTACATGTTAATGAAATATTAAACAATCAGATTGAATTAGAAAAAATCGTATTGTATTGGTGATAAATTTACCTGTGGCCCGGCACCATTCAATGTACTCAAACTATTCATTCGCATAGCTTGAGTGTAAGGCGGAGGTGCTGGTGTTACACCTGGTATGGCGGTATGAGGCGCATGTCTAAGTTGTTCAGCCGCAGACATTCTAATATTGGAAAAAAATCTAGTTAATATGTTGAGAATTTCTACTATGCAAAGATTTTATTATAAATTTTTTTTGCTATAAATTTCAATCGATAAAGAAAAGTTACTTCATCATATTTTTGTATGTCTTTAAGACAAAATACACTTATTGTTAACTATTGAAAATTATTAAAAAAATAAGACGAAAAAATATTTTCAGTGACAAATATTAATTTTCTATCAAATATCTCGTATTTTAGTCTTTTTTAATTATTATTTTTTAAATTTCATTCTTTAAGTGATGTTGATAAATTTTCATTCAAATAAATAGAAAACTAAAAGAATTGGCTATTGGTTTCAAAATTAATTATATTTAATATTTTGATAAGAGGTTATGATTTAATTAATATTTACTAATTTACAACATACACTATTTATTTACCATTCATATTCAACATTTCCTACTGAAAATTGAATAAATATTTTGCAAAGAATTTTCAATTAGTTGATAACTTTCCAATTAATTAATTATATATTTTATATGCAAATAATTGTAAAGTTATATTGATTAATTATAAAATTTATAAATTTTCTATTTCAATTGAATGAAAATAAATTCAATGTAAAGTAAATGATGATATCGAAAAAGGAATTCATTCTCAAGTTATTTAAAATTTAAAGTTGGAATTTTCTATAAAAAATTCTCACCTAATTATTTTTAAATTTATCTTAATAAAAAATTGTTACTATTATTGTTGATACATGAGTAAAACTAAACGTGTTTCACTGATTATGTAAGCTATAAAATATATCCTACATATCTAAATAGATAAAGTGATACATATATACACATGTACTTTTGTGAAAGATACTTTTTACATATATACACATATTTTATTCAGGTCATTGTAGATTGTGAATTAGTTGATTTATGTAATAAAGGGCTATACATTTGCACCGTTATTTTTATAGTAGATAAAAGAATACTATATCTTAAGAATCAACCATACAATGTAAGTTAATAAAGTTGATGATTAATTTATTTAAAGTTCATATTGATTTTTGGAGTCAAAATTAACACTAAAATATTCAACGTCTTTATCAAATATAAATTCAAGAAAAAGTTTTTTCTGTAACTTACAGACTACTTCATTTACAATTATAATCTATTTAGAAACAATTGAAGCAATTTTATATTTTTTGAAAAAAAGAGTACACGAGTAGATTTGATTTAAAATATTCATCAATTTTGATGTAAAAATATTTACAAATGGAAATATATTTTTAATTTAAACTATACTTAACGCTGTCAAAAAAATGACGGAATTGTTTGTATTAAATTTAATAACAATAAGAAGCTGTCTATCAAATTCAAATCATGATTAATTTAAAACACTTTAAAGCATGATTTTTTTCATTTTTAAGTTTAGTTCGTTGAAAATAGCAGACCTATATTTTTCAATCAATTGTATTGATGTTCATTTTGTAATAATAGCAATAGAAACGCTAATTGAATAAAAAAAGGGCAATCAATAGCTTAGAATTAAAAAAGTAAAGGAAACAAGGGAAGAAAAAAAAAGTTCGTTACCTCAAATACGGATTTCCGTATGTTGCAGAGAATCGTGGATCGATTATTGGTGTTGTCTGTGGTGTAGTCGTGCCTAAGTTAGCGGAACTTAGACCTATTTTCTTGGAAGTTAAAATACCACTGGAAGGAATACGGCTTAATGATTCACGTGACGCACCCATTCCTTGACTATTTGGTGGCATATAATCCCTTGAATAATCTACATATGGCACATATCCATTATTGTTACTTCCATCCTAAAACAAGATTAATGGGTTGAAAATAGATTTTGTGGCAATATGAATTAATTCTTATTCCATCATCAAGTTTAGTTAATGTCAGCTAAAATAAAAGGATGAAAAACTGTTGAATTGAATTAGGTACTCACAGTGTTCTTAGGTGGAAATGAGGGTTCTGTATAGTCAGCGCTGTATCGATAACCCAGTGGGTTAGGTACTGGACCAGCAAGAGCTAAGGCATTTACACCCCTAGTACTTCCTTCACCTTCACTGTCGAGAGCAGTCACGCTCTCAGCGTTGCTCACGCTAGATCCAGCACGTATATCAGCTTTAACATCCGACAGGTTACTGCTGCGATCACTTTCTCGGTAACGGTCAGGATTAGAATCGGTTTCTTCTGCCATTTTCAACATAAATTAGTCAATACTATTTCTAAAATTCTTTCTTTCATTTATCTTATTAATAGTTATATTTAAAATAGATTTACTTCATAAATTAGTATTGATTTCATTGTGTCGTGTTCATATATAGATTAGCACAACGTTTGTCAATTATTGTACTGCAGAGAAGACTTTGTTGAGTTATTTCAAAACCAATTAAAATAATTATCTCAGTCTATTAATTGCTTTTGTAGCTTATCTTGTTTTTATAAACATATTAGTGTTGAATATAATTGATTGAGTAAAGAAGAAGTTGAATTAAATTATTGGTCAATTATAATATAAAAAAGTTTTTTCGTGATCCTATAAGGTTTTAGTAGAATTTCCGTATAAAAGCTTCGTGATTCATTTTGCAACTATGGACTAATTAAATTTCGTCATTTTATTTATTAAGGATAGAAATTAAGCTATAAAAAAGGGCTAAAAATCAGATTAGTTGACACTAATAAAAAAATTAATTTTCGTTCTTTGATTTCAATAATGAAATTGATGAAATTTATATCAAAATAAATACTTGTATGATTTAGAGATTTTGATGATGATAGATTTGATTAATTAAACTTATAACCTTTGATATTTTAAAAAAAGAAATGAATTTCTGTGGTTCTCGATTATTTATAATTTTAGAAAGTAGATAGAAAGATTTTAAATATTATGTAACAATATTAACACGTTAAAGTGTGAGAAAATTCACAAGCTAATTTAATTAAAAATATGAATTAATTTCTCACAATATATTTAATTAATGATGATAATAATTAACACATACAAAAGTACAAATTCGAGTTCAAATGTTAGAGTTATTAATGAAATTTTAATATTTATCTTATTGTATTTACACATCAATTAAGTTAAATTGATAAAATAATGTTTGTGATTTGTGATATATAATTTAATTTCCTTTTTGATTATTTTATCATTTAGCGTAAAAAAAAAAAATAAAATTGCTAGAATGAATTGGCATATATTGAAAGTTTTTTTCCGTTCAATTTATTTTTGAATGAATTTATAAAATTATGATCTGTTAATAATATAGTGATAAATAACACATACAAATTACTCTATTAATCATTTTTTTGGCAAGTCAGTTAGTTCCATTTTCTATTATATTCAGCAGATTTATTACCATTGCATTTGAATGGTTGTTTATATTTATTTAAAAAGAACAATGAATTTTTTCTTTAAACTGTTATAAGTTATTGAATAAAAATAATAATTTCCTTTATGTAAATATGAAATTATCTTTTATATTTTGAATATTTTTCTATAATATCATGGTTATTAATCATGAAAATAACTTTCAAAGCATTTAGCTTAAAATAATTAGCTGAATTTAAGACAAATAAAGCTAAATTTTGTATAATAATAATTATGCAGTATAAAAAAATGACATAAATCATTGGATAATTTTTATATCTAACTTTTTGATTCATTCAAGAAATTCATTATAATTGACATGATAATTAGTGAACGAATGAAGATATGAATTTTTAACCACCAGAAGAAGTTTGTAATTAAAAAGCTAATTATTATTACTGCTATTTAAGTCATTGTTCTAAAATGATAAAATAGGTAAAACTACTTACGTAATTCATTATCCTGAGTTTGATTTGATCTTGGCCTGGGTTGTTTTATCCGTTCACGACAATGAAGAATGAGAATTATAATAATCCCAATGAGAAGAATGCATACGACGAGTCCAACGATTATCAAAATAAGTTGCCAATCGACTGGAATCAACGCTAAGCGTCACGTCTGGTTAAGTCTCATTTTCTCATTTAATATTTTTATTATATACTATTCAATTTTAATCTTTTGACTAAATATGTATATATCAAAAGATTCAAATGTAATATTTATGTAAATAAAAATTTAATATTTCATTCGCATATCAAGAATTGTTAAAGTATATCTAATACTTACCACGTGTAGTGAGCTTGATGACAACAGAATCCGAGCCATAGCTATTTGTAACAGTACAATTGTAATCCCCAAAGTACGTGGATATGGGTTCCAAAAGTGTAACAGTGCTGACTACTCTTTCAGGCGTATATTCCTCCTGAACGTAGAAGGGTGTATTGTTTAACGAGAAATTGAGCTCGCGACCAGCAAAACTCCACACAACAGATTCAGCTTTTGGCACTGATATCGCGGTGCATTTAACCTAAGAAGAAATTCATCTGTGTGAAAATTATCTATGCGGGTAGTCTGTTTATTATTCAATATTATCTTCGTTATAGATATCCGTTTGATATATTGATCACTCAACATATACCGGAATTACGTTAATTCAGAAAAATTTCCACATTGATCTGAGTAGAAATTTCTATAAATAAAATTATACCAAGAGAATTTTTAGTTCTCGTAAGATTTTATTTTATTTCAGAGCCTTGGAAGTAATTAGTTTATGTACGAGAACTAAAAATTCGTTACTGGATAAATATATTTTTACTTCCATGTTTTAAAACTTGCACTTATCAGTTTTTTTTTACCTACGATTAGAAAAAAAATTCTCTTCAAGTAAAGTTAGAGAAAATTTTACGAGATTTTATAAAGCTGTCTCTATTTCACTTTACAGCCAGACAATTACCAGAATATTTTCTTCGTGTAAAAATGTAATATAATAAATTGAGTACGGAATGAAATTGGTTTTGTTCTATGTTGTTTTAGTGATTTTTCATTTCTCGTAAGTATTTTTTTCAATCTATTGAAACGAAGCAGAGTTTTTAAATTGTTCATCGTCGTGAGTTTATGTTTTTATCGATCCATTTCGTTTATTAAAAAATTGATATTTTTGACATAGAACTATTTTTGAAAATAAATAATAATTCAAAACAATATTTGTAATAAAGAAAACATTGTATTTACCTATAAATCTGTCAAGAGTAAGGTCAATGATCCAGTTGTTACAAATAATGCTCTTACATTTTTTCTAATCGCATTAGTATTTAATCAATGAAAACATATAATTATATCTTCTTGTTATCGAAAGAAAAAATTATTGTAAAATTTACTGAGAGAGAATAGGTCGATGAGTGATAATTGGGACAGTGACTTTATACAAGTGACCTTTTTGTTGATCAGATTGAAGTACATAAAAAAAACTTCAAATTTTATTTTTAATACTCAATCTAAGGGTTGTTGATTAAGTTTCTACAACTCATTATAAGTGATGATAACTTGGAAGTATAGACATTAAAGGTATCGAGTAGTTTGTTCAAATAAAAAAATTTGTAAATTGATTGCAGTTCAAATATTTAAATGACTCTTTGATAACTTTCATTTGTAGTGTAAATTCTATACTTTTTAAAACTATTATTTTGACTTGTAGTTTATTATTATGATTATATCATGATTATTGTGACAGTATTATTTTACCTTGACCACTCCCTCATCGGGAACATATTGAATTCTTTGTGATACGATGCTTGGTGGTGCACGAATGTAGATGTTGGCATAACCGATCAATTCGGGAAATCCAGGAACGTGAGCTTTGCAATAGTATCGTCCTGCTGTTTCGGGACTCACAACTACACTTATGTTTGAACTAGTTGCTACAGTACGATCAGACTCTTCGTGGATCCACAAGATCTCTGGAGGAGGATTGCCATCTACGTCGCACTGCAGTATTTCCGTTGTGCCGTAATGCGTTTCTACTGAAATTGGCGGTCGTCGGAATTGCGGCCCATCTAAAAATTTACATAATAATGTCACTGTCATTATGACTATTATTATTATTAGTATTACTATTGCTATCGTTGTTGGTATAATTATTGTTATGTTTTTTTTTAGGGTACACTATAAATTTTATATAATTCACAAATTATTTATGTGTAGAATAGTTGTTCCTTGAATTTGCATATCTTTTATTGTGTTTCTAAATATTTTCGGAATAACCCGTTTTAAAAATCTATCAAATTTATTTACTCAATTTTATGCATTTTATTATTTAACATGAAAATTACAAAATAAAATTATACAAATATAATTAAAATTATTGAAGATAATTAAGATATCTATTTAATATTTAATAGATTTATTGTTTATGTTAAATGCTTAGAATGGAGATAAATAATTTTCTAATAAAAAAAGATTTAGATTTAGATGCAATGTTTGCTTGATTAGACAATAATAAAAATGAAGTGCAATATAATTGCAACAATAACTTTTGAATACAATAGAATTATTTTTTAATTTACGATGCCAAAGGGAGTAAATAGTATCGTAACTAAATAATAAATTGGAATTTTGAGTCAAATATTTAAGCTTATTTCTATTAAAATCAAATAATTATTAAGTAATCACTATTAGTAACTGATTGATTTTTTATTTCTTAAAAAGAGAAGTAAGTTAAAATGAGACTATTGATTAGTTTGACGTCCAGATATCTCTCTGAAATTAGGGCAAAGTAAACACATAAAAATCTATGAAATAATATTAATAAATATTATTAAAATTACTATCATTGTTAGTGTAAAATATTGAAAAAGACTTGAATAATTCTCTTCTAATTACCAACAATTTTATTCTTTCTAATTAATTAACAAAAAATTTTCTTTAATTACAGAATTTTTCAACATAATTATTTTACACTTTCTACTAATTAAGATTAAGTATTTTTCTGAATTAGAATGAGGGAAAAAAATGTATGAATGAATTGAATAATTCCCTTCAATGGATATTATTCTCACTGGAACGAATAATTAACATAGATACTGTTAATAGCTGTCAAGTTTATCCTGAATAAAAAATATTTATCTAGCATAATTTACTGGTATTTAGGTAGTGCAAGTAATCACGATGCATATCATCAAAATATGCGTTAATACATACATGTGCATTTGTAGCTTATGGCATCAAAGATAATACTCACAAGTTATATCTAGCGTTTCCGTTTCCTCACTCTTCCCAACCTCATTGTGAACTTCACATTTTACGGTAGCATCGTGGAGCTCTCGAGTAGCATTGTGGATAATCATCTCAGTTGTATAGTCACCAATTACAGTTTTCTTGTTTATATACCATCTAGACAAAAGGACATTGTAAATTATTGTAAGATCGAAAGAATCTTCACTAAATGGTGGAGAGTACCATATAGATGCAAAGGGTATAATTCAAAACGAAAGCAAATGGATTCTGAAATGAATTCACCCATTATGCATAAATGTCGGTAATTTATACTTATCAGCCTACTGACAGGATTGTTTCATCAGGTGCAATATATACTCGTGTTGTAAATTCATGTCAAACGAGCTGATTGATCTTATTTTTAATTAATTCCATATAGATTATAAAATCTATTGTTATTACATTTGCCAAGAATAGATCAGTGAATATTCACTGTTTCATTTTTAAAGAGTAGTATTATTTGATACTTTATGTAAAAAAAATCATTTAAACATTTATCTTTATATGAAATTAAGAAATTGTAAAACAATTTACAAATATACCAGTTTTTAAAGCTTTTGATTTCTAAGAAAATAATTACTGCATATCTCAAATGTGAAATTGTTTAAAAAGAGACAGCGAATGGGTAACGTCATATTAAAACACCAGTTATTTTGCCATTTTTCATTAAATTGATTTTGAATTTAAAGGAAAAGTTTTAATTATAAAAGTTTTTTTTCTTTTATTTTCTTGAAAATATTTGTTATTGTTTGATTCAAGATATTGATTGATATTTTAATTATGTTGTTTATTTAAAACTACATTAATTTTAGTAAGGATTAATTTTCACTAAGCAAATAAAGTATTGATTTAATATGTCGAGTAAGAATAGAAATAACTACGAATATTAATTAATTAATTAAATTTTTTTATCATTAAAATCACTTTCTGACTTGATATAAAAAGTGAATATTTTTTAAAAATAATAAAACTATACAGTGAATAGTGTAATGCATTTTTTTATCAATATCAGTGAAGCCTGTGCAATAATGTACAATTATTATAAGACTATTTGATTGAAATTGATTAAGATAACTCGTAGCTGTTAGGTTTTAATATTGAAATAAATGTCATATAGATTACCTATACTCGATATTTGGTGGATTGGCCTCAGCCCGGCATTTGAATCTCAATTCAGATCCTTCTATTATTTGACCACTTTTAGATAAACCAGAGATGATTTTAAGTGAGACTTTTGGAGCGTAGCGTACCTAAAAGAAAAAGAGAAAAAAATGCAAAGTAGTTTGAGATACTTTAACAGCCACTATCGGATCATAAGATGAGTATCAGATAAAACGATAAAGTAGAGAGATAGACTTTCATAATTATTCCTAAGATAAGTCGCATAAAATGTCCTCTGAAGTGTAACGAGGAGACAATTTTAGTAGATTATGAATTATGCGATGAACTATCGCTCTTTGTCAGTAACTTTCATCTTTTCCTTAATCTTTAAGATATTAATTATTCATTTAACTTTATAAATTAACTCTTGATATTCATTATAGTACCTCAACACGTAGCTTGGCATTTTGTGGTGTACGATCAGCTGCATTTTGACTTTGACATGTAAAAGTAGTATTGTCATGCTCTTTGCGGGGCAATACTTTTAAAACTGAACGAACAGTGAACAGCGGTCCGTCTTCAGATTTCTCCGTAGTGGTTTCAATCCCAGAACGTAGAACATTGCCCAGTCCGTCGATCCACGTGATCTGAAATAACATAGAAAGACAAACATTAAAGAATCGTATGTGTGGTAAGCTTTTGTCGACTTTTCCTACCAAATAGCTTGTGGTAGATCAACATCTTATTTGCATTGAGTAGCTTTTGAAAGTCACTAAAGTAGAACAGAAGTTGAACAGTGCATATGACAAAAGAGCTAAAAGATGGTTGAATTTTATAGTATCGACGACAATTTATCGAGTAAAAGTTAAGATCAAAAATAAAAAAATGAAATAAATCTAGTAGATTTTACGTTGAAAGACAGGCAATTTCCGAGTTTGTTTCGATCTGCATTGCTATCACATTCTCTCTCTTTCTCGATGAAAGTGTGAGAGTAATCGAAATATATCCTCCATCGAGATAAATTTACCCTGGAGAACTGTTCGTTTTAAAATTGCACGTTCACGAAATATCAATATTAATGTTGACTATATGATTCGTATGATAATTCATTCATTCTCTGATATTTTGAAATTTCCTTTATTATGTATATTTTCATCAATCTTCGTATTTATAGATACAAATATATACATTACTCAGATAAATTGATAAATATTATTGAATTAATTACTCTTTTTGTTTAACATGATGTGTTAAGGAAATTATGCGTTTATATTTGTCGAGTAACTCTATGATCAAATAACATTTTTGAATGCTACGTTTTCACAATTATTGATTTTTCATTTGTTCATTTAAACAATTTTCATTCCTCTTGAGTATATACATTTCCATTCACTGCTTTGTATTATTAACATTATTGATTTATTTTCGACCTTTGTAAATACAACCTTTGTAATCAATAAATTGATTTTTTCTATTGAACATCGATTCTACAAATAATGAAAGCTTTAACACAGTTACTTTTTGGACAAAAATAATCAGTAAGTACTTTTATACCTTTATACTAGTTTTATAACATTCATTAACTTTGATAGAATTCATATAGATGTATATATTCTTCAGTCGATTGGATTTAGTTTTAAGTTTAATATTGTCAGAGTGCTGTCAAGTTGAATTAATGCACAATTAATCGAAAGTTTTATTACAAACTTTATGATAAATACGTTTCAACTAATCACTCATTTATTAAGTTTTCTAAATAATATACCCAAAGTCTAGATAGAGAAAATGTTGGAGTATTTATTGATTTATTTTATAATCGAAAAACGAAATGTGTTTAATACAGAGTTCTAATCAATAATTATATCCAATCATAATATTTCTAATTCATTCTTATTAACTTTTTTCTAATTAAAATATAAAATTTAGAACAAAACTTATTATTAATAAAAATAAATAATTAAATTAGTTTAAATATTCTTCCATGATAAGGTATCTTGTTCAACTTTAAAAAATTTTTACTTAAATAATTTTTGATAATGATACAATTTTGATATAAAATAAAATTGTTTTTAGATTTATAGTCAAAGTGTGCTGATGTATAAAATAAATATTTGTCAATAATTCTAGAGAAGTTTGCCGTAACATTTCTAAAATAACTGACCCGCATGAAAAATCTATGTATGGTTGATAGTATATGAAAAAATAAATAAAATATATACTTTTATATATTATATAATGGCGACATTATACACATAAAATATGTTATACCAAGCATCAAATTATGTATTATATCAATGAATGGAGTTACATACATACAGAATGATTGTTATATATAACAATCATTCTGTAAAAAATTTATTTTTTGAAAAATATATTAATGATATAAGTTGAAATACATATTTATTTTACGGAATATCTCTCGATCGGGGTGAAACTTTAGGTATTTGTTGACTTGAGTAGGACATGAAAAACTCCCAAGGGATTTTTGGTGCAAATGCCCTTTAACTTTTCATGAGGGTTCAAAGATTTTTTCGTTTTTAGCCGTTTATTCATCAAGATCTTGTCTTAAGGGGGAGAGGGGAGGATGGGGTCTAGGGGCAAAGCCCCAATACGTATGGGTACAGTTTTTGAAAATTGATAATTACTACCATGCAGGGTTGGTTTTTTTTTTCGAGGACGAGAGGCAAAGTCCCCGCCTAAGGGAGACCTGGGAGCACAATTCTCAGCATAAAAGAAATTTATGGATGCCAGATCACTATTTCATCAATAATCGAGGTAAACACGTAAGAAGTATTTCATCCAAGTCGAGAGTGTTCCCTAATGGGAACTATATCCACAAATATATCTTTTTTTAATTATATTAACATCATATATTACGTCATGTATATTAATGTCATACCCATACAGAAATGATATAGGGATGGAGATCAAGGCTGTGATCAAGTTATGGTTGAAGTAGCATTGACCATCAAATGGTGTTATCATCCAGCTATGACCCAGATGTAACTGAGTCATGGGTCGAATTAAGTATTAGCAAAATTGTCTGTACGAATCCAAGTGAATATATATTCACTTATGTATGTTTTTATATAAAATTCATATATTTTATTATTTTTGTAAACAATACATAATTTTTTGATGCAGAGAACTATAAAATGTATGTCAATTGAGTAATGTCAAAAGAATGAAGCTTTTAGTATTGTAGGAAGTAATTTCTACTACATTTTGACTTGTTTTCTGTTTACGTAAAATGTAGAATGACTTTGTCTGAAAATTTTTTAGTGCACTTTGATTGCTTTTAGTGGAGACTTTTTCTAATGTTAATAAATCTCATTGATTTGTACACAGAGAATGTTACAATTTCCGTTGCAATAGAAATAAATAATTAAAAAAAGAGTTGTATTAAATATTGTTTTCTATTGTCTAAAATGCATACATATTACAGAGATGTATGTACGAAACAGCGGAATTAAAAAATTTACCTTTATATTGAATTAATATTTACAATTTTCTACTCTCTAGGGAATAAATATTTGTTATGTGTTGCTTTGTCAGGGCTTAACAATTCAGTTCTTTTATTATGATAAATATAATACATGGATGCAACTAGCTCAAAGCAAAACTAGAGTTCGCATAGAAATTCAGGATAAGCGTCGTTAAGATAATAAAAACTAGTTTGGGCTGAACCCTATCAATATACTAGTTATTTTGATTTTTTTACATCCAATACAGGAAACAATCAAAGTAATAATAAAAGCTTATATTGACTAACCTTTACATCCATACTATGCTAGAATACAGCAAATACTTTTTGCTATGATGGAGTTTGTCAGAACTTTGAGAGAGTTTTTGTTATGCGAATGACAGTTTTAATGTATTGGTGCAAGGGTACCAATACTTAGTTACCAAATTCTCGTTTACCAATAGAGTTCCAGGGTTAGAGACTTCTTGATAATTTGAATAGGTTCACAAGTGATCTGTTAATATAATGTATTTTAAACTGGTTACATTAAGCTATTTTGAAAATGATTCTTTAACATTCAAGTGTGTCCAAGAATTATTTTTTGTTATATCAATAATTTTATGTGAATAAATTGACTTTTTTGATTATCTAGAACTTGGTCAGTGCTGCCATGTAGGAATTGTTGGAATTGACGAACGGGTGAACTTCGACCCAATACAATGTTAGGTTTTCAAACTTTAGCAGAACGGAATCTCTTCAAGGTTAAACCAAATTTGGCACATAATTGATCTACTAAGAATGAGTAGCTTTCTCTGTTCCTGAATTTTAGAATTTCGGGTCAACTTATTTTTGAGATTGTTTTAAAATTTGATTTTAAATAAAATGACACCTAGAATGGTTGAATAAACTATCAACTAATGTTGTTCAGCTTTGGCTTGAACTTTTTGTGTCAGTTATAGTATGGTCTCTGGTGACATTTTTGGAATTTCATTGTTGAGCTAAAGTTGTACACTGGAGACAGTGTTATCATTTGGTAGTTAAACCATTCTTGGCTTAGAGTTGTAATTCAACTTTGTTCCTAAGTTGATGACTGGCAGGCTAGCCTTGTTCTCAGACTTTCCTACATGAGTTTATAGTTACTTGTGTAGGTTATAGTACGATCTAACATCGGTTCTACTTGTTTTTAACTTATTATTATTATTGTAAGGTTGTCCTTTATTTGCACGCTGTAGTAATGAATTTTACAGGTAAAATAAAGACATAGGGTTGAAGATGACTCCTTGGATTACATCTAGATCTAAAATATTAACAAAATAATGTGCAACATTTATTTATCCATGCCTACAATAAATGATAATGTGCTCACACTAATTATAGAATATTGATGTTACATAGAAAATTTTAAGAATGTAAAATGAAATACTTGGTAGTTGAGTATTGAAAACTTTTAATGTGCTCTTTTTAAGTTTAATTTTCTTTTCGTTTTAAACATGAAGCAATTAATATCGAATTATTCACAATTTATTCAGTTGTTTAAATGTATTTCAAAGTAGAAGAAAGTGACCGAATATAAAACAATATACTTAATATGAAATACCATTATTTGAAATATCATTTTCCTTTAATACTTCGTTAAGTACATCGTTTATTTAGTCATAAAAGAAGCAATTATTCTCAGAAGAATTTATTTGAAGTTAAATAAAACTATCAATAAGAATATTCAGTAATTTGATCTGTGTAAAATAAATAAGTAGAAAAACTTGAAGAACTCGTTTGCGTTTATTAAATAAGTCAATTACTTGAAAATGTTACAAGTAGTAGAAGCTTCTCTGAACAGAGCTATTAAAACTGTAGTGAACAAAATCCCACTGGGAAATTAAGTTGAAGTATGTAGATAAAATGCGGAAAACTCTATTGCATTGACTTGTGTTGGCATAATGCCGAATATTCGAACTACTTCCCTGATAGTATCGTTAGAATTATTGTTCTACTTTTGTTTCTTAGTTTTTTATTGTAATTGTCACAACTAAATTAACCATGTATTTACAGTCAACTAATAATAATGTGCAACATAAATAACTACTTTTAACGGCTAAATGTCAACTTTTCTCATGAAAATCATTTTTTTTCCAAGTATGAACAAATATAGTATGATTTGGTATTTGATTTTCTGGGGCTGCAGTT